AGAGGCGGCCTGCGCCTGCGGCGAGCCGGATCCCGTACCGGCAGCGGCGTTGCCCGCCGGCTGCGCAGGCGAGCCCGAGCCCTGGAAGAGCTTCTGGAAGTCGAGGCTACGCGGAGCCGCTCCCGTTGCGGCAGCGGGGCCGGCAGCGCCATCGCCCTTGCCGCTGGCGAAGCCGATGGTCGTCTTCTTGGACTCGGAGTCGTGCGCAGTCACCGAGCCGAACACGGTCGGCTTCTCGCCACCGAGATGCTGCCCAGAGCTGGGCTGCACCGCAGGCGAAGACGAGAGCATGGCGTTCTGGTCGTGGACCGAGCCAAAGTTGATGGCTTGGCCTGTCGTCAGAGGACGGGGGTATGGACGAAGCCAGAGCGGGACAATTGCAGAGCCAGAGGATGGCAAGAGGATGGCAAGAGGAGGGCAAGAGGATGGCATTGTCAGTCGACGGTGGCGGCGACGACGTCGGGATGCGCTTGCCATGGCGGCAGACTCGGCACTCACCGGCACGGGAGCCGCTGTTGGCGCCCTTGGGCAGGCTCACGGCCGACTGGCGGCGGGAGTGGGAGGCGGCATCCCCATTGACACTACCAGCGCTGGCGTTCTGAATGCTGCCCGCTGGATTTGATTCTGTCGACATCGGCGGGGTTGCGATGTTCACCTCAGCAGCATCTACGCCGCTCGGCTGGGAAATCGTGGGCGGGTGGCGGATCGCGGAGGAGGGCAGAGGTGGCGGCAGCGGCAGCGGCAGCGTCGAGCAAAGGCGGGTGGCGGGCGGCGCGATCGAACCTAGCGAAACGGAGCCGGCAGCAGGGGTCGTTTCAAAGTTCGTGTCGGGACGCAAAGAAAGTCGTCAGTCCGGCCAAGCGTCGGCTGAAGCCTCTGGTGCGCGGAAACGGACGGTAGCTCGACGAAAACCTGCGAGGCTGTCGGAGTCGGTCGGGCGGGCGGGCGAGAAAGAAGGCGATTGGACCTTGCTCTCTGGCTCTCGGTGTCTGTCTTCGGTCGAAGGGTCGAAGGAAGCAGAATAGAACGAGGGAGGGGAAGGAAGAGGTTGCGATGGAAAACAACCTCGGAGTGGGTCAGAGGTTTGTGGAAAGGGAAGGGGGGAAAGGGACAGCGATGGAGGCGGAAGGAGAGGGCGTAGCGATGACGGACAGACGGACGGTCGGTCGGTCGGTCAGCCAGCCAGCCAGCCCAGCCAAATTCAGCCAGCCAGCCAAACCCGCCCAGCCCAAGGCTGGCCCTGCCCTGCCCTGCCCTGCCCTGCCGGCCGCCCTGCCAAAATGCGGCCACAGGCGGGCGCACACGACGATCCAAGCAGGCCCCCCCTCGCCTGGCCGGGCCTCCTTCTTTTGCCGCCCGTTCGCCCCCCTGCTCGCCGCGACGCCCCGTTTGCACGCCGCTTTGCGCTTGCTCTCTACCTGTCTGTGATACGCCGCCGCCCTGGCCATGCCACGCCACGCTCGTCACACACAGACCCACTTCTTGCAGCTCAGCACGCCGCCGTCGTCGCTGCTGGCCGCCACCTAGAATCCGGCCAAAATGGCGCGCGGGCGGCCGAAGAAGAAAAACAGAACGAAGAAAAAAATTCAAGCGAGAGTGCCCCGCCGCACCGCCGCCCCGCCCTTACCTGTGGCAGGCCGAACAGAGGCAGACGGAAATTCCAGCCCACGCGCGCGGCGATTACAAAGGCCCTCCCCCCCGACGCCAGGCAGGTCAAGTCGGAACACGGAAGCTCGGTCGGGCGGACGGTCGGTCCCTTTGCCGCCGCCGTCGTCGTCGTCGGAGAGGATCAGCGCCCTCAGCAACAAAGCCAAGGACCGTCGTTGCAAGGGCTTGGCACCAACGTCTAGGGCCCTTGCTTCTCCATCGGCTCGATCGGAGAGCGCCTTGCAAAGTCTCAAACGCACTGGCGACACCGCCGAAATCTGCATATATACCGCGATGCGGTACGTTTTCTTCACGCAGCCCGTCCCAGCTCGTCTAGTGGTCAAGATACGGCACTTTCATCCCAGTCAACGCTCCCCGAGGAGGAGGCGACGATGTTCTGCTGAGACCGGGGTTCGATTCCCCGGCCGGGAGTAAGCTTTTGCTTTTGCCAATGGCCGACGAAAGTCAGGGCGAATACGTTGACCAGGGTGGATTGACAGGCGCTGTCATGCTCGAAGTGGCCAGCGCCCGCTCATGACCTGTCCGTGTGGAGCAGCGAGCCCCCGTTTCTCCCGAAGCCAGCGCTTCCACGACCGGACTCGCCTCCGGCCACCATCGCCCTTGCCGTGCTTGCACAACAGCCCATCGGTCTATCGTAGTCTTTGGAACGCTCCTGCTCGCTGCAGACGGCCACTCGTCATCTGATCGATCCTCGATGCTCCCGCCAATCCTCGGGTCCATCACTGCTCAGATCCGACCATCAACGCTCCCGGACCATTCGGAAGCTTCGCATTCGGGTCATGAAGCTCGAGGCCATATGCCGATCTGCGCTGCCCTCACAGAGACTTCCATCAATGCAGGGCCCGCGCACAGACAACGCGCGACCGCCGCGCTACGACCCCTTGCCGTTCCTGCGAGATGAGAGAAAGGCGGAACAGACGGCGATTGAGCGCCTCGTCCCGCTGAACGCTGGCAGGAGCTTGCAGGGGACTCGCGTTATCTTGACATGACGCGCGATTGGTCGCTTCAAGGTGCGTGTGCGCCACGTCTACGTCGGCGTCGGCGTCGGCCCTGGCAGAGCCTCCTGAGATGCTCCGGTCACGGCTGGCGTCGTGCCGATGCCAGCAAGATCGTGCGCATGTCCAGGAGCGCGGTAATGTCGCGCTGCCAACGTCGCGGCTTTATCCTGGTCGGCGAGGGGCGGACAGTGCATTGACTGCACTGCTGGATTGGCCACACGCCGACCATCCTCGCCAGGTCGCGGGGATCCGGGCGGACACGCCGTCAGGCTCCTATGGATACAGGTTGGACAGCGCTTCGACGTTGCCCCACTCGTCTAGGAGGTGCACGGGTATGGCGTTGTGCCAGAGGCCTCGACGCAGCCCCTTTGACCTTGATGGCGCACGGCCCGGCCCGTCGGCCCAGTTTTCGATGAGGACCTTGACGTCCCTGCCGAACCGATCCTAGAGATCGTCGGTGAGCACCTTACCGGCAAGCTCATCACGCATGTAGGCCGAGAGGCGCAGCCTTCGGTGCACTGGCAGCCCGGAGCCGCGTGCCAGAGTCGTGGCGTGGTCCTTCGACATGCTTGCCCCGTTACGCCCACAGCGCCGCAGGTAGTCCTCGAAGGCGCCTGGCCGGAGCGTCTTGCAGCGACCTTGACGCAGGTCCTCCTTGGTTCGTCGCACCGCCTCCGTCGTGATAGACCCGCGGATGTCTTTGTACCTTGTCGTTCGCACGTCGAAGGCGCGCCGGCGCTTGCTGTAGTCGTAAAGGGCGGGCCGCTCCGCCGTCGACAACATCTGCATGCCCGACACCAGGTTCTTCTCGCCCGGGTCGAGGAGCACATTGTTCTCCATGTCGTCTTCGCCGAGCTTGTCAGCTCACGGCTCGACGTCGTCATCACCCGCTCCGTCGTCGAAGAGCCGTATCTCGCCCGTGCCTCGACCCGAGGAGTTCTGTAAGTCGTACTTTCGCCGCAACGCCGTCCGTACTGATCGATCCTTCGACCCTCAGACAGCGGCTGATGTCTGTGGACGAGAGGCCGAGTGATGGGGCGTCCAAACATCTAGCGTGTCGATCCCTCATGCCTGCCTCGGACACAGCCGGGCGCTGGAGGATGTGCTGCCAAGTGATGCGACCAGTATCGCCCATCGGGAGCTGGCGCAGCATGGGTCTGACGGACCGATCCACCTCCTCCTCGGCGTCGAATCGGAATGGGGATGGGAAGAGGGGTGGCGTTGCGATGGCGACCCGTCGACCTTGCTGAGGCTCTCGGTTGCGAGGGCTCTGGGAGGCAGGCCTAGCAGGGCTGGCTAGACCTGCCAAAGCCAGCACACAGGCGAGAAACACGGCCGAATGAAGCGGCGAGTTTCTGCAATTTTGCATCGGGCGTCGATCTGGCCTGGCCTGACCTGGCCTGCAGTCACTCGGGGTGGACTTTGACGTCACAGGCTTCCGCCGCGCAGAAGCAGGCAGGCGGGACCCTGCATGAGTGAGGCGCGGCACGGTACGTACGGTGCTTTTGCTTGGGCCATCACCCCGCCACGTCGTTGCGTGCGGAGGCGGCGAGGTGCCGCCTGCCCCTGCCTGCCAGCCCGGCTGGCGCTTTGCGAGCCGCGAAAGGTCGCCGGAGGCCGGGGAGATGGTACGCACGGTGCCTTCGAGCCGCCAGCTGGCTGTGCTCTCGCGAGCGCCTACAGATCGACAGAGCAGGCGGCGGATGGGGATCGCATGCATGTGAGCGTGGTTGTCGTGGTCGCGGGCAGGGTAGACGGCGGGGCTTTGATGGTTGGTGGCGGTGCAGAGACGTCCGTCGACCGACAACCTCCACATCCACGTCGAGGCCAGCAGCAGCCAAGGAGATCTTGGCTGAGCGAGCGAGGGCGGTCAGGCCAGCCCAGCCTAACGAGCGAGGGTCCTTTGCTTGCTTGGCCTGGCAGGCCTGCCTGGCTGCTCGCCCGGGGATGCAGCCTGACGAGCCAGCCAGGCGGAAGATGATGCGATCCGGCAGCTGGATGAGGCGGCCACCGGGGCCTGCCCCTCGATCTCTCGCCCGCACCGCTCCTCCAAGCAGGCAGCGTAGGCTTCCTCTTGGCCTTGGCGCCGGCCAGATCCAGAGAATCCATATATACACGGCGGGGCTCGCCACCTCCTGACCGCCCTCGACGCCACCACTACCACCACCGTCAACCGAGTCGAATCAACCACCCACACAACAAGCCACCCAGCCACGCCCCGCTCGCCCCTTTCTCAACTTTCCTCGACACCGCCCGCCATGTCGACCAACGCACAGACCCACGACCCCACGGCGCAGAATGCCGCCAAGAACGCCTCGTCGGCGGGCCTGACGACGCAGGACAAGATCGACGGCCTGCTCGAGATCACCAAAAAGGTGGGCACGGCCATGCTGACGACGCGCGCGCCCAGCGGCCAGCTGGCGTCGCGCGCCATGGCGCCCTCGACGACCGAGGGACTCGTGTTCAGCTTCTTTTTCAACACCGACTCGGGCAAGACGGACGACATCCAGTCCGAGCCCCAGGTCAACGTGTCCTACTACGACCCCAAGACGACCGACTGGGTCAGCATCTCGGGCCGCGCCCAGATCAACCGCGACCAGTCCAAGATCAAGAAGCACTGGAGCTCCAGCCTCAAGGCCTGGTTCGACGACAAGAAGGACGGAAAGCACACGGGCGACCACGACGACCCGCGCGTCGTCCTCCTCGACGTCGTCCCCGAGGAGATCCGCTACTTCAAGGCCGACGGCAAGGTCAAGGCGCTCGTGAGTCGCGTCGGCGGCGCGGCGCTTGCCCCATCGCACGGTCATCCCATACTGACCTCGTCCCTCTCTCCCTCGTCGTCTTCCCTCTTTTCCCGTGACCGCAGGCCGAGACGGCCAAGGCTGCCATCAGCGGCCATGCCGCCAGCCCCGGCAAGCTCGTCATCCTCACCTCGGACGAGATCCAGCTGGCCGGCCGCGTCCACAAGGCCTGAGCGTGCGAGCATACTCGCCACGCACCCCGCATGTAGCCCCTCTTCGCCCCACGTCGGGCCCAGATACCTTGCCGCCAGCAAATATGATGAAGACAAAGTGGAATTCCCTAGTACCGCGACATGCTCCTGCCCGCGTCCGCTCGGACCACTCTCAGTCGGCGCCGGGGATCTGAACGTCGAAAGTCGCATGCTCGAACAGTCAGCACCACGCCCTGTCTGCGATGGAATGCACCGCGTCCCCCTGTTACTCACCCTGTTGAGGGCGCCGCCGTCGATGCGGAGGGTGGCGCCGTTGGCAAAGAGGGCGGCGCGCGAGACGAGGTAGAGGACGGTGGCGCCGTGCTCGGCGGGGCGTCCACACCGGCCCGCCGGGATGTCGGCGCCGTTGGTGTGCGAGAGGGTGCTGTGGCCCGTGACGGGGTCCTTTGCCTCGTTTGATGTGAGGTCCGACGGGTACAGGCCCGGCTCGAGCGTGTTGACTGGAAGGAGTTGGGAGTAGCAAAAGAGGGCAATGGCACGGAATCGGCGTCAGGGACCGAACAGACCTCGGGGATGGGCGCACACGCGGGGCACATCGACCGACGCACCTCTTATGTTGGTCTCTGCGAGCAAGGTGCTGAGCATCTTTGCGAGGTGGGAGCAGGCCGTCTTTGAGATGTTGTAGATGGGGTTGAGGATGGGCGTCTTTGCCCACGCGGCGTTGGAGCTGGTGAGGATGACCTGGGGCGAGTAGGCGACGGCGCCCCGGTTACCCGCAGCCTGGTCGAGGTAGGCGTCTGCGCGCTTCTTGAGGAGCGGGAGGAAGGCGAGGGCGGTAAAGTAGGTGCCGAGGATGTTTACGTCGAGGACGCGCTGGGCCTCTTGGAAGGAAAACGACGAGAGCTCGGCGAGCATGTCGTCGAAGCGCGAGGGGTCGGTCGAGACGCTGTCGGTGCCGTAGGACTGGAGGAAGCGACCGCCGATGCCGGCGTTGCAGATGAGGGCGTCGATGCCCGCGGGCTGCTTTTGGCGGATGGCGGCGACGGCGTCTGCGAGGCTCTGCTTGTCGGTTGTGTCTGCCTGCACGCCCTCGATGCGGCCGCGGGGTGCTCCGGTGCGGCCCGAGGCGAGCTTGGGAAAGGCCGAGACGACGTCGTCGAGGCGGTTTGGGTCGCGGCCGAGGATGTAGACGGTGGCGCCGTTGTGTGCGAGGGTGTGGGCCGAGTAGAGGCCGAGGCCGGCTGATCCGCCCGTGATGACGACGACGAGGCCGTCGACGGAGAAGAGCGAGTGGGCCTCGAGGTGGGCGAGGGGGGCTGCGGTGGCAGAAGTCATGGCGGTTGGTGGCCGTAGTGATAGCGGTGGCAGGGGTGCGTACGGAGTATGTGGCGGTCTGAGCGGTGGGGGGCGGTGGTGGTGGCAGGAGCAGAGGCCGGGTCGACGAAAGGCCAAGGGAGAGGCAGGGAGGTTAGTTGCCACCACCACGAAACCGTCCCATCATCTTGCCACGCACGCCAGTCGACTGACTGTATCCGGCCTCCACCTCGACCTCGTCTGGGCAGCATATGCATGCATCTCGCTGCTGCTGCTGCTGCTGCTGCTGCTGCTGCTCTTGACTTTGGGTCGTTGACGATTCAGCTGTCGCTGGCCCTCACCCGCAACAAGCCTGCCGCACGCTGCAGCTGGTCTGAGCGCCCTTGCGCCTCGGCCAACGCGGCTGCTGCCCCACCACCTGCATGCCGGCAAACGAGGGCGCGGCTGCTCCAAGCCGAAGTGGGGGGAAAGGGCTAAAGCTCGACTTTTTAGACTTGCCTCGGACTCGACGCGGGGAAAGGACCAGGGCGAGGGCCAAGGCGAGGGCGAGGGCCAGGGCTCACTTCCTTCACCCAAACGACCACCACCACCACCACCGCCGCCCGCCTCAATACCCCCCTCGACCCAGACTCGATGGCACCCACCGCCTCGTCGTCGTCATCGTCTTCCTCATCACCGCCCACTGCGCAAAAGCTGCCCGGCGCAACACCGACCGCACCCGCAACAGACGGCAGCGGCGCCGCACGGAAGCGCAAGAGGGTCTCGAGGGCCTGCGACCAGTGCTTCACGTGAGACTCCCCTCTCCATCCCTCGCATGCCACACCCTACTCTGACACCGCCTCTCTTCCCTATCCAACCGCCCGCTCCTTCCACCCACACAGCCGCAAGGACAAGTGCGACGGCCTGCACCCCGTCTGCTCCATCTGCCGCCGCCTCTCGATACCATGCACCTACCAGCGCCCGGAGCGCAAGCGCGGGCCCGTCCAGGGCATCCGCCAGAAGCTCGAGGCCCAGGTCGACGCCCTCGAGACCCTCCTCGGATTCTGCGTGCAGCACCTCTCCCACGACGTCTCACCCGCCCTCGTAGACTCGTACCGTCGCTGCCGGCACCGTGGCAACCATGGCGACGACAATGACGACGACGGCGACGATGATGACGACGACGACGCCTCCTGGCAGGCCGAAACGACGAGGTACAGGGCGGCATGGAGGCGGTCCAAGCTGAGGCGAGCGGCCATCGAAGTCGCCCTCGTCCAAGGAGCCGCCCCGTCCTCTGGCACCGAGCAGGGCGATCCGTGCGATGCACAGCCCGCTAGGCCGCAGCTCGAGAGGATGAGGTCCTCGACCGCCATCGCAGAGGCTGCTGCCGGTCGCACAATGGCCCCGTACAAGGCCGGCCATGGAGGCGCAGCACTCAACGCAGCCGCTCCTCATGCCGACATCGACCCGATCGACCATCCGGCCTCTCCGACGGTATCGGCGTCGTCTCCACCCAGATCGCCCTCGTCGTCGTCACGCCCAACGCTAGCCCACCACCGAATCCCATCCTTCCTGAGCTCGTCCCACGCATCCTCGACGCCGTCCTACCCTGCGACGGGCGCAACATCGTCGCCAGCATCGGTGCCGGCGCCGGCGCCCGCACCAACACCAACATCGGCACCGACCGCCGCCATCGTCGCCGCAACCCCGTCTCCCCACCGCATCACGATCCCCACGACGATACCCTCGTACGTCGCGCGCGGCCCGCCACCGCTGTCGAGCAGCACGGCCAGCACGACGTCTGCGCCCGCGATATCCGCGCGGCATCGGCCGGGATCGACGTACCGCAATCGCGGCCTGGTCCCGCCGGGGACGGATCCCAACGACGCGCTCGGAGGCTTCCACCTGGGCTTCCAGGACGACGAGGACTCGTGGTACTCGGGCGTGCTGCAGGGCGCAGGCGGCCAGTCGATCGGTGCTGGCGCTGCGGGCGCGGCGCACGACTCGGCGGCGACGCTGCAGAGACAGCAATCGGCAGCGGCATACAACAACGACGGCGAAGCGACCAGCTGAGGCACGGCCGGTCGGACTTGAAGGCTCTCGAGCGGACCGCGATGCGCGCAGCGGGGCGGCTAGAACTTTTATACCCAATGACGGTTGCATTCTTCTTGCGACGAAGCGAAACGAGAGCATGGCAAGCAATCTAGCAGGGCGGGGCAGCAAGCAATTGAGCAGAGACCGTCGCACGCATCTTCAAGACCGCTTCTTGGTGTCCGCTTGGCGTGGCGCGCCCTCGTCAAAGGGCCTGACGCGCTCGACATAAGGCAGGAAGCCCGGGACCAGCCGGACGTTTTCGGGGTGCTCCTTGACCGAGACGACGAGTTGCTGTGCGGTCGGATTGGAATTAGAGGGCGGTGGCGGCGGTGTGGAGGGGATCAGTCCGTCCGTCGGTCAGCGAGAAGAGAAGGAGGGCCGGATGCGCGGCACGCGACTCACCGTGGAAGCGACGTTGAGGCAGTAGGAGCCGTAACCGGTAAAGAGGTGCCACCACGCGTGGCCTTGGAGCGCCCACGCGGCCGGGTATCCGATGGCGTGGCGCCACGCCGTGAGCTGTGCGCAAAAGAGGTTGTCGATGTTCCAGATGACGAAGCCGAGGGCAAAGATGATGGCGCCCTTTGCGTTGAGCGAGGTGATTTCCCTCTTCCTCTGGTTGATGAGGGGCGATGACGACGACGACGAGGAGGACGAGGAGAGGGGGGAGGAAGGGTGGTGGAGGAGGTACCACTCGCGGAAGGTCGAGGAGAGGAGGAGGGTGGCGAATGCGACCTGGTGGAAGACGGGGTCCTGGTTGTGCAGGTATGTCCATGTGATGCTCGATACGAGGGCGAGGAGGAAGAGGGCGAGGAGGATGGGAAAGGTGCGGCTGCGGTAGCCTGGTGACGTCTCGAGGACGGCGTAGGTGAGCAGTGCCGAAGTGTAGATCATCGGTAGTTCCTGCGTGGTGCCGCGCAGAGGGGAGGGAGGGGGGAGGGGGAGGGGGAGGAGGGGCTCAGGTGAGCAGGCCGCAGCGAAGCAGCACCGACGGCCGTGCGGGACAGGAGACGACTCACATCGAGGAGCTGCATCTCCCTCTTTAGCGTGGCGTGGAACAGGGTCGATCCGACGCCAACGAACGCGACGCCAAAATGGGCGAGGACGAAGCGCAACGGCAGGCGCTGTCCGCGCGTGCGAGCTACGCCGTAGAGGGCGACGACGACGAAAAAGAGGTTCGACAGCGTATTGGCCGGCTCGGCCACGTACCGGCTCCAGCGGTACTTTTCCTCGCACCAGAAGAGCGATGAGGTTATGGGACCCCAGTAGCCTTCTGGCGGTGGGGTGGCGGGGCGGTAGGATGTCATTCCCGTCGGCTCGTGGTGAGAGAGGGAAGGGGGGATGGGGAAGAGGAGGCGGTGGTGCTGGTGCTGGTGGTGACGGTGAGGATGTCGTGTTTGGAAGAAGAGGCTCAGGTAGGTCGAGCAAGACAGGGTCCCCTCGTCTGGCATGCGCCAGGGCTGGGGCCCGTGTGAAAGCAGGCCTGGCAGGCAAGGCAAGGCGTTCAGGCCCAGCCCGGATCTCGGCCGTCTTGGTCCGATGCCAAAGTGACAGGCTGGGCCAGGCCCGGCCAGGCCAGGGTGGAGGAGGCGGGCACCCGCCAGCCTGCTTAACCCCGAAGGCGTCCAGCGTTCTTCGCCATCTTCGCCTTGCTTCCATCCCATCTCTTCTTCCTCCTCCGGCCTTCCATCCATCCATCCATCCATCCCGCACCAGCACCAATTTGCCGCCGCCACCACCACCACCGTCACCACCGCTACCACCGCTCCACGATGACGACGCCCATCCCGCTCCGGATCAAGGTGACGTCGGATACAATCTGTCCGTTCTGCTTCATCGGGCTGCGCAAGCTGCAGCGCGCGCTCGCCACGTCGCCCGTCGTCCAGTCCAAGGCCTTCGACGTCGACATCGAGTACCTCCCCTTCCAGCTCGACCCCACCCTCCCGGTCGACAGGCCCGAATCCAAGTTGGAGCGGTACAGGGCCAAGTTTGGCGCTAGGACCGATGGAATGGTCGAGATGATGAAGGGTCGCGGTCTCGAGTGCGGCATTCACTTGTGAGTCGTCCGTCTGACCTCCCGGTGCGGGAACGAGCGTGTATTGACCCCTACCTTGCCTTGCCTTGCCTTGCCTTGCCTTGCCTTGCCTTGCCTTGCCTTGCCTTGCCTTGCCTTGCCTTGCCTTGCCTTGCCTTGCCTTGCCTTGCCTTGCCTTGCCTTGCCTTGCCACACCTGTCTCGTATCGCCCCGCCCCCGGGATCACGGCCTCGCGCAGCTCCTACGGCGGTCCGATCCGATCCACGCTCCTCTCGCACCGCCTCCTCTCCAAATCCTACCTCGAGGGCGGATCCAAGCTACAGCTCGCGCTCATCGAAAAACTCTTCCACTCCTACTTCGAGCAAGAGGGCGACCCAGGCGACATCGACACCCTCGCCTCCCTCTCCGGCCCTCCCCCCGTGGGCGCCGGCGTCTTTGCATCCACCGACGCCGCGAGGTCCTTCCTCGAATCAAAGGAGCTCCTGCCCGAAGTCGAAAAAAAGTTCCACGAGGCCAGACTCAAGGGCATCTCGGGCGTGCCCCACTTTGAAATCGAGGCCGGCCAACCGGAAGGAAAGAGGGTCAGGGCCGAAGTCGGCGGTGCTCAGGACAGCGAGGCGTTTGTCGAAATCTTTGGAAAGATCAAGGAAGCCATCGACCAGCAGCAGTAGCATCGGCCGGGCCAGGAGTGAACCGAGGTCGCGCTGAGACCCGCACCGCCTCGGGATCGACGTGGAAATTGCAATCTAGATGGTAGCCTCTCCCCCTTTCCACCGCCGACGAGTCTATCCGTGTCCTCCCTCGACTCCGCCTAGCCTCTCTTCCTGTCCTCGCTCAGGGCCCGCTTCCCACCAGGCCCTGGCTGAGCGACCGGAGCGCCCGCTCGACCTCGAAGCTGTCGTCGCCCATGGCCTCTCGCGCGTCGTCGTCGTCGTCGACGCCATCGTCTTCGTCGGCGGCAAACGCGCTCGACGCACTGCGTGCCAGGCTGGTCCGGCCGCTCGCGTTCCTCGCCCGGTACGCCGCCAGCGGGCTCGACGACGGTCCCAGCGCCGTCGCGGGCGACGGCGACGCACGCAAGCCCATCGGGGAGCTCTGACCGATACCCGGCGAGGAGCGCATCGCTGCCGTCGGCGAAGATCGGTTAAAGGGCGAGGGCGTCGAGGCACCGAAGCTCCCCGCGACGCCCGAGGTGCCGCCCGCAAACGCCGATGCTGCGGGCGAGAACCGCGAGTAGTCCTGCGTCGGCGTACCGGGTGCCATGGTCTTGTGCGGCGACGTCGACGCCGATGGGGCGCGCATGCGGCCGGCAGAGAGGGGCGATGCGGCGCCGATCGACGACGGGCGCGTCTTGGGCGAGCCCTTGGCCTGGTTGAACTGGACGAGGCCGATGCCAAAGTTGCGCGGCGTCGCGGGACCTGCCGACGGGGTACCAGGCTGTAGCTGCTGCCCTTGCGCTGGTTTCTGGGCCAGTATTAGCGCGGGCGAGGCAGAGCGCTTCTGCAAGACGGCGGCCTCGATCAGGTTGAAGAGCAGTACGATCGAGGTGGCCCAAGCTGTTGAGAGGCGGCGGAGAGTAGGGAGGTCGATTATGGTGGGGTGGGTCAGCGCTACTGCTGTTCCGGGTAGGGAATCGACGATGGCGTGGAGGTTACTCACAGATCCAGCCCAGCACGGCATCGAGCTTCTCATCCACCGATCCGCCAAAGGTGTGGTATACGGAGTCGAGCAGGGCCCAGTAGGCATCTGTCGGCTTGCTGGACACGGCAGGTAGGAGCCAGAGGATGGCGAGGGCGGTGCCGTTCCACCTCAGACGCCTCGAGAGCGAGACGGACGACGAAGCGACAACCGAGCCGGACGAGGGGGCGAGCGTGGATGCGACCTTGGCCGGTGTGGTGGCAGTGGATGTCGGCTGCGGCGTGGTAGAGTGCTGTACAGCGCCTCGCTGCGGAGTGTGCGGAGTTTGCGGTGTGCTGACGGTGCGCTGTTGCTGTTGCTGCTGGTGTTGATGCGGCTGCCGCTGCTGGAGGTGTTGTTGAAAGGGCGTGGTAGGTTGTCGTGGTGCGAGCGCGCTGGCGGCCAAGGGGGCAGGAGTGGAGGGCCCCTGTGTTGCCGCAGCGTCTCCCCACCGCACCGATCTGGGCGAAGGTGCGCCGACGTTGGTCAAGGCGTCTCTGAATGGGCTGGACCCGGTCTGAGGGGGCTGCTGGCCCCCTGCGCTGAGCCGTGCCGAGCCCGACCTGGTCATCATCCTGGGCTGCCCAGCTGCCTGTTGTGCGTGGAGCGAGCGGGTTCTTGAGAGCTTCTGTCTTGAATGCGGGCAGGGGTATCTTGACGAGGCCGGACGCCTGACGAAGGATTGGACGCGTGGTGGTGGTGGTGGTGGTGGTGTTGGTTGTGTGCAGCTGGACGCTGTCGTGGGCCGCCCTCGCTTGACTGCCATCTGGGTGGATGTTTTCGAGCTGGGCGGCCAGGCCAAGCCTGCCGCTTTTTCAGGGCCCGATTGGCGCGAAAGGCCTGCCTCAGCCCGATGAGGCGACAGCGAGCGACGGCCTCCACCTGTGGGCCTCCTGCCTACCGGTCGGTGTGCCGCGGAGATGGCATAGGGTCGCGGGCTGCAGCTGCCGGCGGGGCCGCAAGCAAGCAAGCAAGCAAGCCAGCAAGCCAAGCCAAGCCATCAAAGCGGCGGGCGAGCGGGCGGGCTGGACCCTACCAGACCTCTCCCTCGCCGAGCCCAGCCCAGCTCTAGTCTAGCCTGCCCGCCAGCCGACGGCGCTTGCGCTTCTCTGGCTGAAAGGAGCCAGCGACTTGGCCTGCCAGGCCTCGCCTCGCCTCGCCTCGCTTGTAGGGGGCATCTGTCGCTCTATAGACGTTCCTGGGCCTCTTCCAGCTGGCATTCCCCGTCGTCGTCGTCGTCGACCGACCCACCGACCGCCAGCACACACGCGCCTGCATAGAACGCTCGCCTCTTTGGCTTCCTCTGCTTGCGACAGCAGCACGCGCTGTGGCCGGCGCAGCAGGCTGGGTCATCTGCCCTCGCCCCCCTCCCCCCTCCCCTGCGCTCTATATCAAGAGGCAGGCAGCAACAGGCTGGCCCTTCCTCGCACGTCCTCGCCCCGTCCAACTGGCGACGCCATCTCATCTCGACTCCCGACCTCGATCTCGTCCGCGCCAGATTACCTCACACCGGAACGCTTTGCTCCCCGCTTCCCGCTCTCCGCTCCCCGGCTCTAAAGGCCTCTCAAGCACCCCGGCCACTGCCAACGAGCAGACGACCATGATGGCCTCGCCGTCCGAGGATCCGCGCCCCTTTGGCGCGCTCACCGCCCCGCTACGGCTGCTGCTGCACGCCACCGCTCTCTACTCGAGCTACTTTGCCTTTACCCACCTCGGCGTACTCGAGCAGCTCCTCGACTCCATCATCCCCGACCTCTTCGGCGGTGAGTGCTGCCCGGCCGTCTGTGGATGAGCGCCGCGGCGTTTGGGAGGCTCACCGTCTTTCTGTCCTCTTTTCTTTTCCCCTCTCCTGACCTTCTGGCGCTATGCAGGGCAATCGCAGTTCCTCACCATGAACGGCCTCGGAGCCACCACGGCCACGTTTGCCGTCGCCCTGCTACGCGACCTCGTCCCGTCGCTACCCCTCGGTGCGTCCGCCCCACCTCTCGCTTTCCGTCCACACACTCATCGCAGCCCTCGCGCTCGTCTTCCGGGAGCCGCACTCCTGACCTCGCCTCGCATCCCCGTCTCTCCCGCAGGCTGGCTCAAGACGGCGCTCCTCTCAGCCTCGCTGCCCTACGAGTTCCTAATCACGCTCCTCTACTGGGGCCTGCGGCTGTACGACCCTTCGCTCGTGGTGCCGCCAAAGACCATCTACGACCCGGCCGACCCGGGCCAGGTGCTGCGCGTCGAAAACGTCCCCATCCCGCTCGCCATCGACGCCAGCCTGCACGGCTTTCCCGGCCTGTTTCTCCTGATCGAGTACCTCGCCTTTTCGAGGGCCCGAGGCGGCGGCAGCAGCGACAGACACGGAAATGGTGACCGTGGGAGGAAGACGAGGCTGGCGTGGTGCGTCGCGGCCGGACTGGCTTACGTGTAAGTCCAGCCTCTGACTCCTCTTGCTCCCGGGCAGATCTGGGACCTGGCGCTGACTCGGACCTCCGGCTCGTCTCTGTTGCATCTGCTGCGTTACCACCAGCGCGTGGAGCGAGTACTGTGCATCGATAAACGGCCACAGGGCATACCCGCTGCTCGAAGCGCTTTCCGCGCCGCAGCGCCTCGTCCTCTACAGCGGCTGCCTGGCCATCGTGCTCGCCGCCTCGGTGGCGCTCGAAAAGGTCCACGACGCCCTACACGGCCACGCAAGAGGCCCCACCGTCCAAAGCGGCGGCAAGAAGCGCGCGTAATGGGTGCGCACATTGCAAGGTGCCGCCGGGCTCGATTGAACTAGAATGCTGGATGCAGGCGTCGTGGTGGAAATGCTGTCGATCAAGATGGTCATCTGCTTTGCTTGGCTGCGCGGGGCTGCGGATCCCCTCTGTGGACCGCGCCTGATGTAGATGCGAGGATGCATGAATGCTTTTGGTTGAGTTGCGTTGCTTGCTCGTCGAAGTGTCCCGTTGGCCCGACCGTACCGTGCCGGTGCGGCAAGGATCTCTGCTCATTTCTGCTTCGTAGCCTAATCCTCGTCGCTATCATCGCCGTCGTCCTCATCGTCGTCGTTGTCTTCGTCGTCATCGTCCCGGGTGACGGCGCCGTTCCTGCAGAAACGCCTCCAGTTCCTCGCCAGCTGCTGGGCAGCCTTTCTCCACGCCACGTCGAGCTCCGTCTCTCCGTCTTGGCCGCTCTGCTTTGCCGCGGCGTGGTCGCTCCTCTTCTGCTCCAGCTCCGCGTCGCTCCAGCCGGCCCAGACCTCGCCGACGATCCTGGTGGCCTCCCACACCCTCTTGGCCATGCCGTCGACGCGGTGGAAGTCGGACTCGACCAGGATGCGCTTGGCGTCGGCCGTCTGGATGACGTCGCGGTGGTTGTCCTTGATCGAGTTGATGGTGCTCGAGAAGCCGATGTAGGCGTTCGGGTAGGTCTTCTGGAGCGTCTTGACGATGTTGACATCCATGGTGCAGCTGTGGAAGCTCACGTTGATGTCGCGCATCCCGAGCGAGAAGCCGCCCGGGTGGAGGAGGTGGAGCTCGCGCATCAAGTCGAGCGTGGCGCCGCTGGCCTGGACCGAGTGGAAGGAGACGTTGCGGCCCAGCTCGACTGCGAGCGAGATCTGGGCGCGCACGATCGCAAGCTGGTGGGGCAGCGGCGTCTTGAGGCGGGTTAGCTTCGGCTTGGTGGTGCGCGCCGTAGCTGTGGCATCGTCGTCGTCGTCGCCGAGCGAGCCGTTGGGGCCGTCGGCGTGTTTCGAGCAGCAGGTGTGGGTGTTGTTCTTGGTCGCGTTGCCGCTGAATGGATCGTAGGACCATCGTTTCCTGGGGATGCGGAACGCGCGATCGATGCCGACCTCGCCGAGGATGGCTGTGGGGTGCGATTCGAGCCCCTGGCGTACGCGGCGGAGCAGGTCGGAGAGGGTGGTGGGGTCCGGGAGGTCGGCGAGGATCTCGTCGACTTCGTCCTCTGCGCTCTTCTGACCGGCAAAGAGGTCGAGGTAGTGTTGCCGCTTGTCTTTGGGCGGCGATTCGGCGAGCGAGACGGTGTGGGCGAACCAGGGGTGGAGACCGAAGCAGGGTAGCAGCTTATCTTGACTTGGAGATTGCGACGACGACGACGATGACAGGGACGACGAGGCGAGTTGCTGCACGATGGGTTGGTCGCGGTAGGACGTCGACATGGCCACGACCGTCGCCATTGGGCAGCTTTGCAGCCTCTGTTTGAGCGCGTCGGCGGCTGCAGGGGCGGAGAGGGACGAGTCGTAGGTGCAGGGATCATCGGCGGGGTGTGCGTGGGTGTCGACGAGGAGGTGGACGAGCTCCGGCGGGGGCGAGGGGAGCTCGTCGGCGGCTCCATTGGCGCCGTCGTTGGACATGATGGGGTCAGAGAGAGGCGACGAGGAGGGGCAGCGATGTAGGACAAGACGATGGAGGAGGTGGTGGTGGTTGAGGCGGCGGCGGTGGTGGTGGTGGTGGGCCGGTGCATCGGGCGTGGTGGGCTTTGGCTGGCTGGACCCTGGCTGGCTTTGTCTGGCCTTCATTGCAAGCTTGCCGCCTCTTCTTCTTGCCTGGCGCGCTCTGGATGGCAGGAAGAAAACCAAAGAGGCAACAGAGAGAGCCGGCCTTTGGCAGCCCAGGCTGGGCGACGTCATGCGTGCCCGCCAGTCTGCCTCCACCTTGGCCTGGCCTGCCTTTGCCTGCCTTTGCCCGCCCCGCAGCGCCCGTCAGGGTTCAGAGCGGGGGCTGGCCGACCTGCCTGCCTTTCGTGAAAACGCAGCAAAGACGCGACAAAGGGCGCTGGGCCTCGAGCTTGGTTGCCGATTTGCCGGGCCGGTTGGCATCCGGGGGGGGGGGGGGGGGGGGGGGGCCTTGGCTGGCCGGCCCAATCCGTCCAGGCCCAGCCCTCCGGCAGCCAGGATTCGGAGGGTGCACTCATCGTCAGCTTCCTTCCTTCCATCCACCACCACCACCACCACCACCACCACCACCAACGCCAGCATCAACTCGAGCAGCAACAAGAGCAGCCGCCCGCCGCCCGTTCTCTCTCTTCTCGGACTTGCTCCTAGATTCACTCAGACTCGACCCCTCGACGCACGCCGACACCGGCACCCTACGGCCCCGACTTCGCCCCTACTAGCACCTTCCAGGATGGCCCAGAGCGAGCTCGTGAGTGCAGCAGCAGCGGCCCTCTCTCCGCTTGCCAGCGCTTCTGACAGTCGACTGACGATCCTACTGCTTGTATCCTAACCTCTCCTCGCCCCTGGCAACTGCAGCCCCCCTTCGCCCAGGCGACTGCCGGCGCGCTGGGCTCCATTGCCAGCAACACGCTCGTCTACCCGCTCGACCTCCTCTCGACCAGGCGCCAGACGCAGTCCCGAGCACGCGAGGGCAAGAGCCTCAAATTTTCCGTCCTCGCCTCACTCCGGGAAATCGTCGACAAGAACGGCATCGCAGGCCTCTACCAGGGACTCGGGTCGGACACCCTCTCGAGCACGCTGTCCAAGTGAGTCGAGGCCCAGCTAGTAGCCATGCCGACCCAGGCAAGGCCTCTGACTCTATCGTCCTTCGCTCTTCATTCCGGCCCGCCCCTCGATCAGCTTCCTCTTCTTCTACTTCCGCTCCTTCCTCATCGAGCGGCTCAAGTCGCACAAGTCGGCGCGGATGCCACGCGCTGCGGGCAAGGGCAAGGGCAAGGCGCCCTCGATTGTCATCACCGCCGCCGAGGACCTGGCGGTAGGAGCCATGGCGGGCATCGCATCGCGCTTCTTTACCACGCCGCTCTCCAACGTCACCGTCCGCAAGCAGACGGCGGCCACGCCCTCCAAAAAGCAGGCCGAGGCCGATGCCGAAAAGAAGAAGCAGCGGCAGCAGCAGCAGCCGGGCAGCGACAGCGAGTCGGACGACGAGTCGAGCTACGGCGACGAGACGACCATTGTCGACACGCTGCGCCAGATTGTGGCCGAAAAGGGCTTCCTAGGCCTGTGGTCGGGCTTTGAGACGGCGGCGCTGCTGAGCATCTCTCCGGCGCTCACCTTCTACAGCACCAACGCCTTTTCCAGCCTGCTGATCCCAAAGGCGCGGCGGGCCAAGCCGACGTCGGTCGAGGTGTTTGTCACGTCGGCGCTGGGAAACAGCGTGGCGACCATGATCGTCTTTCCGCTGATCCTGTGCAAGACGCGGCTGCAGTGGAGGAGCCCGACGGGCCGGCGGATGTACACGAGCCTGATTGACGTGGTGCGCAAGACGTTCAAGCGCGGCGGGCTCAAGGCGTTCTACTCGGGTCTCGACACGCAGCTGCTCAAGGGGCTCGTCAGCCACGGCACGACAATGGTGAGTACGGTGGCAGTGGACGGGCGAGCCAGCCAGCCGGCCCGATCAAGGACTCAGGACCTCGCTGACCCTTGTTCAATCTCATCTTCCTTACTTCCGGTCGTCGGTGGCTTGGCCGCTGCAGACGGTCAAGCAGCGGATCGAGACGCTCTTTGTGCTTGCCTTTCTCGCGCTTCGCCGGCGCTCGTCGGCCGTCGCTGGTGCTTCGGCGGCATGAGGCGGCGGCGACTTGCTTCTTTGCTTACTGTATCCTCCTAGCTTCCACGTTGCCCTCGTCGTGGCATTGACGCTTTACGATCAGCGCCGTGTTTGTGGGAAGCGGCGCCGTTGTCGATGGCGGCTTGGCTTTGCGAAGTGAGGAAAAGGGGGGCGAGCAACGACGATGGCGCGGCCGTCGAGGAAAAGCGGGCGCAGCGTGCATGCTTGGCCTGGCCTGGCCTGGCCTGGCCTGGCCTGGCCTGTGCGGGCGCCGTCGAGAGGGCACGGCAAGGGTGCGTCTTTCTGATGTCATCTGCATGGCGGCCGGGCTCGTGGCTGACGTGCCTCCCCTTGGCTGCCCCGCCTGCGTCTGTGCGCCTGATGAGGTCGTTGGCTCGCTGCTCGCGGGTCTTTCCCCAGCTGACTGGCTCCTGCCTCGAGCCAGAGACAAGGGCGCTTGCACGTAACTCCCGCCTTGTCTCTCCTTCTGTCCACCACCACGACGGCTCGAAACATCCACGACCCCGCCGAAACCCTCTCACTTTCTCCTGTCGCCGGCGTCACACCATGAACGGCCACCGGGAAACCACGGCTGCGGCCCCGGCCGGTGCTCCTCCGCCGCCTCCTCCCAAGGACGGCACGTCGTCCTCGTCGACCACGGGTGTCCTGTCCGACCGGCTCGTCCCTGCCATCTCGGGGGCTGCGACCTCGCTCACCGAGACCGCCAGCGCCGCCACCGCTTCCGTCAAGTCCGGCCTGTCGCCCCAAGCCCAGGCTGCCACCTCACACCAGCGGGCGTCGCCGCCGCCGCCGCAGCAGCCCGTGCCCCACTCGCGAGCTGACTCGCAGCTGGCCGACTACGTTCTCGTCTTCCAGGCCATCGCAAAGAAGCACATCCGCTCAAAGACCAAGGTGCAGGCCACCGAGCGCGCAGAGGTCACAGACGAGTACGACCGCCTCGTCGCACGCATCCGCCACACCGGACTCAAGCTCACCTCGCGCGAAGGTGCAAAGGGCAGCGGCCAGGTCCTCCTCTTTGTCAAGGCAGACCCCGCCCTGCTCAACAGCCTCGCCCGCCAGGAGTCCCTCACGGACTACCTCCACGGCGTCCTGTCCGTCGAGCCGCCGCCCCAGCGCTCCTCGAGCCTGGCTGCGGGCGCTTCCTCGGCCTCGTCCGGTCTGCAGCAGCGGCCACCGCTCGCCGTCACGCCCGCCTCGCGCGTGCGCTTCGTCCACTCGCTGCTGACGCTCCCCACGCTCGGCAGCAAGGCGATCAGCGACGCTGCGGGCAGCGACGGCGACTCGCAGGTGCCCTCGGGGGCCGGCCTTCGCGTCGGCCTGCCCGACTTTCCGCGCCTGGTCGACATGTCAGCCATCCACGACCCCATCTACAACTCCGCCTGGGTCCAGCGCTGGTCGCACACCGCGCCCACCGCCGTGCTGTCCGGCATCGGCCTAGAGGACCTCGACTCGGTGCGCGAGCACTTTGGCGAAGACGTCGGCCTCTACTTTGGCTTCCTCAACTTCTACTTCCAGGCGCTGGCGCCGCTCGCCCTGTGGGGCACCGCCTTCTGGGCGTTTGGCCGCCCCTATTCGCCGCTCTACTCGTTTGGGCTGGTGGCTTGGGCCTGCCTGACCGTCGAGATGTGGCGCATGAAGGAGCGCAAGCTGTCGGTGCGATGGGGCACCGTCGGCGTCGACCGCGTCGAGCGCCGCCGCGACGACTTCCAGCCCCGCACCAAGCGCGTCGATCCGGCCACGGGCGAGCAGGAAGAAGTCTTTGAGTGGTGGCGCCGCGAGCTGCGCGTCGTCGCCACGCTGCCCGTCATGCTCGTCTTTGCCTCGCTGCTGGCAGCCACCATGACGCTCATGTTTGTCGTCGAGATCTTCGTCGGCCACCTCTACCACGGCCCGCTCAAGCAGGCCGTGCCCTTTATCCCCACTGCCCTCTTCGTGGTGGCGGTGCCGCAGATCATGGCGGCCTGGCAGGCCACGGCCGCCTCGCTGACCGGCTGGGAGAACCACTACAGCTCGCGATCGCACGACTACAGCCTCACGCTCAAGCGGTTCGCGCTGCAGGGCATGGTGGCCTACGGCGCCCTCTTCCTGTCGGCGTTCGTCTACATCCCCTTTGGCGAGGCCATCATGCACGAGGTCGTCGAGCGCGGCTTTTTCCGCGACTCGATCGAGATGGCGGTGCGCGAGGGCAAGCTGCCTAAGGGTGGCATCGACTTCCACGTCAACCCGGACCGCATGCACACGCAGTTGTTTGCTGTCAGCGTGACGAGCCAGGCCATCGGCGCCTTCACCGAGCTCGTGCTGCCGCTGCTAATGCGCAAGGCGCAGGAGTGGAAGAGGGAGCGCGACGCCCGCCGTGCCGAAGGCGCCGGCGGCGAGAAGAGCGCCTCTTCGTCTTCGTCTCCCGGGGCCAGCGACCCCGAGGCCAAGTTTGTTCGTAGGGTGCAAAAGGAGCTCGAGCTGCCGCCCTACGACCTGTTTGGCGACTATGCAGAGATGGCGACACAGGTGAGTGCGAGCGCGGCTGGTGTGCCACCTGGTCGACCTAGTAGTGGACCTGCCCCTCGACCTTTTCCTGATTCCCCTGTCTGATCGCCCCTCCATCCGCCCGTGGCAGTTCGGATACATCACACTCTGGTCGGTCATCTGGCCGCTCTCGCCGGTGATGGGCTTCGTCAACAACTTCTTTGAGCTCCGCGCCGATGCCGCCAAGATCTGCCTCAACCAACGCCGCCCCATCCCCGTCCGGGCCGAGAGCGTCGGTCCGTGGCTGGAGGTCCTCGTGAGTGGCTGAGCCTTGACCGCTTTGTCCAACAGGAAGAGAACGAGAATGTGCCTGGGGCTGAGAGTCGCTGACGTCCGGTACGATTAACGCTCCTTATGCGGGTGTGCGCGACATGCGCCAACGCAACGACACAGGGCTTTATCGCGTGGCTCTCTGCGCTCTCCAACTCTGCGCTCGTCTACCTCTTCCAGCAGAGCACCGACGCCGGCTCCAACGGCCACTCGCGCTACGCGACGACGATGCGGTCGCACATCCACCCGCACCTCTCATCGCCCTCGAGCGGCGGCGGCGGCGGCGGCGGCGGCTTCAACGCCACCCTGATGGGCGATGACCCGCAGTCGCGCTTCTCGTTTTCGCGTCTGCTCCCCTCGCACATCCCCGCGTCCGGACCGGCGGGAGCCATCGTGGCCGCCATCCTCGTCGCCCTCACCTCGGAACACGCCTACGGCCTGGTGCGCCAGGGCGTCCGACACGTCCTCGAGCGCTTCGTGTGGAGGGACAGCCACGAGGAGATGGTGGTCCGCCGCCGCGAATGGAGGATCCGCGTCGAGTCGGTCAGGGCCCGCGCCGACGAGCAGCAGCGCTCGTCGTCTGCTGCCGCTGCCGAGGGAGGCGCTGCGCTCCAGGGCGGACTGGCTAGTCAGGCCGACGACGATGGTTTCTGGACCCACGACCGCGATGTTGGGCCTGATATCATCAGGAACAGCGGCAAGGTCGAGTGAGGGGCGGGGTGGCCAGCGCGGGTTGCTCGCGATGAATGCACGGTTCGACGCAACGGCGTCCCACTTGATCGACGAAACGTCCCTGATCGAAATGCTGATGTGGGTTGAGTGAGAGAGATGGTGTGCGACGTGTGATCGTTGAGGAGCCATGTCGCGGCGCTCCACCTACTACTGCCCCCTCCCCCTCCCCCTGCCCCGACCGCCTCTCGCGCCGCCTCCGGGTGCGCCGCCGCCCCTCGCGTGGTTGTTGTATCCGCCCCGCCCTCCTCCTCCCCCGCCGCTGCCGCCGTGGTTCTGGTTCCGCATGCCGAGGTTGACGCCTCCCGACATGCCGCCTCCGCCGGACTGGCGCTGTTTCCTAGCCGCCTCTTCGGTCTCCTTGACGCTGTCGATGACGGAATCGGCGACGCGGCAGTACTTGATCTGCATCGGTGAGGGAGAAACGGCGAGCGGAACGGAGGGGTGAGCTGAGAGTTCAAAGAGGAGCGCGACATGAGGAAGGTGTCTGTAGGGCTCACGGTGGATCCGCGGATGTAGCATTCCGGTTGCTTCCAGAACTGTTCTCCGCTCTGCGATCGAGGTAAGGCGAGGGTTGAGGATGAGGGGTGGGAACAGGAGCGGCGGGCGGGGTCAGATGTGTCTGCCACCATGTCACGTAGGACAAGCGAGGGCTTTGCAGTGGGACGGGGACGGGACACGCACTGCACTGGTCTCGTAGACTTGGCGCAGGGTGAGGTTCATAAAGTTGTCGCAGGCGATGAGGTGGCCGTTGAAGGTGGAGCCGTTCTTGAGCTCGACGAGCATCGGCTTGTTCTGCGCCGCATTGAGCAGCGTGAGTGGGAGCTGTGGGTGCAATTGGATGAACGCGGGGGTTCAAGAGAGGGTGAGGTGAGCAGAGAGCTAGAGGAGCAGAGGCGGCGCGGCAGGGTTGCCGAGTCGACTCACCATGATGTTGCCCTCTGACTACTGGCTGGGCCGGGAAGAGCGGCCGATGTACTGCGGTCGTGTGGGGCGTGTGCTGCTGTTCGTGGTCGTCTCTGATGCCTTGTATCGCGTATGAGGATGATGAAGACTGCGACGGTGATGGTGAGTTGGTGGAGGGACAGAGGAGCGTTCGAGATGGTCCGAGGTTAGCTGCTGGACGGCGCTGCGTGATCGGATCTCGCATCTCGCCGCGCTCGCCTTGTCTTTGGACCCCCCGATGCAAGATGGCCCCGATTGGGCCAGGGAAGGCGGCTGAGTCCAGCTCCACTTTGCGCACCACGACCTGCCGCGGTTTCCTTCGCCTTCGCTGCTCGCACCTCCTTCCTTCCGCTTCCCCCCTCTCTCCAAGCTTATCTCCTCCATCGCTGCACATCCCATCCCCACCATTCGCCTCGACCGTCAATCGCATCGCCGCACCCGTGCGCGTCCACATCTTTGCCCTGCGCTTCCTCGCCCAGCATGGCGTCGCCGTTCCGCATCGACATCCAGTCGGAGCCGGCAAAGGCGCTCCAGGCCTCGATCCAGGATGCGCTCGCCCAGCACGGCTACTCGTCCTCGGACGACCCCGTCATGGCCGAGTACATCGTCGTCATGCTTGCAAACCAAAAGACAAAGGAACAGATTACCGCAGAGCTCAACGACCTCGTCGGCTCCGAGTATCAGCCTTCTTTCACCGATTGGATTTGGACCGAGACCGACCGCTTCATCAACGGCGACGCCGCCACAGCCGCTCCCACGTATGAGCAGCAGAAGCAGCAGCAATCAGGCTACTCGGATGCAGGCCCCTCCACCCTCGCCACGGTGGACGAGGAGATTGGAGACGCAGATGATCAGGGGCGCAGGTCGGCAGGAAGGAGCGCATCGCCGGCTCAGCAGCAGCGGCTGCGCGACCGGAGGCGGAGCATCAGCCCCGAGACGAGAAACAGGCGGACCAAAGGCGACAGCTGGTCGAGGCAAGACGGATCCCAGGACCGCGCTATGCGAGGGTGGGCCGGCGACAACGACGACCAGCGCGGCGCCAGAGGCGGGCCCAACGGCCGCGCCTTTTGGCAGCAAATGCCGCGTTCGCAGCACCAGCAAGACGACCGACAGCGTCAACGACCGCCAAGAGAGCTTTTCAACTCGGCTATGGCCCAAGCCACTGGCGCTCAGGGAGGACCACGTTCGGCCGCAGGGTGGGGACAGCGACAGCAGCGAGGCGGCGGGCCCGGCGGGGACGGCTCCTCGCTGGCGATGGACGACCCGTCGCTCGCTCGGCAACAATCTTCGCTGCAATGGCAGGGACAGTCTGGGCCCGGCATGCGGATACAGGGAGTTTCGCAGCCGGCCAGGCAGCGGCCGGATCTCTTCAGCAACGACCACAACGTGCCGACGGGCCCGAGGGCAGGCTCCGGCGCCTCGCTCAGCATCTTCGGACGCGCCGGTATCCCTGACCCTCGAGCGGCCGAGTTCGTGCCCGGGCAATCCTTCAACTCTCCCGGCTTGCCAGCCCAGCAGCCTCTCGTGCCGCAAGATCAGCAGCAGACGCCCGCGGCGGGAGCATCCGGCACTCCCTCGATCTTTGCTCGCATCGACCCAATGATACCCAACAACCAGCTTCCCGACGCGAAGGCGGCCGAGGGTCATGCTGCAGCCCGATCCGTGGATTACCCGTCTGCCCCGAGCGAAGTGGCGCTCTGCCGCTGGAACCTCGGTTGCACCAACCCGTTGTGCCCCTACAGCCACGCCTCGCCCGCCAACGCCGGCAAGGACGGCGACGCCAACGCCCTGGTGCTGAGCCAGGAGGCGTGCCGCTTCGGCGCCGGCTGCACCAACCGCGACTGCACGCGCAGCCACGTGAGCCCCGCCATCGCCTTCATTGACCGCAAGACGGCTTCGGCGGTGGCGTCGCTCCTTCCAGGCACCAGGCCCGGCCCGTCGTCCGCAGCCGCTGGCGCCTCGTCGTCGTTTGGCGGCATCGTGCATGGCCAGCAGCCCTGTCGGTTCCAGATGACGTGCACCAACGCCTCTTGCACCTACGCCCACTACGATGAGAACGGCAACACGGTTCCGAGCCCTGCTCTCAGGGCCCTGACGTCGCAGCCGCCATCCACGTCAGGTTCAGCAGCAGCGACCAACGCCATGGACATGACAATGTCATCCGAGGGCTCTGTCGACCTCCAGACCGAGCTCGCTGGCACCGAGGCTGCCGCCCAGCCTTACGATGCGGCGACGACGACGACGACGACGACGACGACGACGACGACGACGAAAACGCCGGCGGGACTGGACCGGGCGCTCGGCGAGGGCGACAGGAGCGCGAAAAAGTGCAAGTTCGGGCTCGCCTGCACGCGGCCGGACTGCTTCTTCTCGCACCCGCCTGGCCGAAGGATCGGAGCCCGCGCATCGGCGGGTGGCGCAGGGCCGACACCCTGCCGTTTCGGACTGGGCTGCACGCGAGGTGAGTTTCACGCTGCGCCGGCACACTGCGAGGATCTGAAAGAGAAACTGACTGTTGGCCATCATCGTTGTTCGTGTCGCGACCGCTGTTTTTGTTTTCCTTCCCGCAGCCGACTGCTACTTTACCCATCCCCCCGGTCGTACCCTGGCCACGGCCAACGACGGCGCCTCGAACGGCCACATTTCGGACCGGCTCGCCAGGTTTGCGCAGTCGAGCAACGAGGAGATGGAGACCATCATCCCTGGCACCTCGTAGAGCAACGGCGGTCTTCCCTGTGCTGCTACCTCATGCTTTGCTGTCACATGTCACTCGCAATTACATCATATCTGGTGCACATCAGAGGCAACACTGCAGGCTGAGAGGCCAAGGGCGGAGGCGGTGCTGGGACCGTATGGAGTCAGCGGCCTCCGCGCCCGAACTTGGACTGTGCCTGCGCTTTTGCCGCTACTTGTTCTCCTGACGACGCTGCTGAGCGGCGAGGTAGATGCTTCTGACCGCCGGGGCGCTCAGCTCCGACACGACCTCGAGGTCGTGGACATCATCGCCGTCGATCCAGAAGTGACGGCCCATCCTATCTCCACCCCGGATGGGCGAATCCCGATGGACCGAGGCGATCCAGCCGTTGGAGAGGACGAGGTGCTTCATCGCCCCTGCCCCTCGCCCCTCGTCGTCGTCGTTGTCGAGCGAGGTCGGTTCGATGTCGACAATCTCGCTGCTCTGTGCGTGTGCGTGTGCGTGTGCGGGCTCGAAGTAGAGGGCATCCGAGAACTGCAACGACGTGTACTTAATTCGCTCCCTGTCGCGTCAAGAAGCGGGTGGTGTCAGTGCTGATTGTCGGGTTTGGGAGGATGGCGTGCGGTCTCACCGTCGTTGGATTTTTGGGCATCAGCGCAGAAGGCGGGCGGATTGTTGCTGCGCGCAGGGCCCAACGATGTCAGTTCCAGGTCCAGGTCCAGGTCCAGGTCAGGTCAGGTCAAGTCGTCAGCAGCTCATTCGAAGGGCGGGAAACGGCACGGGGGAGGACGGAGGGCACTCACGTCGCCCAAACGACGCCGAGCCCGACCTGGACGCCACCCTTGACGTCATTGGCTGACCGGAACGTCTTCCATTGACCATTTCGGTCTGCGATTCCGACCGTCGCCGCGGATCGTTCGGGGCCAGGTCAGCAAAGGGCGGCGGAAGGCGTAGGTCGGCCCTTTTTGTTTAATGGAAGGGACTGGGCTCACTCTGCTTTTCGACGAGGGGGACGCAGCGCAGCGTTCGGTAGCGTTTGGGTCCCCGTGCTGGTATCGCGTCGAAATCGAGGTGATTTATGGGTGGAGAACGGAGATGAGCTGCGCTGATCGATCGATCGTGTAAGATGGCGATGGCGGACGACTAACCCGTCGAGGCCAGTGGGTATTCGTCTGGACGGGAGGCGAGGAAAAAGAGGTACGGCGTCGGCCAGACGGGCCATGGATACCCGGCGTGGGAACGATGCAGGACTCACCGCAGCTGTTGCCATAGGCGGAGTACTGTCGTCCCCCCCCCACAACAACGCGGGAGAAGGTGGTGCCGAAACGGTCAGCTCTTGCTAAGGCGCCTCGGGTCGACAGAGGCGTACGTTCCAATCCGATCTCACCTTGGTCCTGCCGTTGGAACAAGGACGAGCCCTATAGGCAGAAGCAGTGCAACGGGCGAGACGGGAAGGGCAACGTCAGACCCATCCCACCTGACAGCACCGGCTCGCGGTGTCTCGATGGCGGGGCACGGCAGGGAGGACTGACGCGCATCCGGCATCGCGATCGCTCACGCCCTGCGCCAGGGCGGTGAAGAGACCGGGCTGGGCGTCCCTGTTGACGGCGAAGCATGCATTGTTACACGGTCCTGAGTCGCTCACCACGTCGCGGCACGGAACGGATCGTCAGCCTTTCGGTCGCGAGGGAAAAGCGATGTAGAGCTCAGGGGAAATGGGGAGCGACTCACCAAACGCTCCGTTTCGGGTTTGGCCATCGGGCCCCGTGTACGGGTTACATCTCTGCCCTCACCCAGTTTGGCGGACGCGGAAACGGCAGGGTCAGAAGAGGTGTGATTGAGGAGCACAGGAGAGGGATCGACGGGCAGAGGGCAGACGTACCAGCAGGAACGTAGGGACCTGTCCCTCTGTGCCGCCGGCGAGCGTGACGAGGAGAACAAGGAGCGCGACGAGATTAGTGAGGCGGGCGAGGACGTTCATCGTCTTGCTTGTCTTGGCCTCGGCCGGATTGTGGTAGAGGAATGTACGGAGTGTGTCAAGGTCAGAGAGAGGGGGAGAGCGGATGAAGAGAGAAGGAAACTGCCTGGTCATCCCAGCCTTTCTGATCGTCCGTGTCGCTACTTATCGTTATCCGAGGCGAGGGGATCACGTCCTTGGCCCCTCGAGCGTCCGGGCTCACAAGAACAGCATCAAGAACGACGAAAGCGACTCGCAACATCCCCAGACGTAGCGTTTCCACACTCTCGAGGCCGTATGCGAGCTTGTGTCGTCGCCAGTGTGACGCGACTTGGCCCAGCGGCTCGCGCGGATGCAAGGCCGAACGAGCTACCTTTATTCGCGCCGTGCGGACACGTCTTGGAGCTTCCTGCTGGAAGGCAAGCCTGATTGTCGGGTAGTCATCCTCCTGATGCCCTGGCTCAAAGTCTGCCTTTGTGCGTTCGGCGACGCCGAAGGAGTGTCTACTGGCTCAACGAGGCGACCTAAACGTAGCTCGAACGACAAGGCTTTCGGATCCCGGTCCGAGATCCTGAATCGATGACGGTTTACTCGAAGAGGTAGAAGCGAGGCTGTGGTCCTGACCGTCTCGTTGCAGCTGCACAGGCTCCGCTCCACACGCAAATCCACTGTAATTCCCTTGTCTCCGCTCCACAGCACGGCAGGAGACGCTGCAATGAGGGCGGCTGATGCTCGGGTATCTGGCTTTGATTGCATCCTGAAGCTATGGCGAGCTCGAGCAGACACTCGGCAGGACAGGACGCTCAGTGGATGTAGTCGGCGTACTTGATCCACATGGTGACCAGGCTCGAGGCTGCAGGGGCAGGATGGATCGACGAGGGCGCAAGGTTCAGCGGTCAGCAGTCAGCGTCGAGGAGGTGCAGGTTGAGCGCAGCGAGTGCGGACCGGGCGCTGCCAGAGCGCGGGCGGCGACTCACAGGCGACGATGAGGGGGCTGATGATGCCCGCCGAGAGCTTGGCCGTCTTGAAGACGAGGACCTCGGTGGTGAAGTGGAAGAGAGCGATGACAAAGGAGCCCATGCAAAGGTCGTAGGCGCTGTGCGGTGCGGGATTTCGGGGGATTGTATGGTGCGACGGCGATAGAATGCAATGAGGAAGCGTCAGTCTCAACCGCTCGAGTGAGGGTGCAAGCGGAGAGACAGACTCACGCCTTGTTGTGGATGTCGTAGGCGGCGTAGAGGCGGATCATGGCCGAGGCGAGGTTCCAGATGCCAAAGGTGCGGGCCGACAGGGGCGTCACTGCGGAGAGGGGGGACAAGGTGGCGAGCGGAAGGATGAGTACGAGCTTGGCATCCGGATCGAGGCAGGAGGGGTGCGTGGGGGCTCACCCTGTGCGCCGCCCTTTGTGTAAACCTTTCGGCTGAAGGAGTGGTCGAGGTAGTTTTGGGTGCAGTTGAAGATGGCGAGCGTCGAGACGACGAGGAGCCACTTTGCGAGGAGGTCGTCGGGGATCCCTGGTGGGGCGATGGCGGGGCAATGAGAGGCAAGGTCTTAGGTGAGCGGGCGAGGTTATGTCTGCGGTGGCAGCAAGAGCCTCGAGGGGAACTCACAGGAAGCAGTAGACATGATGGGCGTGGGAGTGGACGGTGGTTGATGATAGAGTGGTGGTGGCGGGAGAATAGACGTAAAGGCGAGGAGACGAGGGAAAAGGAGCGAGGGCAAGGCGGGCTAGGCTCTTGAGTGAGGGCGGCGGAGGCAGGAGAGGAATAAGCTTGCGGGCCAGCAGGCACGGCCAAGGCAGGCCCAACGCCGCCAAGCGAGGAAAGCTTCTTCTGAACGGGAGCCTCGCATGGGGCACCACCCCGCCCCACGCTTGGCTTGATGTGCTTTGCTTGGGCCGGAGCGAGCCGGTGCGACCCTGAAGCCGTGCAACAGGCGGCCGCAAAGTCGGATGGCCTCGCTGCCTCGCCTGGCCTGGCCTCTGTCGTTGGGTCGCCTCCACACACCGTGGGCCAGCCCGGATGCCTGCCTGCCGTGGTTGCTCGGATCCAAAGAACCCTAGCCTGTCCGAGGCCTCGCTCGACCTGATCCTCTCTCGGCTCGTCGACTCTTTGTCCTACACCACCTTCCTCGCCCCGTCCCTGGCACCGTTCATCGTCACCTTCTCGACCTCGTCCCATTCTCGCATCTCTCTCGCGCTCCTATCCGCAGCATCTCTAGACGTGACCAGCCACCCCCAATCACCCCACTTTGTACCCCCCCCCCCCCCTCCTCCCCCCAGTGAAATCGCTAGAGAAAACAAGACCAAGGCAACATGTCGACCACCGACCCAAAAGGCATCATCGTGAGTGCCCCTCCCGTCGTCCTGCGCTTCACCACGCTCCGCCTTCTGATACCGCCCCTCTGTCCGCTGCCTCTGCGCGCCGCCGTATGACGCCGCCCCTCGCTCCGCTGCCTCTGCCCGAAATCCCAGGCCACCCGCTTCCTCGACTCGCTCCTCTCGGAAATCGTCCTAGACACCGCCCTCCATGCCCATGCCGTCGTCAAAAAGGCCCGTTCCATTTGCAAAGCCTGCGGCACAAGGTGAGAGAACCAGCCCACACCGAGGTGGGCCCCCCCAGAAAGGCACACACGCCGATGCTGACCGATCCCATGCCTCGCCTCTGTTCGCGCCTGCAGATGCCAGTCACACAGTGAGCTTCATTCAAGCAGAACCTCCTCCCAGACTTACTTGCAGCCAACGAGCCATGCTGACCGTCTTGACCCTGGACCGATTCCTACGCCCCTCGCTCCCACCTCAGCTCCAGCCGCTGCCCAGCCAGCGATCCCCGGCCTCGATGCCAACAACGATCTCGAGGAAGGAGAGCGTCCTCCAGAGCCATCGCAGCCTGGCACCCCGGCCCCCTCGCAGCCCGGCGCTGCGGGCTCGAAACCCGACTACTACTCCCACAACCCGCTCTTCGAGTGCCTCGTCTGCTCCCGCCAGGTCTCGTCGAACCGCTACGCCACCCACCTCGCAAAATGCATGGGCGTCGGCGGCAAGAGCTCTCGCAAGGGCGCCGCCCGTAATGCAAAGGCATCCAACACGCCCCTGCCCAGCCGCCTCAACAGCACTTCGGCCGGCACGCCTAGCCGCAGCGACGACGACAGCAGCGGCGCATGGAAGAAGAAGAGTAGGTACCACCCCTCGTCAGAGCAGGCAAAGTCGCCGACGCTTCTTGCACCCGAATCCTGACCGCTGACGCCGTCCTCCGCCCACCCAACCAAACTCCCCTCGCTTCGACTATCAAGAGCTCGCTGCCAACTCCTCGACCACCACCGCAAAGGGCAAGCGCGCGCTCTCGCCCCCATCGGCTTCGCAGGTCGCCTCGCTGCACATCAACAAGAAGATCAAGATGAGCAGCCCGACGCCGCCCCCCTCCTCGGCCAGCGCCGATGCCAGCGCGGGCGCTTCCGGCATGGCGAGGAGCCACTCTGCCCACACGTTTGCGCCGTCCGGCCTCTCGCAGCAGGTCGTCAGCGGATCCCCGCTCAACCCGGACAACGCCAGCGGCAAAAAGGGCTGGCCGGCCCGGGCAAGCATCGAGAGGGGCGGCAGCGAGGTGGGAACTGCAGCGAGCGGCACGGCGGCGGCGGCTCGGATGGGGTCATCGTCGCCAACCAAGGCGCTGAATGGCAATGCTGTCGCAGCAAAGTCTCGAGCCGGATCGCACAAGTCGGCCTCTCCCGAAAAAGACGGCGGCAGCCCGCTCAAGCGGCAACGCATCGACGGCGATGCCATCGACGTCGATGGAGACGAGAGCGCCTACGACGACCGCGGATCCGACGATGACGACGACTCCGACGACGACGATGATGAAGACGATGACGACGACGATGATGATGACGACGACGATGATGACGACGACGATGACGACGATGATGATGATGATGACGACGACGACGAGGGCGAGGAGGGCGAGATATCGGGCGACGATGCTGCTGGGAACGGGCTGGGCGGACCCACCGGAGGCAAGACGGCTGCGAAGCCCTTCAAGACGGTCAATGGCGCCTCGCAGCTGAAGGCATCGCGCAACGCGCTGGCCAAGACGACGTACGCCTCGCGGCCGCAGAAGACCAAGGCGGGTTCGGGGCTGATTGCCGGGCTGAGCTCGGACTCGGAACAGGGCTCGGCGTCGTCGGGGGGCGACGACGACGACGACGATCCGAGGCGGAGGCTGGGCAACGGCAACCGCCGCGGATCGAGCCCCGACGTCCCGCTGGGTACCCCGTACGCAGCGAGGCCAGGGGGAGGCGGTGGCAAGACGAGCGGCGGCGGCGGACTACAGAGGGAAAAGGGAAGCGACGGCGAGTTTATCGACGTCGAGAGCGCCAGCGAGCAGAGCGACGGCGACCTCTTCTAGAGCGCACCTGGCGCATCGCGGCGGTGGCGTGGTCGATGGTATTCTAGATGAGTGCCGCATTGGCAAGGAGCCGCCGTGTCGCTCCGCTCTTTCTTCGAAGGTGTCTGTGGGAGTTCGTTTCGAAGCAGGACGAGCCCAGGCCCTGAACAGCGGTCGCAGCAGTCGTAGCAGTCGCAGCAGCTGCTCGCAAGTGAGGCAGGGCGAGATTAAAGACTGACGGCGCGACAGCCGCTCGTCCCTGGTCCCTGCCTCCCTCGATGTCTGCCCTACCGACGGTCGAGCTGCATTTCGAGCGGGTGGGACGTTTATGGCGCAGCAGGAAATATGTTAGCGACTTGACCGTGGTGCGATGGTAGCACGGTGGGGTTGTCGAAAGCCGCTCGTTGTCGTTGTTTGAGCGCTCGGGCTGGCCCTGTCAGGCTACCGGCCGGGCGGTGGGTTGGGTGGTCGGACGGCGGGTTGAGAGAAACTCTACCGCTGCCGCCGTGCGCGCACGGCGTGCGTGCGTGGGTGATTTTAGAGCGTGCGTGCGTGGGTGTGGGTCCACCCTCTGACGCGCGCGGCCAGCTTGCCTGCCTGCCTGCCCGTTTGGGAAAACCGGCGCGGACGGGCACAGCCCAGGCAGGCCAGGTGTTGGTGTGTTGGTCTCTGTGAATTTCGAGGGCTCCGTCTGACATCACAGCCAGCCAGCCAGTCAGCCCGCCAGCTCGGCCCAGGGTTGGTTGGCTGTCTACACAGCCGCCGGTAGGGGGGAGCGAAGGACGGTTAAAAGAGTCGACCGCCACCCTGTCTCTTCCCTCTTCCCCTCTACCCCATCTACGCTCAAGAGACCCTCGACGCCGTCAAGCAACACCCACCGGATCACCGCCACCACCGTTCCCACCTTCACACCTAGTACGACCCACCCACACACCTACATACACCTTGACAGCAAACGACCGACAGAATGTTCCACGGATCCAACACCAAGCTCAACGCCGCCGGCCTCGCCCCCGAGCACTCGATGCTCCTCCCCGAGAGGCAGCCAAAGGAGGACGAGGCTTCGGTCCTCGAGGCGCTCCACCGCGTGAGTGGGCTCCAGAGCGCTCCTGCCTCTTTGTCGTCCTGTCCCTCGCTCGATCCTGCGGCAACGTCCAGAGAGGAACCACACCAGCTGACCCCTTTCCCCATCTTTGTTTCCTCGCAATCGACCTCGACTCGCCTCGCCTCCGGCCCGCCGCCCTACCGCAGATCTACACCGAGGCCCAGCCCGACGAGTCGGCCTTTGCCATCTTTGCCAACGAGGTCATCCTCACCCTCCCCACGGGCGATGTCGTCGTTGGCCCGCACGGTATCCGCACCAAGTTCGCAGAGATCTTTGCAGTGAGTGCGACCGCGCAGATGAGCAGAAAGAACGCAGTCCCATCGGCAGCGAAGGGACATCGTAGCTGGAGCTGCTTAGGCAATCGACGACAGGAGAGGCGGACCGATCAAGCTGACCTGACATCCATCCTTGCTCCTCTTGCTCCTCTTTGCCCATCGGTCGCCCCTCCATCAGGCCTACCCGACTAGGACGCTGCGACAGCGCCTGCTCGTCACGCCCGAGTCGCTGCCTCTGCGCACCATCGTGCTCGACCAGATGCTGAGCCTGTACGACGTCGACGAGCCCGAGGCGGGCCAGGCTCCGGTCAAGAGCATCCACAGCCTGCTGGTGCTCAAGCGCAAGCCGACCGACGGCAAGGTGTCGAGCCTGGTCGAGGAGGAGGGCCACCGCAAGGCCACAGCCCCGCTCGCCGCGCGCGCGGCGGCCGCGTCCAACTTCTACTCGCCCACCGACAGCCAGATGTCGCCGGTGACGTCCAAGCTCAACCTGGTCAAGCGCAAGCACCACATGAAGGGCAAGCCCGCCGCCCTGTTTGCCAACCACTCGAGCCTTCGTCAGGCCATGGTGCCCGGCTCGCCCGCACAGAGCCAGGCTTCGAACGCCGACATGGACTTTTAGGGCGTTCCAGGGGGGCGCGCGCGACGCCAGCACGATGGCCCCGTCTCCTCAACGTCCCGCCTCGCCTCAAACCTCTTTCCCTTCCCGGTCCACGTCTCACGATACACGCCAACGACTTGTCCCACCTCAACCGCAAAACCTCATCCCGGGCACACTTTGACGCTCCATGCTCTCCCCGGTGTTTCGCCTCGCTGCCTTCCACCCCCTCTTCCGATCGTATACCAAAGCTAGATGCGCCAGCCCGCCCGTCGGTCGGCTGGGCGCCCCTGAGCGTCTCGTCTCGGAGCCCACCCGACGACGACCTGAACCTCTCCCGGGCCATGTATATATGTACATCAATCCACAGCCGTTCTTTCCAGACTCCTTCCTCTCTTCGCACCCTTTTTCCCCAGCCCCGACCCCATCCCGACGCCTCTTGTTGATCAAAACCTTTGTACTATTCTCATTGTCGCTAACACGAAGCAGGCGGTTCTGCCACGCACACTCTGTCTGGCGCTTGCTTCCTCAGACAAGTCTGTACCTCGCGGTGCACGGTGGTCCGTTGGGGACGAACCATGCAAACGAGGAAAGCGCACCGTGCTCGGTCTTTGTCGGGCGCATAAGGTGGGCGACTAGCAAAGGACCGGTGAGGACGTTACCGGCAGTCAGCGATGCCGCACGCCGTCCTGTCCGGTAGCATATCACTCCCTCGCAATTCTCGAGCCGAACGACGTCTCCCTCCCCCATTGCTTGCAATGGAGGGCAGACGCTCATTGACATTTCACTCGACAAACCATCCCTCCGATCTCGAATTATTTGGCACCGAGCATCGAGTGACACTACCTTCCCCGCAGTGTGGGGGACGGGGTCGATTCAATGGTCACCCCGAGTGGAGGCGGCGCGATCCTCGAGGGTGTGCAACCCGGCGACGCCGGCATCAAACTGCCTCTCGTGGGCGCTCCTTAGGTCGAGCTGGGTCATTTCTGCCTCGCCGGCTTCGGAGGTACGGCGGTGCGACGCCTCGAGCGTCTCGAGGTTGTGCGTGAGTTCCTGCCGTGCCGCCACGTACGCCACGCCCGTCCCCGCCACTGTTTGCATGGCAACTCCGCGCAGTGTCACGAGGGCAGGTGAAGCGGTTTCATTGTGGATACAAGGGCGAAGGAGAGAGAGGGGGGGAGGAGAGGAGCGTGTGAGTGTGTGCGAGACTTTCTGGCAATGAAGAAGGTATGCGGGAGAAGGAAGGGACACGACGACGTACGCAGTCCGGAGAGGAGACTTTGGTTGCTGTTGAGGTTCAAGGCTCGTTTCGAGATGAAGGCTGGTTGTTGGTTTTCATACCGATTTCGCCGGCGAAGGAGGGCCGAGAGGGGGGGCAAAGGGTCAAGTCAGCGCTCCGACTCAACCCGACACCTGGGTCGCACGATGCAAGACTGGAATCTCGCTCTGTTTCTCACCGGAACAGACGCCACCGGCGATACCGATGAGCATGCCACGGATCTGAGCGCGCTTGTTGGCCACGCCCACCTCGGCGATGGGGAGGCGCGGATGCGTCGTCGTCGCCCCTCCGCCGCCGGGGGAAGATACGGTTCCGTCGTGGTTGGGTGCTGGGTCTCGTTCCATTTCCGTTTCTTGTTTGTCGTCGCCGGGTGCGGATGCGAGAGGGTGGTCGTCGGAGGCGTGTGTGGATGGTGGTGGTTGGTGGTGCTGGAGCTGCGTCGAGCTGACCTTCGCTGTCGGTGCTGCCCCGCCTCAACCTCCACATCTGCGCTCACGGCTTTGCGCTCACGGCTTTGCCCTTGTCCTGCCTGCTGACCCCACCCGCCTCTTCGACCGGCCCAGCCAGACCGACCAGCGCGCCTGCGTGCCTGCCTCAAAAACCCAGGCCTCTTTTTCCGTATGAAAAGGGCAATCACATCCTCCCTTCAAGGAAGCGACCGCACCACGGCGGGTCTCAGCACGACAAGACGGCTACACGGTTCGAGCACGGACAAATCTAGAATGACAGGCACAGACGAGGAGAGGCAAGGCCATTCGAAAGGCGCGCTCGCAAGGCATGGTCCGAGAAAGAGCAAGGAAGGGAGCCCGCGCCCGAGGGGGAAAGGGATCCGTATGCCATATGCCAAGTCGTACTGTACAGATCGGAGAGCAAGATCGTGAGCGAATTCAAGAAAGACGTCGAGAGAGACTGGAAGCAAGCAAAGGGCACGCAAGGACTGCTGTCGCCTCGCCGCATTGCTGCGGCAAGACCAGCGTCGCGGGCAACGGCAACGTCCAGGTAGTTCAAGAGCATGCTGGCACGGCAGCGAGGGAATGGGGGGGAAGCAGCTCGAAATCATCGTCAGTGGGTGTTGGAGCCGTGGCTCGATGCCTCGGAGCGGTTGGCCGCAGCGCGACGCAGACGGTCAAACGCCACGTTGCCCGCCGGGTTGTGCACGACGGGCCGGGGGACCGACAGGGCGGGTCCCTTTTGCGGCACCGGCGGACCCGGCCGCGTCAGAGATGGCGGCTGCGGCTGCGCCTGTGGCTGCGGCTGCGAAGCTTCGCTGGGCAACGGCAACCTGCTCGGCGTGGATCGCATCGAGGCCAGGCTTGGCGGCTGCTGCGGCATCGGGAGCTTGCTCGGCGTCGACCTCGTCGAACCATTGGCAGCGCCGCTCAGGCTGCCGACCGGCGGCTGGGCTGACCTCGCGGCCTCTGACGACGGCGATGGACCCGCAGCTTTCGCTTCGACCGGCTCTTCGGCCACGACGGGCGGCGGCTTCCGAGCGTCGCGCAGGTGCTTGCTGCTGCTCTTGCGCGGCTGGGCACCGGCCAGCTTGGGAATGTTGGAGCTGAGCTGGGCCGACTGGCTGATGCTCTCCAGAGCCACCTGCGCCCACAGCGGGTTGGGCGGGATCGGGCTCTCGATGACGTTGCTCAGCACCTCTACCCAGCGCTCCTTCTCCTCGTCGGTGTCGGCGAAAAAGTGGATGCGCTCGCCGTCGGCAAACGTGATGCGGAACGAGCGCTCCACCTCGTAGTTGGCATCCGGGTCCTCTTCGACGTTGACGCTGCGCACCGTCGACCTCGACGCGCGGCCGTCCGAGGCGCCCAGGATCCGCGACGGCGGGTTCGACTTGCTGTCGGCCGCCACCTCGACCGCCACCGCCTTGGACAGGTCAATCTTGACCGTAGGCTTCTTGGTCACCTCGTTGTAGCACACCAGGAACTGGCCCTGTGCCTTGACGGGGCGGCGGCGCCAGCTGAGGCAGTCGCCGCCCATCTGGGTCAACGTGCCTTCTCGCCACGGCGCCGAGCGGTGCCAGACCGCGTTCTGCATGCCGCGGATGCACTCGCCGAGGTTCTCGGGCAGCTTGTCGCGCGGGATGGTGGGCATGGCCGGCAGGTAGAAGAGCTTCAGCCGCAGCGTGCCGCGCACCTTGTTGAGGTTGCGCGAAAAGTCGGCCGCGAACGGGGAGGCGATCGTGTCGCCTCGACCAGCGAGGCTCGACGGGCCCGACATGCTTTGCACCGGGTTCGAGGCTCCGTAGACGGGCAGCTCGAGCACGAGGCACTTGCCGTGGCAGCTTGCGGCCACCTTGTCAAAGACGACGCCCGCCCTGCCAAAGGCGCCCTCGCGGTTGATGTACGACAGCATCGGCTCGGCGCGCGACGCCTGCGCCGCCAGCTCGGCCGCCTCGTCGCGCTCCTGCTGCAGCCGCTTGGCCGCCTGCTTCTTGGGGCTGGTAAACAGCCGGCTGAAGGCCTTGAGCGTGGGGCTGGTGTGCTCCTTGCGACCCATGCCGCCGGGAGAGGCCGGACGCTGCGGCTCCTGCAGGTGGGCATCGCGCTTGACGACCAGCGTCAGGCTGAACTCGAGGTTCTTGTGCTGGATCAGCTCAAACTCCTGGGCAATCTTGCTGGGCGCGCCAGGGCGCAGCGGCACCGTCGCCGTCTGCACCATGTGCAGGCCGTTGTCGAGGACGCAGTGGAAGTAGGTCGGCTTGGAGGGGATCGGCAGCGCGGCGGGTGTGAACGAGTCGACCATGACAAACACCTTGCCCGAGGCGCGCTTGGGGTTCTCGTTCTGCCGATACTCGCGCATCTCGCGCGCGTACTCGTTCATGTCGCTCGGCCTCCGCAGCTTGCGCCACGCCTTGCCGCTGTCGACGTCGCCGGCCGCCGTGGTGTGCGAGACCTTGTCGTCGATGCCCTGGAAGGTGCCGCGGTCATTGATCTTGTACGTGAGCTGCAAGCGGCGAGGTTTCGGGACACGTTCGGCGATAGCGTCAGTGGACCGATGCTCGTCATAGCGGGAGAAGGCAACTGCCGCGGCCCGTGACCGCTGATCGAGACTCACCTCGCCCTGTCGATAGATGCGGCTGATCTCGCTCTCGAGGTTGGCGCTGAAGCCAGAGTCGATCGCTCGCTGCAGGCTAACGTCCAGCATCGCCTTGCTCCGCGCCAGGTCGGCGCTGATGCTCTGCCGGTTGGGCAGTTCTGCCGGCTCCGATCCGACGGAGCTCTCCTCGGACAGCTCCTCCTCCTCGAGCTGTTCGGGCGAAACGAGGGGAGAGCGGGCCGCCGTGAAGACCGGGCCCGCGTCGCCCGTGCTCATGCTGCGCTTCCGCCGTCCCTTGCCGTTCTTGCTCCTGCGGCGGAGGATGATCTGCTCGGCCTGCTGGGCCGGGGTGATGGGAGGGGGCGGCGCCCCCAGCATCGAGGGAGACAGCCGCCCGTTGGACGGGCCCCGGAGCTCGATTTCGGCATCCGACGGCCGGGGCGGCAGCAGCCGGTCCTCGGTGTCCATGGCGGCATCGCTACCACACCTGCCTCTGGCCTCTTCGACAGCCGAGTCCGCGTCGGCAGCGGTCATGTATGCGGCGCCCAGCTTTTCCAGCGGGCTCTCGACATCGCGCATCGCTTTGACGGGACTCGGGGGCGGTTGCGGCCGCGCCTCGGTGGCGACGATCGGTGCAGGCTCGGGCGCTTTCGAAATGCCCTGCTTCTTCGCGAGCTCGGCATCCTCCTTGCCAATGGGAGCGCTTGGGCGCGGATGCACCGCAGCCTGGCGGCCTCCCGTCTCGTCGAAGCTCGCCTCGAAGCTCCTCTGCGGACGAATACCTGGCTCGCTGCCGCGAGGAGCCCGCATCGCCGCAGCGACCGGCTGCGGGGCGGGGGATCCCTGCATAGGCTGCTGGCGCGCCATCTGCTCCTGCTCTAGCCGTTGTTGCTTCTCTCGCGCCACCCTCTGGAGAATAGCGTCGCGAGAGATGTGTGGGCGGCCGCGAAGAGAGCCATTCTTCTTGGAAGGGGATGCGGACGGCTCTGGCTCAAGCGGCTGCTCCGCCGTCTGGGGCGTCGATGGAGTCTGCATCGGCGAGAACCCGCCGAGGGCGCCGTCGTTGAAAGTGAGCGGGCTCCATGCCGGTAGCTCAGGCAGTTCGCGGCTCTCACTGGCCGGCAGGACGAGGTTGCGATGCCCGTCGCGTGGACCCGTAGACATTTGCTGGGAGGCCACCTCGTCGGACAGACTTTCGGCGTCGATCGGCGAAGATGCGTCGTGGAGGGTGGCTTGCATGCTCTTGACGGCCGGCAGCTCGACCTGCTGGACGCGCAGAGCACCCCTCGCCTCGGCATCGCTGACTGACTCGTTTCGCAGCTGCGACGTGGGCTCCGCTGGCAGAGGGCTGGATGCGAGGGGTTCCACGGGGGAGGCGGTCCGCTGCGAGGGACTGTGTAGGATGTCCTCATTGAGCAGCTCGTCGACCAGGCTGTCGACGCGATCGGCCGCGCAGAGACCGCTGAAGCTGCCGTTGAAGTCGCGCTCGTCGATGCTCTCATCGACGCTGAGATTGGTCCCCGCCGTCGCAAACGTCTTGTCAAAGCTGGCGTCTGCGCCGTCAGCGGGACGTCGGTGCGGTGAGGGCAGGGACCGGGCTGGCGGGCTGGCCGGTTCGTCGTCGATCGAGGATGTCTCGCGGCTGTCGCAGGAGAGCTCCGGCTCGAGATCGTCGGCAAACGAGTCGTGGAGCATGTCCGGGGTGGACGGGTCGGGGCTGCCATTGACGATCTGGAGCCTGCCACCTGTGCGGTTGCGGAGGTCGTCTTCGAAATCAATCAGGCTGTCTTCGTCGCGGCTGGAGCCCGAGAGCCACATCGGGTCCTCGTCGCCCTCGCCGTCGTGGCCGTAGTTGTCGATGCTGACGTCGCTGCGCATGCTCTCGACGTCGAAGCTGCTCTCCTTGTCGAACTCCTGGACGTCGAGGATCTCGTCAAACGTGACCGTCTTGCGCCGCTGCCTCTGGCGAGGGAGTTTACCGTCGTTGCTCGGCTTGGGCAGAGATGCCTCCATCGTCCGCGGCCCGTGGAGTCGGTTGGAGACCAGCAAGCCCTTCGAGGTGGGAGTAGAAGGGGCGTCGGGGCCCGCTTGCCCGAGCTCGGCCACGGATGTCTCCGTGCGTCCGTGAGCTGGGCTGGCGAGCTTTCGAGGGCTGGGAAGGGCGACAGGACTCTGGCCGGACTCATGGCCGCGGTTCTCGATCTGCTTGAAGGGCGAGTTGCTGACGTAGCTGGAACGCTGGAGCACCTCGAAGCCTTTGCTTTTCCTCGGCGACGTCGGCCTTTCCCGTGTCGGAGGTGCCGCCGTCAGAGGGCCAAAGACGTCGGACGGCGTCTGGTTTTCGGAGTCGGGCGCCGGCGCCGGAGTCTGATCCCTGCTCGCCTTCCGCGGTGATGGACCAGATCTTCTAGAGATGGGGATTCTGCTGGGGGAAGACGAGACGCCGATGCCGAGCCCGACAGAGGTGCGTGCGCCGCCAGTGGAAGGCGATGGGACGTGCGGGGATCCCGAGTGGCGTGCAGCGTGTGCGGGCGAAGCGGCGCTGTCGTGGAGCGAGTTTGAGCTGGCGGCCTGCTGAAGGAAGATGCTGTTGCTCACGAGGCCGTGGCTGCGCAGGGATGCAAAGTTCTGCGTCTGCTTCTTTGGGCTCTGGGAAGAGGGATGTGCGGCGTCGTCATTGTCGTTTTCGCCGGTCTGTGATGGCGATTGGAATGCGGGCTCGTTCTTGTTTTTGTGCAGACGGAGCGGGGACCAGCCGTTCGAGCTGGCGCCGAGGATGGCGGCGGTGGTGGCCTGCGGGGTGGGGGGCTGCTGCAGGCGCGACGAAACGGCCGGCGAGGGTGGTGGCGAGAGCGACGAAGCGCTCATGACTGCGGGATCCGCGAGAGGGGTCGACGAGGGATCCCTGCTCGTCTGCTTGGTGTGAGAGCCGCTCGAGGTGTGCGAAGGCGTGCGCGGTAAGCTGGGCGTTGTTGGTGACGATGAGAGCGACAGGCGTCACGAGAGATGGAGGAGCCGTGCAGCACAGAAGTGCGGGCTGCGCAGTGCAGCGAGGGGGACGGGAGAAGTGGTGTTGACGAGCGTGCAAGAGGGGTTGAGGGAACAGCGGAGGAGGAGAGCGTGGTCCTGCAGGGTGCGTGTTTGATAGGGGATGGCGGCAAGAACTTGAAGGGGTCGTAGGTGGTGGTGGTGGTGGTGGTGGTGGTGGTGATGGTGGTGGTAGCGATGGTGGTGGTGATGGCAGACAGGCTTTAGGCGCCGTTGGGCGCAGCAATGTGAACTCAGAGAGGTGGTCACAGGCGGGCAGGCAGGTGTTGGTCGGTCGGTCGGTCGCAGCCCCGCCAGGTCAGTCTGGCAGGCCATGCAGGGCCAACAACCACCGCTCGAGTAACATCCAACATACACACACACACGCACGCGCGCGCATCCGCACCGCCCCGTCCGCGCTTGCTTGTTTTGAACCCTAGGTTAAGCAGTTTGCCATTTTGGGGCGCCTGGCTTTGGCGTGCTCCTCGCCCTTGCTCGCTTCTCGACGTGGCCCATGTTGCCCTTCTTCTGGGCGCTGCCGCCGCCGCTCGATGACGACGACCAAAGACGGCGACCAGAGCCGCTCGACGCTCGCTGCAGCAGCCTTTGCTTCCTTTCTTGGCTCGTTTCACAGACCCACCCCTCCCCGCTCTTTGCCAACGGCGACATCGTACGTGTCCCCGAAAGAATCGGGGGCCGACGTAGGTGTCTAGGCGACCCATCGATAGGCTGCCCTGGCTGGTTGGTCACCCGTCTGGACATCGGCTGCCCCGTCTCCTTTGTCGTCTGCGCAATGTTGGCTGCGCACCTCCGCCTGTCCCTGTTGGACGCGGGTCAGGCGCGCGCGCGCCTTCATCGGTTGCTGGACGCCTCTAGAGTGGTAGTAGGTAGTAATTGAGGCGATGCGGTACATGGATTGCCTGGTTTCGGTCCCGTGCGTACCCTCGTCAACCGCTGAGCATGGTTCAAGCCGGGAGCTCCCAGGCTGGGGTGGGCCCCTTTCGGTTCTTCCAGAGCGGATTTCGCTGGATGTAACACGCACGGCCAATTTGGCCCCCCCAGCGCCGCCTGTCAAAGGAGGACGACGTCGCGGCCGACGCGCCGGCTTCACGTGCGCCCAGGCTTGAGCAGCCTGGCTGGCAAAGAGGCAGGCAGGCTCAGGTTAGGCAGCAGGCTCAGGTGACTGGCCTGGACCCTGTCCGCATTGGCCACCCACCTGCCCAGCCTCTTGACTGGCGCCGCCACCACCACAAGCACCATCACCACCAGCATCACCAACACCAGCATCACCTGTGGCTCAGCACTCTCCGTCCCTGCCGCGTTGCAGCGCTTAGACACGCTCAGATTGCCCACCATGTCCCCCTCTTCCCGATCGTCGGCAGACAGCCGGTACGCCTCTGTCTCTGCCTCTGCCTCTGCCTCTGCCTCTGCCACTGCGTCTGCCTCGGCATCCCAGGCCGGCCCTTCGATGGCCAACCTCTCCCAAACACCCGCCACCAACAGCGGCGGAAATGCTGCCTGGTACGATGGCATGCTCAACCGCCTCGCCTCCCAGCCCCATTGGCCGCCCGACAAGGAGAGCGCCGTCCTGGAACCCTACTCGTACCTCGACGCAAAGCCGGGCAAGGAGGTCCGCTCCGAGCTCATAGAGGCCTTCAACGTTTGGCTCCAGGTACCCAACGACAAGCTCGCCGTCATCCGCAGCGTCGTACGCATGCTCCACACCGCCAGCCTGCTCATGGACGACGTCGAGGACAACTCCGACCTCCGCCGCGGCATCCCCGTCGCCCACAAAATCTACGGCGTGCCCCAGACCATCAACACGGCAAACTACGTCTACTTCCTCGCCTTTTCCGAAATCTTCCAGATGACCACCGCCGGATTCCACCCGGGCGCGCCACCCACGGCATCGCCCTCGTCCATCGAGCGGCTGGTCGTCGACGAGCTCATCAACCTCCACCGCGGCCAGGGCATGGACCTTCTCTGGAGGGACAGCCTCATCTGCCCCACCGAGGAAGAGTACGTCGAGATGGTCAACAACAAGACCGGCGGCCTCTTCCGCATCGCCATCAAGCTCATGATCTCCCAGAGCCCCACCTTTTCCCGCATCCTCTCGCCCTCGGCGTCCGGTTCGACCGACGCCGACGTGCCCGACCTGCTCCCGCTCGTCAACCTCATCGGCCTGCTCTTCCAGATCCGAGACGACTTTATGAACTTGCAAAGCTCCAAATACGCGGAGAACAAGGGCTTCTGCGAGGATCTGACCGAGGGCAAGTTTTCCTTTCCCATCATCCACTCGATTCGCGCCAGCGCCGGTGTCAATGCGGCAGCCAGCACGTCGACGACGGCAGCGGGCACGAGGGCTCCCGTGCACGTGCAAGGCCCGTTGGATCCACATGGCGCGGTGCAGTCGGGCCCGTCGACTTCGGTCACCCTCGATGCTGGGTCAACGACGCCGCCGATCCGCGCGACAGCGCCTGCCGCCCCCGTGTCTTCGTCGGGGCAAGCGACATCACCGGCATCGGCACCGTTCGGGCAGGGCAACCGCCAGATCCTCAACGTGCTCAAGCAGAGGCCGACCGACCTGGCCACCAAGCAGTACGCCGTGTCCTACATGCGCAACGTGACCAACTCGTTTGACTACACGCGCGAGGTGCTCAAGAAGCTCGACGTGCAGGCGCGGCAGGAGGTCGCCAGGATCGAAAACGCCATGCAGGACCAAACAGGCGGTGGCAGGAACCCACGCCTCGTCGCCATCCTCGAGGCGCTCCGAGGCGGCTGGTACGATGTAGCAGCAGACGACTGATGACCAAGCTCGCCACGCTTCACAGCTGGTCGCCAGTGTCGATCGACGGTCCTTTTGTCACTCTGCCGCGTGTCGCATCACATCCCGTCTGTGCCTACTCAATCGCACTATCCGTGTCGCAGTCGGTGCGCGCACGGAGCAGCGCTTCGCACCACATCGCACCGCACCGCACCGCACCGCATCTCGCGGCACTCTGCTAGAGCTTGGCCTTTGCTTCTCTGAGGTCCTCGTCGCGCCGCGCCTGCGCCATCTTGAGGAGCGCGTAGAGGCTCTGCAGCCGCGGCATCTCGACGCCGTGGCGACGCGCGATTTTGACCGGGTTGCCCAGGATGACCTCGAGCTCCATGGGACGGTTTGCCTGCCAGTCGAGGAGCATCGAGGGCTTACCCTTGGTGTTGCGCTCGGTCGATTTGAGGATCTTTTCCGGGCTGGCCAGCTTGTCGGGAAAGCGGCGGCCGAGGACCTTTGGCACGGCGTCGAACACCTCTTGCATGCAGGCGTGGAGGTGGCGGCGCAGCTCCGGGTCGAGCGACATCCGGGCGTTGCCCGTGCCCCCGCTCAGCACGGCCGAGGGGTTCATGGAGCCGTTGATGCAGATCTTGTGCCAGCGCACGAGCTGCAGCCCGACCTCGTCGTAGAACTCGGCGTCCTTGATGGCTCCGTCGGTAAAGAGCGAGACGAGCTGCTTGACCTTTGCGTCGCCGACCTGGGTGAGGCGGTCGAGGAGTGCCTGGTCCTGTTCGCCGAGCTTCTTGCCGGTGCCGTTGGTGAAGCAGCCCATCGAGATGCGCGTCCACCTGTTCTGACGGACAAAGCCGTGGCGCCCCTGCTCTGCGCTGATGACGGTGACGGCGCTGACGATGGGGTTGTCGGGGAACGTGTCGCGGTGGACCTCTTCGACGCCGACGCCGTTCTGGATGAGGACGATGCAGCTGCCGTCGATGCCGCGCGTGACGAGCGGGCGGATGTCGTGCGCATCGTTTGTGACGTCCGGCAGCGCCTTTGTGGTGACGACGACGTAGTCCCACGTGCCCGACTCGGGCTTGTTGTCGGCGGCCTCCTGGATTGAGGCAAAGACGCGGTGGGGCGTAAAGTGGTAGTTGCCAAACGAGTGTGTCTCTAGCTCGACACCCTTTTCTGCGATCGTCTTGTAGTTGGACCGGCACACGAGCGATACCAGGACGCCGTTGGAAGGCTGCCGGTGGAGCAAGGATAGGGCGAGGGAGAAGGAAGCGATGTTTGCAACGTGAGCTGTCGAATTATGCTGAGCCATGGTAGCTGACCCGCTGTCCTCACATTGTGCAGCCTGGAAGCGTAAAAGCAGCCGACGGCGCCCGCTCCGACGACGAGGATGTGCAGCGGCCTTGACCTTGGTGGCCTTTGAGTGTCGTCGAGGGGAGCGCGGGCAGGTGAACCTCAATGTGCACAGTGATGCGCGCAGACGAGGCAAAGGAGCGGCGATACTCACGTTTGAGCTGTCATGATGTTTGCGGTGTGCCAAGCGAGTTGGTCCACGAGGAGGGAGCAGGAAGTCGTGGTGCGAGCAAGAGGGGCGAGCAAAGGAGGGAGCGAGCAGCCACCACTCTCTGGCAGCCTCCGTGCGCGAAGGCAGCTCGCCGAGGCTGCCGGTGGCCGCTCGCTCCGGCCAAAAGCTCGGCGCCTTGGCCGGCGGCAGCTGCTGCTGCCCCCGCTTGGGCAGGCTAGTTAGCCTCCACCTGCCTGCCTCTTGCCTGCGGCCTCGCCCCGGCCTTACCAAGTCAACGTCGCCGCATTTCGGTTCCGAATATTGGCGCGTGGCGGCGAGAAATTGGCCAGGCCCTGCCTGCAGCCGCACCTCTCGACCTTCGATGAGTTGCTGCCTCATCTCGACTGCGCCATCCTCGCGACCATCACGACCGAGCCCCACGACTACCCCAACATCGCAGCGCGGCGCGTTCACATCACCAGATACGCCTGGGAGACTAGTTTCGCAACACTCTCAAAACGGCTAGGACCGCAGCAGCATACACGGACGTGGCCAGCGACCATCCCGACGCTCAACAACAGCATCCCGCCCTGCGCTCCGGTCAACGCCCACACCCGCCTTTGCGCCAGTCCTTCGAACGCCACTTCGCCTTCGACGATCACCCGTAGAAGCTTGCCGCCATGGTTCGCGTGATCATCAAGGGAGGCGTGTGGAAGAACGTGAGTGTCTGCTTGGGAATTCCTGCCCGCCCATCTATTCTAGCCTCGCATCGCGATGCTGACTGCCTTCTCGGACACTGTCCCGAATCCTGACCGCAGACCGAGGACGAGATCCTCAAGGCTGCTATCTCCAAGTACGGCAAGAACGTGAGTTGCATGGCCAGATCCCGCTTCACGCCATGCCTTGATGCGCAGTCCTTCCTGACACGCGTCTTCGGCCACGTCACACCCTCGCCATCCTTCTTCCTCTCTTCGCACGCAGCAATGGGCCCGTATCTCGTCGCTCCTCGTCAGAAAGACGCCCAAGCAGTGCAAGGCACGCTGGTACGAGTGGCTCGACCCGTCCATCAAAAAGACGGAATGGTCCAAGGAGGAAGATGAGAAACTCCTTCACCTCGCCAAGCTCATGCCGACGCAATGGCGCACCATCGCACCCATCGTCGGCCGCACGGCCAACCAGTGCCTGGAACGCTATCAAAAGCTCCTCGACGAGGCGGAGGCCAGAGAGAACCAAGAGGCCGGCGGCTCCTCGCTCGGCCTGACCGGCACGGGAGACAGCGCGCCGAGCGCTGACGACGTACGCAGGCTACGCCCCGGCGAGATCGACCCGAATCCAGAGACCAAGCCCGCCCGGCCTGATCCCATCGACATGGACGAAGACGAAAAGGAAATGTTGTCCGAGGCGCGAGCCCGACTGGCCAACACGCAAGGCAAGAAGGCCAAACGCAAGGCCCGAGAGCGCGCTTTGGAGGAGGCACGGCGGCTCGCCATGCTGCAAAAGAGAAGAGAGCTCAAGGCCGCTGGCATTGTGTGAGTACTTGCACGCCAATGGCGGGTTGATGTCGAGCTTTTCGACCGCGTCTCTGGGACATTCGATGCTGACTGCCGGCATCATCCTACCCCCTCGTGCCGCTGTTTCTTGTCACCAGCATGAAGACTAAACCCAAGAAGAAGGGCATCGACTACAACATCGACATTCCTTTCGAGAGGAAGCCGGCGCCTGGATTCTACGACACCAGCGAAGAGGCCTCGCGGTCGTACAAGGCCCCCGTCGGCCAGACGATGCGCCAGCTCGAGAACCCACACGCCGCCGAGCAGGATGCGCAGAAGAAGAAGCGCCAGCGCGAGGCCGGAGAGAAGGGCAAGGAGGCCAAGAGCGGCGCCGCAAGCAAGAATGAGGACCAGATCCGGAAGCTCAAGGAGGCCGAGCAAATCTCCAAGAGGCGGAAGCTCAACCTGCCGGCTGCCCAGGTCGGCGAAGGCGAGCTCGAAGACATTGTCAAGCTAGGACAGGCCGGCGAGCGTACCCGGTCGCTTGTCGAGGACGGCGCAGCAAACGAAGCGACCGGGGGGCTCTTGGGAGACTACTCGGCGCTGGACCGGGCCAAAAACGTCCGCACCCCGCAAGTCGCCCCCGAAGGTGAGTACAGTCCAAAGATTTTAAGGTTGCCGTGTCTTCACGAGCTTACCAGCGCCTCAATCTGCCCGCCCATCCACAGACTCGACCATCATGCGCGAGGCCCGCAACCTCCGCAACATGTCGTTCGCTCAGACGCCTCTGCTCGGCGACATGAATACGCCCTTGCACTCGGTTCCTGAGCCAATGAGCGCGGGCGAGCGCGCCGGTCCCGTCCAGACGCCCAACCCTCTCCGAACTCCGGCCACTCGCGGCGGAGAACCGGGAATGACGCCGCTGCGACCAGGCGACAGCCGTGCCACACCACTGCGGACGCCCCTTCGGGACAACCTCGGCCTGAACGCAGACGACGGCGCCAGCGTTGCGAGCCAGACGCCCTACAACGAGAAGCACCAGAGGCTGGCCGCCCGTCACCAGCTGCGATCTGGCCTGCAGAGCCTTCCGGCGCCCAAGAATGACTTCGAAATCGTCGTCGATGACGACCAGGCACGAGGTGATGAGGCAGAGGAGCCCGAACAGCCCCTCACTGCCGAGGACGCCGCCGAGCGCGATGCCCGGCTGGCCCGGCTGGCCGAGCAGGAGCGCCAGAGGGCGCTCGCGCGGCGCAGCCAGGTCGTGCAGCGTGGCCTCCCACGGCCTAAGCACGTTGACCTGACGGACCTCCTTCGGCAGATGGATGCAACCTCCCTCTCGTCGAAGCGAGGACCCAGCGTCCAGGCGCTCATCGGCGAAGAGATGGCCAGGTTGGTTCACCACGACTCGATCGAATACCCGCTGCCCGGCAGCTCGCAGGCCGGATCCGTGCGCAGCCAGCTCCCCCCGCTGTCGGACGAAGCGCTGCAGCGCGCTCGCGATCTGATGCACCACGAGCTCGCCTCATCGCTCGGCTTCCCCGGCGCTTCGGCAGAGGCGCTCAAGAGGCTCACGGCCGCCGCACTCGAAGACGACGAGGAAACTCGCACGAGGTTCGACGATGCGCTGAAGAGCATCGAGGCCCAGACGGCATGGAGCGCGGACTCGGAATCGTGGGTGGAGCGGACTGCGCTCGCCCCGGCAGACCTGATCCGCGGCCAGGCGGCGCTGCTCGAGATTCGAAGGCAGGAGATGTCCGAATCGGCGATCTTGGCTGCCAAGGGCGAAAAGACGCTGTCCAAGCTACTCGGCGGGTACCAGGCACGATCCAAGACGTTGGCCGGCAAGATCCGCGAGAGCTTCGACACGCTGGCCGAGGTCAGCATCTCGCGCGCCACCTTCCAGCGCATGTGCGACGAGGAGCGCGGCGCCGTCCTCGAACGACTCGACCGGCTCACGGCCGAAGTGGGACGGCTGGAGCGCCAGGACGGCATCGCGCAGAGGCGGTACAAGGATCTCGACGACACGCGCTCCAGGTTGAAAGACGAGTGCGAGGCTCTTCAGGCCGAAATCGACATGCGAGCCGCCGAGGCCGTGAATGACCGCGCCCTCGACGACTAGCACCTCGGCCACGACTCGTCGCTTCTGTAACCACATCGAAGAATGTCTCGCTCGTCTTTTCCGCGATCTTGTGTCCTCGAGTTGTGGGTCCAGGGCCGATGGGCACGCAGCTCCTGCCTCCATTGGCGTCGGCCGTGTTGCCAGCGGACCCATCTCTTCAAGCTGCTGTCTTTGTATCCCACGGCGAAAAAACGAGCGGGACGATGCTGTTGCGATGTAATTCGACTAGAGTACAGATGTAGCGGTGGAATGAGGGACGAGTCGAAAGTCGAGGAGAGGAAAGAACAGGCCGAGCGAGGGCAAGGAGGAAGAAAAAAGGAGACCGGACGGTGCAGCGCCACTCTGCCGATGCTGACGACGGCGTGACAACGAGCGAGCAGCCGAGCGAGACAAAGCTAGGATCGGACTTGCTCCCGGATCGTGTCTGGCGTACCGCTGCGGTAGTACGACGACGAGGAAGAGGCGACGACGGCCGAGTTGCGGCGGAAAGGCTCCTTCTTGGGCGGTTCGGGCGTCAGCGCCTTGCGCGGTCGCTCGCGGTCCTGGGCAAACCTCGTCGAGCTCGTCGCCCACCTCCGCATAAACGACGCCGACGACGAAGAAGAAGCCGACGCCGAAGGGTTGCCGCTTCCATCTCCATTGTGCGCAGCATGGTGTCCAAAGTGCGAGGTCGCCGCAGCTGCCTTGACGCCCGACTCGGGCGTAGAAACGCGGCTCCGCTTCGAGAGAGAGTTGCTCGCCGAACGGCGTGGCAGCACGCGCTGCCACGCGCCACCGTCCGAGTCGGATTCGCTATCGGCAGCCTGCGGAAAGTGCCTGGTCGTCATCGTCGTCGTCGTCGCCGTCAAGGGGCTGAAGCTGGACTGGCTGTCTCGAGGCGACCCAAGCTCAGTGGTCGTCAGCTTCGGCTGTGGTCGTGCGGCGGGCGCGCCGGGTCGCGGCGACGTGGGCGGCCCATCGCGGCGCGGCCCTTGAGAAGGTGCAGCTTGCAGACGCGGCAGCTGTGGAACCGGCGTCGTGACTGCGGCTGGTGAAGATAGCGAGGGGGCCATGCCAGGGGCCCTGATCACTGAGGTGGTGTTGTCCGGCGCGTCTGCGACCGGAGACCGCGTCAGGGAGCTCTGTACGATGCCTACTTCTCCGAGGCTGTGAGCGTCGTCGTCTTCGTCGTCGGAGAGGCCCAGCTGATCCTCCGACTTCTCCGTCCAGTCGGACGAGAGGCCCGCAGCGGCCTCGTCGTTGGCGAGCTTTGCCAGGATGCGACCTTGCCGAGTCGTGTGCGACTTGATCGGGGTCTGGTACTGCGCTTCTGGCGTGCTTCGACGGTAGTGGCGATCCATCGACGACGCGAGGAGCCTGGCGCGTTCTTGACCTCGAGCGTGAACAGTCATGGGATCTCTGGGAGCGTTGGAGAGAGGCGCTGCGGCCGCGGACAGTACGCTTGGGGCGCCGAGGCCATTCGCCGTAGTCGCTCGTCGAGCGAGATCGGCGTCGGGGAGGTTGGTGTTGATCTGAGGTAGCTCGCTGCAACTGTTGACGGCCACCGATGCCGGGCCCGACTGCGAAGACGGCGTCTGTCGATGCTGTGCAGCGTTAAGGAGATCCGAAAGCACCGTGATCTGTCGCATGAGCTTGGCTTCCGCTCGCTGCTGCCTCTGCTTGCGACTTGGAGGATTCAGAGCGCCCTTCCCTTGGCGCATTGGGCGCGAACGGTACGGCGATGCCAGCAAGAGCGAGGTGCCAAGCGGCACGGGTCTCTCGATGCCCACGATCGAGCGAGCCGTGGATCCGGACCTCTGCCTCGATATCGCATTGTTGGGACTGTCGGGTTTTGCAGTGAGCGATGTGGACGTGTCGACGGAGCTTCGACGACGGCTGGGCGCTCCTTGCAGGCTCTTGCTGGCCCGGACAATATCCTTTTGAGCTTGCGGTTGCGTCGCATGTGTTGGCGCATCGTGGCTCTTTGACGTTACCTGAGCAGAACCAGGCGCTCTCTCTGAGATTGCGGGTCCCTCCATCGACCTCGCCAGCGCGCCTTCAGGGCGTGCAGTGAGCGACGAGCGGGTTTTCGACGTTCCGCTGATTTTGGCGATGCTGGAGTGGATGAAAGGTGCAGCCCGCGAGCCTCGGGTGAGGCCCATGAAGATGAAGAGCAGGAAGAGCAGGACCAGCTGGGCGATGCCGAGCCTCTTCTCGAGAAGCACCTCATTGGCGAGGGCATCGACCTGACCCATCAAGGCCACCCGCTCCACCTCTGCTTGTTGGCGGTGGACGTCGAACTCGAAGATGGCGCGTTGCAAGTCGACCTGCTGCCTCCTCTTGAGCGCCTCGATCTGCCGCCAGTTGCTGGCGTTGAGTGAGCGCAGCATGTCCGTCATGCGCTCGTCTTGCCGCTTTTCCATCCTAGCAAACACCTCTCGCAGCATTTGCCCGCTGTGCTCAATGTAGCTCTGACTGAGCGTGGCGTTGGCCTCGAGTGCGTTGAGGCGGCGTGTGATGGCGCGGTAAATGGACTCAGACCCACCGGTGCTGCTTGCTGTAGATGGCGGAGGCGGCGGCGCAGGCCCAGTAGCACCCGTCGACGGTGACTTTGCGTGAGCCTTGGAGGCGTCCTGGCGGCGATCAATGTTAGCTGAAGCTGAGGGCAGCCGGCTCTGTCTGTCGACATCAGACGGCGCTGGATGCTGCGTCCGTCCGCGGCTGGATTTCGCGGCGGCCTTGCTCGTGGCAGGAAGCGGTGAGGCTGCAGCCTCGTCGAGGTGAACTGAGTCGCGTTGGCGAGTCTGCACTGGACAGCTGACCTGGGGCGAGAAGAGTCTCGTCAGACCGCCGTTGCTGCCCCCGGCATCGCAGCGTCTGTCAGCGGTCCTTTCATCCGTTCGACCAGACTGAGAGCCAGCGTCCTCAGTGGCGCTCAGGTTCTGCGTGGCCTCTGGTCGCTCGACAGAGCTGCCATGTCCATCGGATCCACCGGAAGCGTTCGCCGGCGGTGGAAGCGCTGCCTCCTCGAGGAGCTCGCCTTGCGAAGCTGATGCCGTCGATGTTGCGTTTGCTGCGGGACCTCTATGATGCTTGAGCCTCTCCCGGAAAAGCTTTTCGTGCCGGCTCCACACATCCTCGTCGCGCATCTTGACCTCGTCCAAAGATGTGCTCTCGAGTGCCTCAGCGGCGGCCCCTTGGCTCGATCCTTCTGCAGGCGGTGCCGCATCCTTGCCGCTTGGATCTTGAAGCTCGTCTTCCAGGTCGTCTTCCTCTTCGTCTTCGGCCTCGGCGTCGTTTCGAGAGAGCTTGTCCATCTCCTCGAGTTCGCGATTGTAGTCATCGAGCTGGGTGAGGCCGTAGACTCGGAGCAGGCTTACAGGGCAGTAGAATTCGGAGCCGTAGTGCTCGAGGAAGTCGATGCGGATGTAGCGGTAGAAACCTCCTCGTGCCGGCGACGGAGGAAGGTTGAAGACCTGCGCAGTCGTCGACGGGGCTTGCAGGCGGTCAGCTTCGCATTCCGGTACGGGCTCCTGCGACTACGCCTGCGACGACCTCGACTCACCTGTAGCCCTCGCACGTTGCGGGCCCGGAATGTGCCTAGCTCTTTCCAGTCGTCTTCGCGCCCCTTGAGCTGGTTGGCTGCCGTGACGCGGAACTTCTTGAACATGCTGCTGAAGAATTCGTAGTTGGCGAGGACGATGGTATCGATGACGATGACGTCGCAGAGCTCGATGATGACGAATTGCCCCTCGCCGGAATGGGCTCCTCCTTGCTTTGGACAGGGTGAGAGCATGTAGCGATCCTTCTTCTCGCTGAGGATCGCACTGGCGAATTTGGCCGAAGGGTTGGTCCGATGGACGACGGCCGCGCAGTCGAACGAGGCAAAGTTCCAGCGATGCTTCAGCGCGGCGAGCTGGGTAGAAGCGTCGGCGCCAGCGATGCCACGCGCGATAGGATCGACGACAGCATCCTTGGAACCCTCGGCGATGGCATTGCCATCTTTGCTTGGCTTCAGCGTCTGAGATTGAGCAGGTCCGTCGGCCGAAGGCGGCGAGGATGTAGCGGCGGTGGCCGTGTGCGCGCCCGCAGCCGGCGTAGGTGAGTTTGGGGCGGCTGCGGATGCCCCAGCCGACGCTCGAGCCTCGTCCTGCGGCAAGTGCCTGGCAGGTGGGTCCTGCGTCGCGGCTGGTCTTGTCAAAGGGTCGTCGGTGCCGGCAGGAGCGGAGCTCGCGGCATCCTCTGCAGAGGCAGGAGATGCTGACGGCGTCGAGGGACCTCCGTGGTCGGCGGCAGGTTGAGTGTGGTCCTTGGCCTTGCGTCCCTTCTTTGACTTTGGCCTGGACTTGTCGCCTTCAGCCCTGCTCTTGTCGCGCAGCGCATCAAAGTACTTCTCCTTCCACTCGCTGAAGCTCAAAAAGCCTTGACCTTCCTGCTCGGCCGACCAGGCATCGTAGGCTTTGATCTGGGCCTGTTCGGCCGCCGGCGGGAGAGCGCTGTTGGGAAGCCGCGGCTGGTTGGAAAGGGGCAGGGTCTGCGAGGAAGTCGAGGGGTCCGACACTGGCTGCGAAGGCGAGGACTCGGGATCGGGCATCGAGGGATGCCACTCGTGCAGTCCATTCTGCTGCCGCCAGAACCCCTCTGCTCCTGGAGGCGGGTAGGTGTCTTCGGGAGACGGTGCGCGACCGTCGTCGAGGGATGGATGTCCGGGCCCATTCAGAGAGGGCGGCCCGGCGCCGGGATGGCCGACGTCGACACCCTCTGTGAACGTGATGGTTCCAGACACGGCAATGGACCTTGTGCGCGGCGTATCGCCGCTGGGGCCATCGTCTGACGTGATGAGGGGCTCGGGCGAGGGGAGATCGCAGATCAGGAGGTCACCGTGGACGACCCCTAGCGCACGGGAGTGTGCCGAGCCATGATTGTTCGACGAGCTGGGACAGACATCTGCGAAAAAGTCTGTAGAGCGCCGGCACCCGAGTGGCAAAGAGACGGAGCTGGACGAGCCAGGTACGAGGGTGGCTTCGGACGGGCGTAAGAGCCGATGGTCGATGCCTCGGTGTGTCGACTCGGCGGGATGTTCGGAGTGGTCGACGCCCGGGTCAAAGAGGAAAGCGAGGCTAGAGGCTGCAAAGAGGAGCACAGCGACCAGACGGACCGAGTACGAGCCTCTGGTGGCCGATTGCCAGCGGAACTGCATGGTAGAGTAGGGCAAGGCCGGCCCACGGTCGACCTGACAAGAGAGACTTGCTGCTCGGCAGAGCCCTAGGGTAGGTAGAGCGCTAGCATGTCATCCACCGAGGCAAGCAGGCAGGCGAACGGAAGTCGACACCTCGGGATGCCGCGAAGTGGGCCGATGGAGACGTGATGGAGGAGAAGGTGTGGAGAAGGGTGGACGTGGTGGACGAAGGAGGGAATCAGCCACCCGGCCGCCTGCCGGTCTTGCTACGTGGCCTGCCTCACCTGGCTGGGGGGCCACGCTCTCCCACCCCCCCACGCTTCTTCCGTGCGAGGTGAGGTGGCCCTGACCCCCGCTCGGCTTTTTTGGCTCGCTTCGACACCCCGCCCAGCCGCCTCGTCCTGGCAGACGGACCCTGCAGCCACAGCCAGCTGCCCTGCCTGCCTGCCTGCCTCCTCTTTCTCGGCGCCATCACGAAATCAAGAGAGAAAGGAGGCCAGGCACGGTGCTGCCACCACGACCATTGCGGGGCCAGCCGGATCAAATGAACATGGATGCCGTGCTAGGGCGCGCTTGTCGTCACTTCTGAGGCTCTCGCTCTTCCAGCTTCACCCCTATCCTGCGTCGAGCCGTGCCGCTCTGATCAGACCACCCTACAAGTACATACAGTATGTACATAGTCGCTTCGGGCAGAGCGGGCCACTCTCACGCTCTGGCCTGCATTGCAGTGGCCGGCCGTGGTCAAGACTTTACGCTCTGAATCACGGCACCTATTCGCGACAGCCGTACACGTTTGCGGCCACCTCGTGCCAGGCGCTGCCCTCGACGGCGTACATGCCGCCATACGTGCGCTCGATGGGGTGAAGACGCCGGCCCACGATGACGAGGCTGTGCAACGGCTCCCCGTAGGCGGCCTTGGCCCGCGCCTCCCGTCGCGCCGCCCTTCGCTTTTCGAGATCTGCCTCGCTCGCCATCTCGTCCTCGCCATCCTCTTGCTCCTCTTTGGCCAGTTCCTCGGCCGAGGGCTCGGCCAGATCGTGCAGCTCCTGCAGCGTGCCGGACACGATGCGTTCCGTCTCGGCACCCATGCGGCACAGCGCGATGGCCAGCGTCTTGTCGGGGTGCAGGAAATCCACATCGTGCGCCTTTGCGGCTGCCAGGACCTGGGAGATGAGCTGAGGGATCAACATATACCGCGGCGGCTGGTACCGGAGCACGCCCCTGTGGTTTACGAGTCGATCCAGATGTAATTCCGCGACGGTGCAGAGGGGGGATCGGTCAGCGATGCAACTCCTGCTGCTGATGCAGGCATGGCGTCCATTCGACCCACCGGCTCATGTCCTCGATGCTCTGCTCGCGGACCTTGATGTCGCCCAGGGCAAGAGTGTGGCAGCCGATCCGAAGGTTCTCGCCGATCCTCTCGAGCCAGCTATCTGGCTGCCAGTCGGCGTGCCAGAAGGGCACGCTGACCGTTTGCCCGAAGTTGTAGCCGGCCAGTCCGCTCGAGCCAATCGCCGTGGTGATGCTTGCATTGTGAATGATCTTGACCTGGACCGGGGGCTTGGCGTTCCGGGCTCGCAGGATCAGATCGGTGTGCGTCGTTGCCGACAGCGGGTCGCCGACCACCAGGAACGAGACGTTGGACGTCGCAGCACTCTCGAGGATGGCATCAGACTCGAGCTCGACAGTCTCGCGATGGGCCAAGATGACCGGTTTCTCGTACAGCCGCTCCTGCCACCTCCAAAGTGGAAAGGAACAAGCGGAACGGGTCAGAAGACGAGCCGCGTCTTGAGGCGTCCTGCAGCGGACCCGCTGCAACTCACAAGACGCTCCTTGAAGCCTTCCACCATCAGGATGCTCGTGTAGCTCTCAAGGTAGATCCTTTCGGAGGATCTGACGGCATTGAGCCCCTTGAGCGTGATGTCTTGCTCATCCGCAAGCCCGAGCCCGATGATGTAGAGCACCATTGCGTCCGCTGGGTGCGTTCGAGAGGAGATCAGATGGTGGCCCTTGGCGGCGTGCGATAAGATCGAGCTGCGATGCTGAGCGAGCGGACCGCCGTCGGGATAACTCGTCGCAATATGACCCCGGTCAAGTGTCAAGGGCTGGATTGCAAGTGCTGACGATGTTGCAACGGGTCAGGGATGCGCGAGCGAGAGAAAGATGCGGTCCAGATAGAGAAGCGAAAGTGGTATCGAAGCGAAAGAGTAGCGAAGCGGAGCCTGGCAAAGAGCGTTGGAAGGGGGGGACGTCGACGACAAAAAAAAAAGTGGAAGGGCTGTGGCCCTGCGAGCCCGCAATCCGATGTGTCCAAAGGATGCAATACTTTATATTGTGTTAATCTGAACACCAGCACACGCCGGGGCAAGATGGCCGAGTGGTCTAAGGCGTAGCATTAAGGAAGATACCTCGGATCTCGAGGGGCAATCTGCTATCTTCGGGCGTGGGTTCGAATCCCACTCTTGTCATACTTTTTCCTTTTCCGACCGGGCGGCCGGGCGGCTTCGGATTGAGCTGCATCTCGTACAGCGGAGCGACGCTATGGCCAGGGAGCGCGTGCGACTGCAGGTAGACGCTCCAACAACGGCGCAACGGCGCAGAGTAGGGCACGGCGATCCGACGTTAGCGTTCTCTGCCACGAGTTCGAGCCGCGCGCGGGGGGCCAGGCGTCGATGGAGCTCACGGAGCGCCGGGTCAAGCTTACTGTCGTATGTATGTACAGACTGCAGCAAGCGCAGGCACGGGATTCAAAGCGTGCGCAATGCGTGCATGCGTGCCTAGGAACGTCGAATGATGACCTTTCTGACGCTCTTTGTCGGCGGCTCAGAAGCGACACACGGAGCGCAATGCGGAGCGCCGTGGGAGGAGGTAGGTACGTACAAGGACAGGCACGGACAGTTGACGATTCCGCGGAGGATGTCTGCAAAGCCCATCTTGACCTGGTCGAACCCTGGTGACTTGCCCGGCGAAGAGGGATATGGACCGAAGGACCCTGTTGCTATTGTACCGGCCCCTACCTTCAATCCTGGACGACTTCTGGCGTGACTCGGACCGTCCAACGGCCTGCGGGACGGTGAGGTTCCAGCCTGTGAGAGCTCGATGGGTGTCATGGCGGCTCAGCGTATATCCCGGTCCGACCCGACCGCGTGCTGCCCTGGAGATTGCTTTCAGCGCAAGAGTCCATCGTGGCAGAGCGGGCGAGCAAATCTAGTTATGTGGCGATGGGTGAAGCTGCATGGCAAGAGAGGGTCCGACTTTGGAAAGACAGGTACCAGAGGCGTGGCCCTCGTACGCCGACGGTGTTGAACCTGGCTGTCGAAGATGATGCAGCGTGGCGGGCTGCTTGTTGGCTGGCGGATGTGACTGGGAATGGAAGGGCGTCCCGGTCTTGGCTCGGAGGGCCATCGCGAAGGGCTACGGGCAAAGCCGTCCGACCTTGCTTGGTGCTTGCTTGCCGTGCCTGCGCGTGAAATTTTTTTTCCCCTCTTAGGCTTTTTGACTCCGCCTCGGCCGTGCGTTTTGAGCCTCGCTTGGCGATCTTTTCGTTATCAGATCCGGAAGGGAGAGACGTGGCGCCTGTTCAACTCTTCTCGGTCTCGTTGCGCCGCTTGCCCGATCGTCTGCGATGGCCTGCCCACTGCCGCCAGCAGTAACTATGTGCGTGTCCGCAAATTGCCCTGTGCGTTCCTGTCGCACCGATCGCGTTCACGCCGGGAGACGCTTCCATTGCCTGATGAGGTCGCTCGAGGTTGGGCCATCGGCCAGGATCGACCATTGCTGCTTCTCTGGCACCTCTTCGTTCATGACTCGGTGTCTTCGCGCAATGCACCGGCCCGGACGGTTTTTCATTTTGCCAAGACGAGGAGACAGCGGAGCTCGAATTGGAAAAAAAAGGGCCGGTGCGCCTATCAGATAGCTTTCGTGGCCTGCCCACCCTGATCAACCAGCCGGTGCATCGTGCATCGTCGGCCCTTCCCGAAGCTGCCCGAACGGCTGCTGGTTGTCGGCCGTCGTGGCGCATCTCTGCCTTGCTCTCTCGTGCCATTTCTCGTCGGGATCAAATGGTCTGGGCGCCTTTAGGCCCTGCGGCTGCTACTGCTGCTGCTGCGGTGCGGCGGCGGCGGCAATGCCTGCGCTTCCTGTTGTATGTGTACTCTTGCTCGCTGCATTCATGGGCACAGTGCCCTGCACGGCGGTCAAACTTCTGCTAGTAGTGTGGCGAAACAGACTGCAGATCACGACGGGCACCGGCGAGACCCGGTCAACGTCCGTGCCGGTCAAGGGCAAGAAGAGGCCTCTGCCCCCCGCCCTGTCCTTGCCGCTTACTCCCTGGCGACCGGCTGCTGGTGAAGAGTCGTCAGAGGCTTGACCACGAGACGCTCCTCGCATGCAGAGCCACGCCTGACGCTAGCTTGCTTGCTCACTCGCCCTGAATCCCACGCGGTCGAGGCAAGACAACGCGCAGCAGCAGCAGGCAGCGGAGAGGCCCGGGTCCATCCCCTCCGGGTCTTGGGCGTGTGGCCCACCAAGCGCAAGGAGTCGGCTGATGCGGTCCGCCTCTCTGGCCCATCCAGAGGGGTCAGAAGAGAGCCAGAGGAGGGCAAGGAAAAAAAATCAGATTCATCTGATAAGCGCTTTGCCTCGGTTCATCGCCTCTGCCTCTGCTGCCTTCCTGCCCTGTCCGGCCAATCCTCCCTTTCCGCCCCCTCTCTCCTTCTCCTCTTTCCCCCTTCCTTCACACCACTGCCTGGCATCGACCACTAGCTACATATACAGAGCGGACGCTCTTCCTCTGGCATCCATCGTCCACCTCGCTCCCTGCATCGCCCTCGGTTCTGCTCCCCAGACATACATCTTGCCCTCCCCGACCGCTTTGCCCGGGCCTCCTTCGTCGTTGCCAGAGCTCCCTCACCACCCCCACCACCACCACCACAAGCATCACCACCGCAACCTCACCCCCATCATGTCGGGTAAGCTCGACGTAGAGGGCGCGCCCGCCTTTTCGGACAACGACGACGTCTTTGCCGAAAAGCAGGCCGGCGTCGTCACCGCCGAGGCCGGTCGCTCCGTCGCAGGCTGGACCCTCTGGATCGGCATCCTCGGCATCGCCCTTGTCGCCTACATTGCCGGCCTCGACAACAACACCATGTACGCGTGGCAGACGGCGGCGACGACCGAGTTCAACGACTTTGCCGCCTACACCGCCATCGGCATCGTACAGCAGGTCATCATCGCCGTCGGCAAGTTCCCGATCGCCAAGATTGCAGACGTCTTTGGACGCGCCCAAGCCTATTCGGTCGCCCTCTTCTTCTGGATCCTCGGCTTCATTGTCATCGCCGTCTCCCAGACCACCCGCGACGTGGCCGGCGGTACCGTCCTCTACGCCATCGGCAACACCGGCGTGCAAATCATGCAGCAGATTGTCATCGCCGACTACATCTCGACAAAGTGGCGCGGCGCCGCCATCGGCCTCGTCAGCACCCCCTACATCATCAACTTTGCAATCGCACCCAGGATCGTCAACTCGATCGCTCCCTTCGGCGACCTCAGCACCTGGAGGTGGGGGCCCGGCATCTTTTGCATCTGCGCCCCCGTCGCCGCCGCCCCCATCATCCTCGCCCTCGCCATCAACCAGACCCGCGCAAAGAAGCGCGGACTCGTTCCCACGCACCCTTACATGCGCATGATCGAGGACCGGCTGGTGGCCAACGGCGCCAACTCAAGGTTCTCGCCGGCCTACCTCAAGACACTCCTCTCGTGCACCGGCACCGTCGTCTACGAGCTGGGCAAGGACATTGACGCCATCGGCCTCTTCCTTGTCTGCGCCGGCTGGCTCCTCTTCCTCCTCCCGCTCAACCTGGCCAAGCTCCAGACCGACGGGTGGCAGACCAGCTGGATCATTGCCATGCTCGTCATCGGTGGCGTCCTAATCATCGCCTTTGGCTTCTGGGAGGTCTTTTTCTCCCCCAAGCCCCTCCTCCACCGGCGATGGAGGCTCAACAAGGACGTCCACCTCGCCACCTGGATCGGCTTCTTCGACTTCTTCAGCTTCTACCTCTCCTGGACCCCGGCCTACACGTGGATCGTCATTGTCAAGGACTTCAACACCACCGACGCCGGCTACTTTTCCAACACCCAGTCGCTCTGCCTGACCGTCTTTGGCATTGCAGCCGGCTTCATCTCGCTCGCCACCAAGCAGTACAAGTGGACCCTGTGCGGCGGAGCCCTGATCCGCATCCTGGGCATCGGTCTCATGATCCGCTATCGCGATACGGTCTCGACCACCTTCCAGGTCGTCATGCCCCAGGTGCTCCAGGGCCTCGGCGGCGGCATCCTTGGCGTCACGCTCCAGGTCGCCGCCCAGGTCAGCGTGCGGCACCAAGACGTGGCCATGGTCACCGCCTACGTCCTCCTTATCACCGAGATCGGAGGTGCCTGCGGTACCGCCGTCGTCGGCGCCATCCAGACCAACGTCCTGCCCGGCTACCTCGACAGGTTCCTGCCCATGCTCAGCGCCGCCGAGCGAGCAGCCATCTTTGCCTCGCCCACATCGTACCTGGCCACCTACCCGCTCGGCAGCCCCGTCCGCGACGGCATCGTCGCTGCCTACAACCTCTACATCCACAAGCTCCTCATCGTCAGCATCTGCCTCTCGGTGCCCCCCGTCCTCCTCTCCCTCGCCCTCACAAACTACCGACTCAACGACAAGCAGAACTGCGTCAGCGACGAGCTCGCAGGCATGTCGATCACCGCGCCCGCCTCGTCCAAGGCCAGCGACGAGAGCCACGACCGCGATGACTAGACACTTTCCCCTTTCCCCCTGCTGCTCGCACATGTTTTTATTCACGATAGAATGCACTGTACCGTACAAGGACTTGCTCGCCGACGTCTCTTACCGGCGCAAAAATGAACTGGACTGATGCCTCTTTTTCTACACACGACGCACTTGGCGTGCCTCGTCCCCAGCTGCTCTTTGTGTCACTTGCTCCTGGCTAGACACGCCGAGCTGCGACCGGGTCTCGTGTCAGGGACTTCCGATGACCACGACGAGGAAGGTTCGGATGCGGTACGCAACCAAGCGCAGCGATGTCGGCTGTTGCTGTGCGCGCGGCCTCGGTTCTTGACCGAGACAGACGGCGACAACAACGCCCTGCCCGGGCATCACACGGTCGAACCGCGTCGGCTCATAACGATGCTCAAGCGTTCATGCGGTGACGCATCTGTGACGCCAGCTGGGCCAGGTGCCCGTCGCGTTCGTCGACGTACGCAACGAGACTATCCTCGTCCGCCCTGCCAAAAGGGCACGTTAGAGACGGCGGCGACTTCGCGAAGCGCGTAACGAGCTGGAAACATGAGGTGAGCTTTGTGACGCCAGCTGGGCCAGGTGCCCGTCGCGTTCGTCGACGTACGCAACGAGACTATCCTCGTCCGCCCTGCCAAAAGGGCACGTTAGAGACGGCGGCGACTTCGCGAAGCGCGTAACGAGCTGGAAACATGAGGTGAGCTTTGTCCCGGCCAAGAAACAAGAGCATCGCGCAGCTACGAATACAGGGATGGCAGGACGCCGAAAGCGGCAGCTCAAAAGTCCGGAAAGAGGTCGCCCCACTTGTCCGGGAGGTCCGGCCGGTTGTAGTCGGAGATGTCGTTCTCCGGGTACCTCTCGAATCTGCGTGGCTCGCACGGCGAGGAGGTGGGATGAGCCGAAATTGTTGTCATCGCTGTCAGCGGAGTCGGTCCCGTGCACGTCACCACAGCCCCTAACCATCCCGAGCCGGCGCGCGGAGCTGGCCGTACTCACTGGCTGGAATCGCCATCGACAGTGACCGTTGGGAGGTATGGTGCGGGGATATCTCGCCGGTACAGGCGGTCCCAGTCCACCTCGGCGAACCAGAGGTGCTCGAAAATGTCCTTGGATCCGCGATGGAGGTTGCCGAACCGCTTGGAGAGGTCCGCCGTCAGCAGGGATTTGAGGAGATCCCTGGATTCAGAGAAACGAGGTTCGCCCTTCAGCTCAACAGGGGCACGCAGGATCCGCGGGGTACCGCCAGCTATCGGCAACATCGGCACGTCACTCACTTTACGCCAGCCTCGAAATAGGGAGGGTATCGAACCTTGCACGCAATGATCTTTTCGTACAGCTTGATCGGGTTGCCATCCTCGGTGAAAAACGGCGGATGCCTGGTCGGTTCAGCGTGGAATCGTCGCAGAGATAGAGGCGTGTCAGAACAAGTGATGGCCTACACGCGCCCATACTTCACTCCCAGCACACTCACCCAGCCTGAAGAATCCCAAGAACACGAAGACAATGGCAGAGGCCCATTACGGGAAGAAAGGTACGTGTCAACAGCGATGGGTCCCAGCAAAATAGTCTGATGCAGCCGCGCCGCAAGCCTTCACTCACAAGCATCTCGAAAAGCAGCACTCCGAGCGCCCACCAATCTACGCTCTTGTTGTATCCCTTGGAGCTGACGATTTCTGGCGCCAGGTAGTCGGGAGTACCTGCGTAGTGTATAGCGAAGACGAGAGCGGCATTGGATCAGCGAATGTGGTTGCCGTAAGACTATTAAAGTCAGACCGGCTTGGACCTTACCACAGAGCGTCCAAGTGACGTCTGGGACGTATTTGGCGAACCCAAAGTCGGTGATTTTGAGGTGGCCGTCTGCACCGAGAAGGATGTTTTCGGGCTTGAGGTCACGGTAGACGATGTTGTTTTGGTGGAGGTAGTCGATCGCGAGCGCGACCTCTGCGGCGTAGAACTTGGCGACGGGGTGCGGGAAGCGGAGCGACTTGCGCAGGAGGGTGAAGAGCTCGCCGCCGGGGACGTAGTCCATGACCATATAAAGGAAGGTGGGGTCCTTGAAGGTTCCCCACAGGTTGACCAAGAAAGGATGTCGGACAATGGATAGGACAGCTCGCTCAGAGTTCGTGTGCTCGACCTGCTTCATCTTGACGACTTGATCCTTGCGCAGGACCTGCCCAACAGACCGGTGGGCGGTGCGGGCCGCGAGGGTGGAGAAAGGAGAAGATGAGGCGAGGGTGGTGACGGTGAGCGCCGCGGGCTTTGGCGAGTGTGGCAGGTACGGCGGCGCGCCTTACCTTTATCGCGTAGAATCTCTGATTGTGACGGCTCCTGACCAGGTGAACCCTGCCGAAGCTGCCGGTGCCGAGGGTCCTCTCTACGGCAAAGTCGGCCAAGGCATAGCGTCCACTGAGCTTGCGTTGCTGAGCCGCAATGGCAAGCGGGAGAGAGGTGGAGCTGTAGGTTCCGGCCGAGTTGGCAGAAGCGAGATGAGATGCGGCGGCGTGCGGCTGCTGGCCGGCGGCGGGCTTGGAGGGGACGACGACAGCGGCAGTAGATGGATGGTTCGCAACTGCCTGTGATGCAGCAGGGTTGGAAGTTGGGTTGTTATACGCCGGAATGGAGGGAATCTGCTGGTGTGGTTGGTGCTGGTTGTGTGGTAGGTTGTGAGGCTGTGGGGCGATGTTGGCGGGATCGTTGACCGAGACGAGGGGCTGTTGCTGGTTGGCAGAAGACATGGCGGTGGGAGGGTCAATGTGCGCAGAGAGCTTGGATGATGCGAGGGGATCGTGTGGGTTGTGAGAGATCCTAGCTCGGCATGGGGGCGACGCCCGGAGTTGAGAAGCTCTGCGTTTGGTGGGAATGATGAGGGATGCTCGAGCGCAGAGCAGGGCCAGGGTCGGAGGGGCCGTCGAGCGACTACCGGCCTTGCGTAGAGGGAATGGCGCGAGTCGCCCGCGAGGAGCCGATGATTGAGGAAAGGTGGGTCGGCGTTGCGGAGACGCTGTGGAGCGGTGAGGGTAGTAGCGGCAGCAGGTGCAAGGGCAGCGGAAGAGGATGTTGTGATGCGGCCGTGGGGTGCTGGCGATGCGAGGTGGAAGCAAGGAGAAGGTATGGCCTGGGGAAGGTGGGCGTACGCTTGGTGATGGATGGTGCTGAGCTGGATGGATGGTCAGAGACGAGGCGCGAGGCAACGGCGTGTGGAGAGATGGAGGGTGGGCCGACGACGTCCCCGCGCTCAACCAAACGACGAATCCCCGGCGGCGGCAAAGGATGCGGATGCCGGCAGCCAGCCACAAAGGAACAGCCCCGAGGCCGCGCCAAAGCCCGGCCAGCAGCAGCCCGGCCTGCCAGACCACCAGGCGTGGGCTGCAGGCACGCCCTCGAGCAGGCCGACCGGCCCCTTTGGCCAAACCCGGCGTCGGGGCCAAGCAAAGGCCTCGACTGCTCTGCCCAACCCCAGGCACCGACGCGCGCCCAGTAGTCCCCCCACAAGCCTGGCGTGGCCGGGCCTGGCCTGTGTAGCCTGCCTGCCTACTACTAGGCTGCTGGTCTGCTGGCCTGCTCGCCTGCTCGGGACCCTGGCAAGGACTTGGGAACTGAAATGAAATGATAGACGGGTTTCGTCGCGGCTTGCACACCGAAATTGGGTCGCATTCAATCTCAACGAGCCACCAAGCGCTGGAGGCAGCGGGCAAAGAGTCCCGCCCCTCGATCTCGGCTTTGCGACGCTTTGACCATGCCCGCTGGCCCACCTGCGATCACTCTGCCTCTGGGTCAGGGCAGCTCGCTTGCATCTCCACATCCCGCCCCTCGATGCATCCTCGGCGCCTCACACACCATCCAACTCAAGTCACCCCGCCGTGTTCGACTCGACCTGCCGTCCTCAAGTCGAGCCGCCGTCCGAAGCCTACCGGCGTTCAAGCACATCGAGCCCGCACGTCGCTCTCGCTGACCCTTTGAAGCAATCTCCCCTGCCGCTGCGTCGCCGCAATGTCGCTCCCGAGGCGCTCCTACGACCCGCGCCGCGTTTGCCTGTTTCCCATGCCCCAGCTGCCCGCCTTTATCCAGACAAACAAGCGATCCTTCGGCATCTACCTCTCCGGCGCCCTCTTTGCCCTGGGATGGTGGTTCTTTCTCGATGCCTGCATCATCTCGTCGCTCACCCTCAAGCCGCCCCGCGACCCCTCGCTTCCCTTTGAGCCTCCGGCCACCCACATCAGCTTTGCCGACTGGGTCCCCGGCCTCTGCGCCACGATTGGCATGATCGTCGTCAATCTCATCGACAAGCAGCACCTCACAGAGGCAGGCGGCACATTTTCCTTTGGCGGCGGCTCCGGCGGCGGCTTCAGCGGCGACAGCGTCCAGTGGCGCGCCCGGCTCTTCCTCTTTGTCGGCTTTGCCCTCCTCGCAGGGGGCCTGGCCGGATCCATTACGGTGCTCACCGTCAAGTACCTCGTCGCCGACCTGCCCCAAGGCTTCGAGTACTACGGCGTCGCAAACGTCGTCCAAAACTCTGGCATCATGCTCAGCACCGTGCTCCTCTGGATCAGCCAGAACACCGAGAGCGACTTCGAGTACAACCTCACCCTCTAGGCGCACCGCACGCCAGTCGCCCCTCCCTGCATCGTAGCAATGGAATCGTGGTCTCGCTCGGCGGCTCGTGCGCCGTGCCAATGCGATGGGGGCCTGTTGCCTGCGCGGGGTCAAAGTGTGTGCCTCTCCGCTGATGCGGTAAGATCTGCGGGTCATGCTGTTGATAGGAGCTCGTGTCGGCGTCTGATCCACTCACATTCGCCCGCCCGCCCGGCCTTGATGGAGGGACCGGGTCATCGACATCCAAGAGAGCGGGTGCGCGTGTCGAACTGACTCCGGGCCCGGACAGGTGGCAGCCTCCCAGAGTTTTGTATTTGCCGGCCGTCTCTTCTTGGGCGCGACGTGAAGCCCGCCATCAGCTCGGCCATCGAAATCGCCGACCGCGAAGCGTCGACAATTCTGAACAACGGCGCGGGGCTCACTTTACTGACCTTTTCTTGCCTGCCTACAACTACTGCCTCTCGCCGCATCTACCACCTTGCATTCCGCACACTCTTCGTTTCAGTGTCGTCACTTTCGTCAGCCGCAGAGGCTAAGGGGATATGACTGCGGCGCCGATCGGTCTGCGCACCGGCCTGCGACTTGGCCGCTCTTTGAACAGGACCAACAATGTCTCGATCGTCCTTGGCGCCTCGCAACGTGCCTACGCTTCCTTCCGCCCCTTGCATCACGCCGGTCCACGTCGAAGCGATTGGGCTTCCTCGTCGCGGAAACGCTCCTTCTCAAGAAGCTCGCATGCCCCCAATGCAACCAAGGACGAGACGCGGCCGCCCCTTCTTCAACTCCGCAACGCCTGGCTGCGCAGTGTTTGGGCAGCGCAACCCGATACCTCGCACAGTGGCACGGGAGGCGCGCTCGACTGGACGATACGAGACCGAGCAAAGCAGGAGTGCTGGGCCATCATCGGACCAGCGAGCGAAAGAGGGGGACGCGCAAGGAGGGAGGTCGTCGATGTGAGTCCTCACAACCTTCCCCGAGCCCGGAGCGGGTCCACTACCACCGAAACCTCTCTGATCTTCGGCGGTCCGGCCTCCGTGTTTCACCATTGCTCTGATCAGGTCATACTAGGCAGATCGAGGCCAAAACAGGCTTCTAGCAAAGGCGGCGACGACCTCACCGCCATCTGCCAACAGATCCACGGCAGACCTTACCATCCCAACGTTCACCCCTTCCTCAGTGACCGAATGAGCGGTACCGCCGGCGAGCTCCGCCGAACCCCTCATGATGCCATCAAACATGTCTCCTTTGCGACGCAGATCGGAGGAACTGGGGGCGAGTTTGTCAACTACAGCGCAAGGTACGGCGCCATCCGGGAGCAAGATCGCGTCACGCTCTACGAACGTCTTATGGATCTGCTCGGGGTCCCCGTCGGCCTCGTAGCGGCCCAGAAGATGCTACCAGACCCTTTTGCGGCCAGCACAGGCACAGCTGGGGATGCCGTCGGTCTCTTCAAGTGGTCGAGCGAGCAGGCAAGGCAAACTGCCAACGAGCGGGCCTTGGAAGCGGATGCCGTCGTTCGGCAGATGGCGCCCCTCTTGCTCATCGACGATCACCTCCTTCACCGCCCGGTCATTGCGCTGTCCAACGGCCAGACCCGGCGAGCTAGGATCTTGTCCTCGCTCGTAAGCGGCGCGGAATTGGTTGTGCTCGAGGAACCCTACTCGGGCATCGACGCCGGCACCAGGCAGAAGCTCTCGCAGCTCTTCGCTCGCCTCCACGCCGAGCGTCGGCCACGATTCGTGCTCGTGCTCCGGGAGCAGGACGAGGTGCCAGACTTTATCACCCACCTACTTCGGCTCGATGAGTCGGGTGCCATCAGCCATCTCGGAGAACGAAAGAGCGACGACTCGAACCAGGCGACGGCACTGTCTCACGACGCCAAGTCTGAAGCTGCCCCCCGGAACCTTCCGGCCCGGGCGGACCCTTACGACCTTCTGCTGCGCAACGCCGCCGAAGACGTCGGCCGAGGCGATGAACGGCAGCCTCCGATCATCAGCATGAACGACGTCTCCGTAGCGTACGGGAACACAAAGGTCCTCGATTCCATCAACCTGCGCATCTGGCCGGGTGACCGGATCGTTCTCGCCGGCGACAATGGTTCGGGTAAGACGACGCTGCTCGCTCTCATCCTTGGAGACCATCCTCGATCCTTTTCGTTCCCCAGAGACCAACTCTCGCTCTTTGGCATGGCAAGGGACGAGCCGCTCAACGCCAGGCCGCTGCTCGGTCAAAGGATTGGCCACCTTTCCCCGGAGCTTTTCAACGCTTTCCCGCGCAAATCAGCCGAAAGGGGAGGCCTGACGGTCGGGGAGGTCATTGCATCGGGCTATGGCAACGTGTTCGCACGTCGGTCCTACAGCGAGGCACAGAAGCAGCGAGTCTGGGCGCTGCTCTCCCGATTCGCTCACCTCGTCAAGTCGTCGGACGGGCGTACCATCATGGAAGATGCTGTTCAGGCTGACCGAGGGGGGGCTCCAGACCTGGCCGACGTGCGCGCCGTCTCGTCGCGGGGCTTTACAGAACTCAGTCATGGCTCTCAGGCGGTAGTTCTGTTCCTGAGGGCGCTGGTCGGCCGGCCGCGCTTACTCGTGCTGGACGAACCCTTTCAAGGCATGGATGCGAAGCAGGTCGAGACCATCAGGCGATTTCTCGACGATAGCACCGCGCGAAGCGTAGCGCCAGACCGCTGGGCCATCGGAGAGACGGCCGAAGAAAAAGCGGCGGACACGGAAGCGCGGCAACAGATGGCAATCGTCTTGGTCAGCCACTATGAGAGCGAATGGCCGACGCGATTCGGTCGCCTGATCCGGCTAAAGGGCGGCCTTGTAGAGGAACGCGTATAATCGACAGATCCTTCAACCCTGTTGCCGGCAATAACACCCTGTCTACGATTTTCAGATCGTAGGAGATCCTTCTACATACTACCTACAATTTCATATTGTAGCTAGACCAGTTCAGATTGTGGCCAGGCAGCAATCAGAATACAGCTACGATTGATTTGGTCCAAATACTAGCTTTGATTGCAAACAACTATCTATGCTGACGCAGGCCCAAAGCCATGGCCACACCAACCCTAACGTGTTTTTTTTTTTCTTTTTTCGCCGATAGGCCTGGTTTTGGGCTGCCAGCAGGGCGGGCAACCCCTCAACTGAGCATTTTTGCCACCAACCCTTCCTTCCTCCCACCACCACCTCCTCTAAAGCCCAGCCCAGCTCCCGGCCCTCTGTCTCTCCTACTAGCTAAAGCGACTCCTCTTGCAGACATCAACATCCTTCAGCAATGCATTGTCAAGCTTTGGTCAAGTCTCAACAAGACATAGCTCGGCCTTGGTGGGACGTGTCGGGCTGTGCTCTCTTGGCGATCTTTGAGCTCAGCCGACCCTCATCCTTGGGGCGTCGGCCTCGGCCTCATCGCCAAGGTGCGTCTCTTCCTTGGCGTTGTGGGAATCCGGCTTGGTGATTCCCACCGGGCCGGCGTTGGAGGGTCTCGGACCCTTTGCCTTCCGACAGCCCTGATTGGAGTTCCAGCAACCTTTAGCAAAAGGCCGTTGGCTTGGACCCAAGGGTCTGCGACGGCGGAGGCACTGTCTTTCTCAACAGCTGGCAGGCTTGGGCAGGTGGGCAAGGTGGCTGGCAGGCTGGCGCGCAAGCCGGCTGGCTGGCAGGCTCAGGCGGGCTGGCTGGAGGGCAGGCTTGGGGGCTGGCCCGCTGGCTGGCTCAGGCGTGCGAGCTGGCTGGCTGGCGCGGCTGACTGAGCTTGCGCATGCGCAAGAAAAAGGGGAGGCCAGGCCACGCCGCCAGGCCGCGTGCGTGCTCACGCAGGCTCGTAGGCTCGCATGTGTGTGTGCTCACGCAGGCAGGCAGCCTGCCTGACCACCTGACCGCCCACCAGCTGAGCCTCGCCTGCCAGCGTGGCCTCGCCTGCCTGCCTGCCTTGGTATAAAGTCTTGCCTGCTCCGCTGTCGCTCCTTCCCTCCCGACCACTACCATTGACCCTCGCCTGCCACCGCCATTTGACCAACATTGACGCCACCCAACCAACATTGATGCCACCCACTGGCATCCAGCCGCCTTGTCCCATCATCCCTTTGCCCGCCATCAGTCTTTTGCCCACCACCGCCACCCAACTGCTGTCAATGCCACCAGCTGGCATCCACCCCAGCCACCTCGGCCGCGTTACGCCCTGCGCTTCATCACTTGCCACCGTCATCGCTGACTTGCTGCCACCAACTTCGCCAACTCTCCACCACCACCAATGTCCATTTGCTGCCACCGCCTGCACCTCTACCTGACCTTTGTGGATCATGAAGATGAAGCAATTGAGCTGCCTTCTTTGATTCCATTGCATCTACCGCATCAATGGTGTCTGCACCCACCCTCAACCAACGCTGACATTGCTCCTGCCTTTCTCTCCCCTTCTCCGGCAGCCACCACTGCCTCCAGATGACCGACACCACATCGGCCAAGACCGTCAGAGCCAACCTTGGTGCCACTACGTGTTGCCACCTGCCAACGCAAACTGCCTGGCCTTTGTCGGGTGCATGCATCAATCCGCCATGGCGCTCTTCTGCCATCGCTCTGTCGCAGCACGCTGACAGTCTGCTCCTTCCCTGTACCCCTCTTCCTCAGGTCTGTGGCTGCTCTCTCTGCACCGCGCCATGCCCTGCATCAACATGCCGCTGCCACCACCAATCGACACCGACCCTGGCCTGCCTCGCTGTGAGTGCCTCCTTGCTGGTGCAGGTATTACTGGCATGCCATGTCTCCCAGTCAGCGTGGCTTCCAGTAGCGTAGATAGCGTTTGATTCTGCAATAAAAGCTAGTATTTGATCCAATGATCATAGGCACATTCTGATTGCTGCCTGGCTACGATCTGAAAAATTGTAGCTAGACCGGTCTAGCTACAATTTGAAAATTGTAGCTAGTATACAATCTAAAAATTGGCATGGCCTGTCTGCATCCAGAAATTGTTTGTGTAGAAGGCCTACCTACGATCTGAAAATCGTAGCCTGCCTATGCCTATCTACAATCTGAAAAATCGTAGGTTGGCCCTGCTGCTAGCTATGAAGGCAGGCAGGTGGGGCTACGATCTTGGATGGTAGGTAGGCCCAATTTTGGATTTTGGATTGTAGCTAGTTGTAGGTAGGCTACGCATCGGAAAATCGAAGATAGGGATCGATCCCCGATTTTAGATGGCAGCCTGCCTTTGACCAAAATTGGGCCCAGCCCTGCTGCTAGCCATGAATGCTGGTTGGTGGTGTGGACGCAGTTGGGTATGTAGAGTGGAGTAGAAAACGGACTAGGAACACATAGTAGATCAATCAGTACTGTTGGTACCAAATCAACTCACATCAAGCTTGGTGAGAGTACGTTGCAACTCAGTATGTTGGAGTATGCCTCCTCAATTATGTGGGAGAGACCTTGACATATGTCTTATAGGTACAGGGGAGGGTAGCGGCTAGCCTAGTCCTTGGAGCAAGGAGAGGTAATGTGTAGCGCTGAACCAGATAGGAGGATAGAAAGAATAAGATTTGACAAGGGACAACTCTCTACCAAGAGCTTCTGCTGCTACTGGTAGCTTCAACGCAGTCCTGCATGTCTTCCTGCTAGCTACAGCGACTTGTACAAGGAACATTGTTGTCCCTTTGCAATTTCTGGTCGAGTAGTGGGCAAGTCTCAATAAGACAATGCTTGACCTTGATGGGTTGTGCCAGGTTGCGCTCCTTTGGGATGTTCTAGCTCAGCCAACCCCCACCTTTAGGGTGTTGGTTTTTGCCTCATCTCTAAGGTGGATGCTCCCTTGGCGTCCAGATATTGTGGGATTCGAACTCGGTGATTTGCACAGAGTTGGCATTGACAGATGTCAGCCTCCTTGCCGGGCCAAGTTCTGGCAACCTAGGCCAAGTCCTGACGACCTTTAGTCCAGGACCTGAGGGCTTCATGTCTGCAACGGCAACGGCAACCGTTTTCTTAACAGGGTGGCAGTGGTGGGCAAAGGGCTGATGGTAGTGGTCAGAAGATAGGAGGAGGTGCAGGGAGGGTCAAGACTTTATACTGAGGCAGGTGGGCAGTCAGCAAGCCTGCATGCATGGGCAGGCCTACTGGCCGCCAGGCACACACAATCATAGCTAGCGGCAGGGATTTAGCTACGGCCTCGGGAATCGGAGATCTCCTTCGCTACCCCAGGGCCGTACCTAGCTGGTCTACCACTTTGGCCTTTGCGCCGTAGGACTCCTACGCTCCCAGGGCCGTAGGACAGCGTCGCTCCCACACCGCAGGCATAGCACGCACCCACAGCCGTATCCTAGCTACGATTCAATTGCAATACTACGGTACCTGCAAGGGCGGCAGCAGCAACAGCGGTAGAGCAAGGTGACAGCAGGGCGGCAGCAGGCAAAAGCGGCAGAGCATTGTCAGCAGGAAAGTAAAGCGGTGAGAGAGCAGGCAAAAGGAAGACGGGAGCAAAGGAGTCAGCAACGGCGTGCAGCAAAGCAACAGAAGAAGAGCGGCAACAGTCAACTCACATGAGGTGGAGCGGAAGCGAGGCCGTCAATGGTCAGAATCATCGGAGACTTCGGAGAGGGCCTCTCCAAAGTTTCCGATGATTGATGGTGTCAGCTAGCGGAAGCAAGCAGTACGGAGCAGCAGCGGCTGGTGTTGGAACACCTTGCCGTCTCGCACGAAAAACGCAAAGGGCAAACCGATTTGATCAGAAGGGACACTCTAGAGCACTGGACGCGCCCTTTGGGCCCGGCTCCTGCGAGTCCTGACCCGAGCCGTCAGGTAAGGCAAGGGTAGCGGTAAGGAGCAGCTCCTACCCCTGATGCTACCCCTCACCGACGGTCAATCCCCATTCATTCCTACCCCTCCATTCCTACCCCTTTAGATAGACACGTCTAGTCATCTATAGAGCCGCGATTCACGGTCGAGTCGAGCAACTCGACCAAAGAGACGGAGCGGCACGGTCCCCCGTAGCTACAGGATCATGGTTGCTGCTCTAGAGGTCTATAGTGACCTGCAGCGCAAAGTTGTAGCATATATATACGACCAGCTTCTGGTCGACGATGGGACCGCTTCATTATCGAATCTTACACACTTCATCCCCTTCTATCGGTTCAGCTTACCCTCACATACTCTTCCACATCTCTACGAGCGACTACAGTCGCCTGCCTTGCGTCTTCGACAACTAGTCCGTTGGTCTACCCTCAACCTGGCCCCGAAGCTGTTCCGAGTCCAGGAATAACAACTCGACTCCTACGGTTGACTCCATACTGTCCTTCGGTGTTCCAGACAACTAGACTTGTTATTTGTTGTCGGTTCCGACTCGCACGCACCCTAACAGGTGTTCCAATAGCTGGCAGCTCACCAGGTGGCTGGCTGGGCCTCGCCAGGTCTCGCTGGCGGCTGGCTGGGCCAGCTGGCTGGGCTGAGCTGGCGGCTGCTGGTTGGGCGGGTGGCTGGCGGGTGTTGGCTGGGACAGGCGGGTAGCAGCTGGCTGGCTCGGGTGGCGGCTGACGGCTGGCTGGGCGAGTGGCAGGGCTGATGGCTGGCTGCGCTGCGCTGACGGCTGGCGGATGGCTGGCAGGGTGGCTGGCTTGGGCGGCGGGCAGAGCTGGCGGCTGGCTGGCGGGTGGCGTCGGATGGTGGTGGTGGTAGGAGGGAAGGAGAGACGGGTGGGCTGCAGATGGATTTTGCAAAGGGCCGGGTGGCAAAGGGGCCAGCGCGCGCGCACATGCCTGGCCTCCTGTGCTGACGTAAGCAGGAAGGGCCTTTTTCTCGGCCGTACGAGGCCTGCGGCAAAAAAAAGCGCAAAAGGCCTCCGATTCCCGGCCGTAGGGGTCCTGCAGCCAAAAATAGTCCGGCCGTAGGGGTCCTTCGGCCTTTTCCGGCCGCAGGAGTCCTCCGAATTTCAGCCGAAGGACCCTGGCGGCCGAAAAGGCCGAAGGACACTCCCAAATCCCGAGTTTAGGGCCGAAAGACCCCTACGGCCCAAATCGTAGGTGCCTTTGACGCCAGCTATGAATGCCACGGGCCAGAGATGCGCATGTGCGCCAGCAATTTCCCCTCTTGACCAAGATCACCAGCGAGGCAGCCAAAACTGGCGCGCGCGCACATTTCTGGCCTGCCAGCCAGTATGGTCCCCCTTTTTTTTTTTTTTTTTTTTTTTTTTTCTTTTTTTGGCATTTGGGTCAAGCTTAGTCAGCCGCACCAGTCAGCCCCATCGCCCGCTCAAGCCTGCCAGCCAGCGGGCTTGACTGCTTGCTGAGGGCAGAAGCGGAGGGACAGCTGTCAGACAACAGAATCATCAGAGAGCTGCTCCCTGATAATTCATGATTCCAATGATTGAGAGGGTGGCAAAGCAGGGGCAGAACAGCCTGCCAAATGGGGCCCATTCAATCTACAGTCATAGCTAGCAGCAGGATCTGATTGAAAAAAATCGCACATGTATAACAATTTGAAAATCCAGCTGCAGCCAGCTTGTGCGATTTCTCAGATCGCAGCAGGCGTGCGATCAGCTGCAATCTGAGATCCTGGATTTTTCCTGCCTGCAATCTAGAATACACTCATAGTGGCCAGGATTTCAGATCGCACTTGTCATGTGTATAACAACTCTTAAATCCTGGATCGCATGGCCTGTGCGATAGAAAAAATCGGGAATTACTTTTGCTGCTAGCTATGAGTCTTGGATCATAGCTAGACTTAAGATTTCAGATTGTAGCCAGTCGTAGGTAGGCTGCATGTCAGAAAATTGGATGCAGGGATTGATGCCCAATATCAGATTGTAGCCTGCCTAAATGGGCCCAACACTGCCACTAGCTATGAGGCTCACCTACGGCCTAAATCAAAAATTTTGACCATTGACAGCCATCTTCTAGCCTTCCGCTTGACAGCCCTGCCTTGCCTTGTCTTGCCATTGCCTCCTGGCCCTTTGCCTCAGTGAGTCCTCTGTGCGCACTGCTGCCCTGCTGATGGCTTGCCCCTTTGCCTTGTCCTTCACCTTGCCCTCTATCTCATAGATAGCAGCAAAGGGCAGGTTGAGTTTGGCCGTATGCCAACCTGCGGTGTGCAATCGGGAGATTGGGGTTGATCTACGCTGAAATTGGCCGTAGGTCACCTACGGCCAAAATCGGTGATCTCCTACGCCAACTGTAGGCCGTAGGTGGCCCTGGGGCCGGAAACTGGCAGGGTACTGCGCCACTTTCTGGCCGTAGGGCCACCTACAACCATCTGCAGCCACTTTGCTTATGTCAGCACAGGGGCCTGCTGGTGCGCACACGTTGGTCACCCGGCGCTTTGCCAATTCTATCCGCCCGTGCACCCGTCTCCTGCCCTTCTGCCACCACCACCAAACGCCACTCGCCAGCCTGCCGCCTTCCAAGTGCAGCCGCCAGCCATGATTTCAGCGAGCCGCCAGCGTCTGCCACCACCAGCACCCGCCAGCACCCATCAGCCAGCCGTCTGCCAGCCTTCAGTCCAGCACAGCCAGCAGTCCAGCGCAGCCACTTGCTCAGCCAGCACCTGCCAGCCAGCCGCCAGCCACTCGCTAGTCCAGGCCAGGCGCGCGGCCCAGCCAGCATCTACCAGCACTGTCGAGCACCTGCCAGCACCCGCTGGCAACCGCCAGCACCTGCCAGTCAGCCGCCAGTCCAGCCCAGGCAGCCGCCAGCCACTCGCCTAGCCAGCAGCCGTCAGCCAGCTGCCCGGCGCAGTTGCCTAGCCCTGCCCCCTCAGGCCAGCCAGCCGGCCAGCCAGCCCAGCCACGCTGCCCAGCCAGCCGCGCTGCCCAGCCAGCACCCGCCAGCCACCAGCCGCTCCGCCAGATCAGCCAGCCAGCCATCAGCCCGAGACAGCCAGCACCCACCAGCACCAACCGTCCGGCCCAGTCCATCCAGCCAGTCAGCCGTCAGTCCAGTGCAGCTACCCGCCCGGCCCAGTCAGCCAGCTGATCAGCCGCCAGCCAAGCGCAGCCACCTTGCTGCTGCTTCTACCCCGCCGCCCCACTGCTGCTTCTGCCCCACCGCCTTGCAGCTGCTAAGTCTCCACCCACTGCCTCACGGTTCTTGTGAGTCTGCCCACGCTGCTCTTGACCTCCTGCTGCTCTGCTGCGCGCTGTTGCTGACGCCTTTGCTTTCTCTTCCTCCTGCCTACTTCTCCGCTTGTGCCAATGCTCCACCACCATTGCTTGTTACGCGTGATACCACCTGCCTTCCTGCCTGCTCGCCCTGCCACCCACCAATGCCGTCGCCGCGCCGCCGCACATCAGTGTAATTAGATTTTGCAATACAATGCCTGTAGAGTACATATGGCTGTTGGGTGCGGAGATAGGCCTACGGTAAGCGCTGCAAGGGACTTCTACGACCGACCAAAAATGCTGTAGGTGATCTACGGCCAAATATCGTAGGGGTGTAACGATCTCCTACGCACTGCCATTTCGAGGAATATCCTGCAATTTCCGAAATCGTAGCAAAAACCCTGCGCCTAGTGGAGGGCTTCTTGTCTGGTGGCCCGTGCGCCTGCGCGTCGCAGAAAGTTGTCTTGGCACTCTTCGTCCCGTCCCAGCTGCCCTCCCCGTACCTGATTCAAGAAGGGCTAACACCACCACCACCACCACCACCGCCACCACCACCACCTCTTCCGCCGCCGCCGCTGCCGGCGCCGCCAACGGTCGTGCCGCCTACAACCTCCGACTCGGCCGCCACGGCTGTTGTGACAACCATCAACAAGCGGTTCCTTCGCCACCATCACATCGGCCTCCGACCTGCATTGTCTGTGGAGCTCCCGCCTCCAGAAATGTATACCCACACTCTGCCCACCACGGGCGCCATCTCCTTTTCCGACTTCCTCATCACCTCGGATCTCGTCTCTCAGGTATCGCAGGCGACCGAGCTGCGATCTGGGCTGCGAGCTGTGCTCAAGGAATGCCGCGCCGGCGATAACCAGAGCGACGACGGATGCGTCGACTGGCTGCGGATCGTCAAGGCCGTCGAAGACTACCTGCCCCATCTCTTTGCCATCTTCAACTGCATCCAGACCGACGACCTCATACTGCGTTACGAGCCCCAATTCTCTTGGCGTACCACACTGTCCTCGACTCTCTTCCGCAGCCCTCCTCGCATCGCCTTGCCCGGCATCTATTACGAGATGTGCTCGACATTGCTCCTACATGGCGTCGCGCTGTGCAACTTTGCCGCCTCGGCCACAGCGTCGCTCGGGCAGTACGAGCGCGATCGACGCCTCTCGGACGCCGAGCGCAAGGTCAAGGACGACAAGCTGCGGTGGGCTGCCGATACTCTCTGCCGCGCCTGCGGCATCTTTGAGCACCTCTCACAGAACCTGATCCCCCAATGGGAGGCGCAGGTAGGCAGGATTGACGGTCGACCGCCGGACATGACAAGAGAGGTGACGCTGGCGCTCTCAAAGCTTGCACTTGCCGAGGCCCAGACCCTCGCGATCCGCAAGCTCCTCTCGCCCTCACTCTCGCTCGCAGTAGACACCACCACGCCCGGTCCGCCGTTGCCAAAGTCGCATCCCTCTGCGTCGCTGCTGGCAAAGCTGCACCTGTTTGTCGCCTCCCACTTCGAGAGCGCGCGCTCCCTCGCCGGCATCGCAGGGAAAAAGACGGCGACCAGCTCCAGATCGAGCGACTTTGGCTCGTACCACCGAACGCCGATGTCGTCGAGCAAGGACACCGTCGACGGTCGAGATGCTACAACGCGCGAGGGCAAGAAGGCCGTGTTCGGCAAGCTGCGATCGCTCGCCTCGCGGGACACCTCCGCCTCGTCGTCATCGAGAAGTGCGGCTGCGGCCAGTCTGGGAGCGGACGCCGCGACCGACGCTGACCTCGAGGTGGGCGCGCCGCTGCTGCGTTACATCGCCAGCTGCGCTGACCTTCACCGCGCGCTGGCATACAAATGGCTCGGCGTCGACGCCGGCGAGGCGGGCGGACGCATTGGCGAGGCCATCGCCTTCCTGCGCATGGCCAGAGACGGGCTCGAAGGTGGCAGCTCCGGCAGGCTGACGGCGGCGCTGCGAGAACGGTCCAGCAAGGAGGCGCGCGACGAACTTCGCACAGTGCGCGAGGAAGAGCTTCGCACCGTCGAGCACTGGCTGCGGAGCTACGGCAAGCTCAACGATACCGTCTCGTTCCAGCCGATCCCAAAGGCCTCCGAGCTGCAGACGAGGATCCCCGCCGGCAGGGCCGCCCTCGATCCAAGGCCGTACCGCCATCCGGTGCCTGCGTTTGGCCCGGGCTCGCCGGGATTCCAGTCCGAAGGGATGAAACGGGCCGTGATGGTCGGTGGTGGGACCGGGCCACCCGATGTCGGTGTGCCGCCAGTAGTACTGGAAAGGCCAGGGCCTCAGGTCGGGCCGCCAACGGTGCCAATCACGGCGGCACGAGGCGAAGCACCAGAGACGGATGGCATCGACGGCGCCTGCGACGACCCAAGCCAGCTAGCCTTTGGAGGCCTCTCGATCGGCAAGGCAAGGGATGAAGCGGAGCAGTATGCAGGTGCCGGAGCCTACTATTGAACGAGGCGAAGGCGGAGCTGGAGACTACAAGAGACAAGGCAGGCTCCTGCCTTTGTAGCCCTGCACACGCACAGCCACAACGAACCTTTGCCCAGTCGAACCTTGATGACCCTTGACGCCACATCATCGATCGTACATGCGCGCATCCTGTTTCTGCAGCACGTTCATCCTCTGGTTGCGGGGAACCCGTGCAGGCCAGGGCTCTCGTTTGATCCGAACCGCCGCCGGGTCCCTAGCCTCCCTGGCCTCGTCGCCTCCTACGAATTTGGCCATTGGTGAGCAAGGAGACCAGCCGCCTTGGCTGGTGCGCAAGCCGAGGAACAGGCAAGCAAGCAAGCACGCCGTACGCACGCTAAGTCAAGCAGGCGCGCGCAAGGTTGTCTAACGTTATATCACGGATCGTAACCGGGGCTGGTGTCGTGACAGGGAGGCGTACGCGTTGGTCTGCCTGTTGGTGCCTGCTTGGCCAAACGGCCTGGCCTGGAGGAGCGGGCGGAGCAGGGATCGTCGTTGGAATTGCCTGCGGCAGGCAGGCAGACGTACTAGTCAGTAGTAGTCAGCGGACCGAGGTGGGTGTGCGCTCGGACCCACACACTTACTCTCTGACCTCGGGTCAGCCGGGCTGTGCGGATGCAAGACACTTCGCCGCCGCCGCCGCCGCCGCTGCTGCTGCTGCTGCTTGGCCGCGCTCCTGTGGCTGTGTTGTTCTTCGGCCCAGGCTTCTCTGCCACCGAGGACCGGCTGGACGGGATTTTTGGCGCCGCGCTCGGTGCTGCAGCGCCGCAGCTCGAGCCAGGACCTGGGGTGAGGGTGGTGTCGGCTCGCCCGACAGGCTGCCCTCCCTCTGGCGGCCGCCTGGCTGGCCGAGGTCCATATAAGGGGAGGGCCCACGCCCCTTTAGTCGCTACACGCCCGTCCCGTTCCCCTCTCGGCTTCTCTCTATGGGCTCCCATGTACCAGTTTCCAGTCGAGCTACGTCGATCAAGGCGCTTGGCTGCTTTCGACAACGTCTACGCCCCGCTTCTCCTTGTCCCTGGCCCAGCGCACTTCGCATCTCGCACCTCGCCCGAGACGTGAGGGTTGTTCTCTCTTGACGCCCTTGCTGCCCGAGCGTCGCCTTCTTCAGCGTCGCCTCCCTCAGCATTGCCTCCTTCAAAATCGCCACCGTGTTTGGCCTTGCTCAGCGACCAGCAGCTGTGAGCATTTCCCTACTTTGTCTGCAGGAACCGGTCCCGGCAGCTCACTGAACGCAACCTTGCCCGCGTTGTCCAACGGCTGTACGTCGCCAGCTCTGAGCTCATCGATCTCACCCTTGCAGCGTCGGCCAAAAGGATGCCGGGCAACCTTTCCAAGGTAAGTTCGCCAAGCAGCGACCAATTCGCGGAGTCCATCTCGACTGGCGGTCGGAGATCGACGTCTCAAGCCGGCTGCCTGGCTAACATTCTTGCCACCGTCCCGGACCTACGTTTACGATGCTTGGAACAGATGTTGGACGCGGTCCGCCGTGCGCCTTCCACCGCGGCGAATCGACTCACCGATGTCGAGCCCGAGCCCGAGCAAGCCAAGCTGCTCCACAGTCTGGCCTCTCTGACGAGCCCAAAGCATGTGGCGACATTGAGCCAGGCTGTCGCTAAGCTCACCAGCGGCCAGCCAGTCAACGACCGCGAGCTCCTGCTCGACAAGGTGGTCGGCATGCTTCAGGAGCTGCCCGACCACTCACCAGCACAGAGTAGCGTTGCCAATGCCCTGATCGGCGGCCTCTACCGCGACCTGCCTCATCCGCCGCGCTCGGTGTGTGGACCCGACGCCGTGTACCGCAGCGCGGACGGCAGCGGCAACGACCTCTGGTTCCCAGACGTCGGAAAGGCCGGCACCTGCTTCGTCCGCGGCGTGCCGCCCCGCAAGCCCAAGCCTCCGACGCTGCCGGAGCCCGAGCTCGTTTACGATCAGCTCCTCCGCCGACCGGAGCGCTCTTTCGTCGAGCACCCAAGCGGCCTCAACCGACTCTTCTTTGCCTTTGCTAGCCTGCTGAGCCACGAGCGCTGTGAGTGCAGCGCGCAGGGGCGATGGTGAAAGTTTGATGTCGCGCTGGAAGCTGGGGTTCTGGCTCTGACACTCTATTCTCACGCGACGCCGCCACTTTCGTGAACGTGCCTACTCGATGCTACATCTTTTCTCACCCGACAGTCCAGGGGAGCCGGGAAACGCCACACATCAACGACACATCGAGCTACGCAGATCTCTCGATCATCTATGGCAACACACAGCCCGAACAGGACCGTGTCCGCACCTTCGAAAATGGCACGATCTTCCCGGACACCATCGCGTCGCGCGAGCTGCTCCTCCGACCGCCCAGCGTGGTCACCATCGCCATCCTCTTTGCTCGCTACCACAACCACCTGGCGGGGCGCATCTACGAGATCGACGAGCAGGGCCTGTACAAGAGCGCCGCCGAGGCCGACGTCGACCATCTCAAGTGGCAGGACGAGGACATCTTCCAGAAGGCACGCAACGTCAACGTCGCCACCTTTGCCAATGTCATCGTGGGCGACTTTTTGGCGGCGATCCTCGACACTCTGCGCGCGGACTCGTCGTGGACGCCCGACCTCGGGGGAAAGAGTACCGAGAGGCAACAGCACGGAACGGGCGACGCAGCCGCCGCCGAATCCAGCCTCCTGTACCGCTGGTTTGCGGGTAAGTTGAGGTTCCTGCTCTCCGCAGCCACCCGATCGGGATGGCCCATGAAGCGCAAGAGGCCCTTCGCTGAGCTTCAGCACTCTGCTGCCTCTTTTACCTTGACAGCTGCGTCTGCTTCGGACGACTGCTTCATGCAGGAGACGCTTCACCGCGGCTTTCCCAAGACGGCCATTGACGATATCGCGCCGCAGGACTTTTGGGGCTTTGTGTCGTCGCGCGTCGCCGAGCTCGACGAGATGTCGCCGAGCGAGTGGACGTTTGGCAACGGCCAGTTCACTCGCAACGCCCAAGGCACCTTCGACTCGAGGAAGCTGGCCGAGCTCATCATGGACAGCATCGAGGAGCCCGGCCACGCGTTTGGTGCGCGAAGCTCACCCTCCTCGCACCGCCTTCTCGAGATCGCCGGCATTAGGCTGGCCCGCGACGTCTTCGGCGTCGCCACGCTCAACGAGTTCCGAGCCGCCAGTGAGTCGCCTCGAGCAACCGCGAGACCCGGATGCGGCAAGGTGGGCCTCGCTGAGGTCGGTCATTTCCCGGCTGCGCCAATGTAAACGCCGTCATCCGATCTGGCTCGTCACCACCTGCAGTGAACCTGACGACGTACAAGTCGTTTCAGGAATGGAATCCGTCCGAGCCCCAGGTCGCTCTTGCCGCCGAGAGGCTCTACGGCCACATCGACGACCTGGAGCTGTACCCCGGCCTGATGTGAGTAAGCGTTGGGATCGGACGTTCCCTGGACGCAGGAATTTCGGCTCAAGCCGCCACCATCCCTCCTTTGAACCGCGAGGCACGCAGGGCTGAAGAGACCAAGCCGCCTGGACCGGGGAGCGGTGAGTAGGCAAATACCGGGTCTGGCCAGCACGGGCGGCGCCTGGAGCCTGACCGCTTCTTGATCCCTCTGGTAACACCGATGCAAGGCCTCTGCTGCGGCTACACAACCAGCCGTGCGGTGTTCGAGGACCTGATCTCGCTCATCCGCAGCGACCGATTTCTCACATTCGACCGCAGCAGCGCCACGCTGACTAGCTGGGGAGTGGGCACGCTGGCACCAGTTCCCGGAGCTTATGGAGGCAGCCTCGCTACAGTCCTCTTCGCCACGCTGCCTGGTGCTTGGCCTGGCACGTCGAGCTTCGCCATGCTCCCCTTCCACACCAACCGTTCGGTGCGCAAGGTTTTGGCGGACAACAAGGCCCTCCACCAGTACGACGTCGAACGTCCCACGACACTCGCCGTGCGCGGGATCTATACTTTCGCCGGTTGTTCGAAGGCGATGGAGGACCGCCAAGGACTCCAGACCCTCTACGACGAGCGCACCTGTGCGGCTGCCGAGGCCGAAGACGAGCGCCGCGTCCACGCCTGCTACGACAGAATCGACTGGAACGACGAGCGAGCGCGTGTGTTCCGCAACGCCTTCTACCCGGACGGCTTCGAGGTCGACGTGCATGCCTTCTTCGACAAGGCGGTGCCCGAACTGATCAACGCCAGCAGCGTGGCCTACCGAGACGGCTCCAGGCGTCGCCAGATTGACATCATCCGTGACGTCTGCAACGTGGCTCCTATCATCTGGATCGCTCAGCGCTTCGCATTCCCGCTCAAGACGGAAGAGCACCCTCGAGGTCTGATTGGCCTCTCGGAACTCTTCCACGACCTCATGGCCCTCTACCTCCACGACACGTTCCACGTCTTGCCTCGTCACGAGTGGAAGCTGAGGGACCGGGCCGTCGAGGCGTCCCAGAGGCTGGCCGACATCCTCAAGGCGCAGATCCGAGCCCACTCGGGCTTGATGGAGCCGCTCGTCGACTGGCTCGCCAGGGGTACCGCTTACGACATCAGCCCGGATGCGGAACGTCTTTTCCACTCGCTCCTCCAGGCCGGTCTCTCTGGCGCGTCTGCGGCATGGAGCTGCGTGCACGTGGCGGCGGCCCTCGCTGGAAGCGTGAGTGCCCGGCCGCATCTCATCTCACACCGACGCGCCGAGCAAGCCGCGGCGCGCTGACGCCAGGATGTGGGTGCACTGTCTTGTTCAATCACGGAGAGCAGGTCACCCAGCTGGCCTCGAGGATGATCGACTTCTACCTGGACGAGTCGCGCGCCGAAGAACGAGGCCGCATCACCGAGCTCGCGATCTCGCCGGGAAAGGATGCCAGCGACGAACTCGAAGGATTCGTACTGGAGGCGATGCGCCTTGCTCCCATTGTCCCGGGTCTGCGTAAGTCTGCCCTGGGAAAGCTTGGAAGACCCGAGACCCGTCAAGTCGGGCTGACCAACAAGCGGATCGGACTCCCTTTTCGCCTGTGCGACGGTCACTCAGCTCGCCGCGTCACCCGCGACTTTACCTTCGAAGACTCGAACCGCGAAATCGACCTCAAGAGGGGTGACATGGTCCTGATCGCCACCTCGCAGGCCTCCATGGACGCTGCGGCGTTCCCAGCGCCGGACAGGGTGGATCCGTTCCGCCCGCGAGAGTCGTACGACCTCCTCGAACGCGGCATTCACTCGTGCTGTGAGTTTGCGCGCAGCCGGCCTCGGGACCCTCGCTTCGGTGGATCTAGGTGACTCCCGTTGACGCTTCCCACCGTTCTTTTCTCGCACGGTCCGGCGACACAGTTGGAGCGCGGCTCGTCGTGCCGTCGCTGGTGTCGATCCTCAGGCAGGTGCGTTATGAAACTTGCAAGGCTGCGAGCCAAGAAGCTTGCGGTATCAAACCTGGGCCTGACCTAGCGTGTACGGTGCCGCCGCCCACAGGTCTTCCGCCTCAAAGGGCTGCGCCGCGTGACGGGCAAAGCCGGCATGCTGGCCCGCACCACGGATCGCGTCGGCGGGATCCCCACGTCACTCTACCTCGACCGAAACGCGGCCGAGCGGACGTATCCTGCATCAATGCTGCTGGAGTACGCCTCGGAGACGGCCCTGATCCCTCGCGAGGAGGCCAAGCGCGCCGGACCACACCCGGCCTGAACGACGCCGCCTTGCATGCAGCGAGCACGGCCGTCCGCGGCCTCGCAGGCAGCGAAACCAGTCGCAGGCCAAAGAAGCGCAGCATCCGAACGAGCCGATCGGGCGACGAGCATCTGGCCCAATGAGGCTTTGCGGGGAGCCAGCCCGAATCCACAACATCGCTGGCGCAGTGTCCCGGCGAGACGATGAGTGGCGATCGTTGGCGGCCAGGTAGGAGAGCCGCGCGTGTGTAGCCGAGAAACCGAGATCCAACCCCTCGATCCGAGTCAGGAATGGCATGCAACGACTTTCGACTTGACTGGCGCGGCGCATGACCGGGCTGTTCACGTCCAGACGTAAGCGCGGCCTCGTCCGGTAGCCGAGCCCCATACGGATACTTCGGACTTCTGCGACGGGATCGTCACGCCGTCAAGGCAGATGAGAGATGCGCGCTCATCTTCGGGCGCCTGTCAGTCGACGGAGGAAGACGGATGAAGGCGTCAGCGTGCAGGGTTCACAGCCTTGCTCCTGTTTCTGGCGTCACGTGGCGCAGTGGCGACTCACTGGGTCGAAAGAGTAGCCGCCGGTGCGGAGGTACTCGACGATGGGCGCCGCGGTGCCTTGGTTGTCCTCGTAGACGAGATCAACGTGCTTGCCCCCGTCGTACATGGCCTGTATGATGCCACCCAGCCTGGTCGCAAGGAAGTCGGCTTGGGCTCGCTCCATGATCAACGCTCGGTCCCCCGGACTCGCCGCATCCAGGGCGTCCTTGACGTTGGGATCCCTATGAGGGCGTATGATGACAAGGTCGACCGCTTCCGGGGGCCTCTGAAGCTGGCGCGCGGCTTTGTCGACTGCGGAGACCCTGTGGCGCTGAGCCGATGCGGTGGAGAAGGTGGATGAAAAGGGGGCGGGGACGAAGTGAGGTTCCAGCCGATCGGTAACGAGGGCGTTGAGGTAGACAAATGGGCCTTGGAGCACTGTTTCCGAGACGGTCTCGAATGTCTTGCTGGAGGGCTGGTACTGGGATACGAGCCCGGTGGTGAGGAGAGGGTGTAAGCGAAGCTGTCCATAGGTCCACCGGGTGGCGTTGAGTTCGAATGCCTTCTTGAAGCGCTCCGTGCCAGGGAAGCTTTGACGCATCTCAGGAGTCTCGGAGTCATGCAGTATGGCGGCGTGGAGCGCGTGTGAGGTGACGAGATGGGTGAGGATTCGCTCAGGGGAGGACACCTCGACCGGCGTCGCTGATGATGACGAAGCTTGCGCCCTCTGGCAAGCTTCGGAGGAGGGCGGCACGGGGATGATGTCGTTGACGAGGAGGGTCAGCGGTGCGAGGGTCCCTTGAAAGCCTTCGTCAGAGGAGGGTTTTTTGAGGTTTAAGCCGAGGCTTGCAAGGAAAGAGCGAAGCGATTTGGCTCTTGACCAATGCTGGGTGCTTTTGTGGGTGTCTTGAGGGGCCACGCGCTGGTCCTCTTTTGCAGACGAGGGCGGAAAGCAGGCGGCATACAGGGCGTTTGCGGAGCCCGTTGGGACGGGAATGAGGTGGAGGGTGGGTGCCAAGGTCGACGCGCTCGGCACTGACCGTGTGACGAGGACGTCGTCGGCGAAGAAGCCGTTGATGATTTCGTTTGTGGTTCCGTCTCCGCCGACGACGACGACGTCGACCTGGTGTTGCGCCGCCAGCGAGTCAAACGGCGGCGAGGACGAGTCGGCTTGGGCGCGGATTTTCGCGCCGATGCGTCTGCCGTCATCCTTGGCCTGGGTCTGGTGGCGGACGATGTCGAGCAGGCTGCTGTTGCCGTGGTGGACAAGGAGTGGCTCGACCTCGTCGCGAAGGACGGTGAGCGAGTCGCAATGGCCCGCGTGTGGGTTGACGACAATGTGGAGCGTGCGTGCCATGATTGCTGTCCACGTCCCAGCGAAGGTGACAAGGGAAGCGAAGGTGGTGCCGACAGAGGCGTCGACCTCTTCCCTGTCTGTCTGTCGTGTGTATCGAGGGCGAGGCGGTTCGAGTTGGTTGGGAAGGAGAGAGCAGGCAGCGAGCCTCAGCGGAATCGAGGTTGGCTCAAGACTGGCCCGAGCGCTTGTGGAGGGCCCTTGGTGTGCGCTCGAGAAGTCATGATTGTCTCGCCCGAGTGAGCGTGATCGACAACGGGGGCTCGGGGGAGGGGCCTGCCAGCGAGCTGCTGTGGGCGGCGACTCGCCGGAACCGCGAGGTGCCGCACAGCTGGGCGCCCAAAGGCCAGGCTAGGCCTGGCCAGCTGGCAGCGCAGGGGCCCAAGAGCATCGGGCCCAGGGCGGCGCATCGACCGCACCCAACCTCTGCGCGACCTCTCTGCGCCCGCCTCGACGTCACCTGAAATTGGCCGCGTCGAGGTCCACTTCCGTCTCGCTGGAACGTCTTCTCCTCCCCATCCACCTACCTACCTCACACCGGATCCAAAGGCCCACCTCACCACCATCGCCGTACCTTGACCGCACCATCATCGCCACCGCCATCGACGCACCAGTCGGTCCTCGATCGTTTGCGCATCCTTCCACGTTCCATTGACACAGGCGTGCTCACGACATCCCCTCTGGGCCTCCCTCGTCTCGTTCCGCGACCGCAGCCAAGCGATCCGACCGAGACCCCAGACGACTCCTTCGCTTGCATAGGCGTCCGTCGGCCCTCGTCGCCCGTCTGTCCCTCTGGGCGAGAAACCAAGAAGGAAGGTTAAGAAGCTGGACCTCGCGTTGGCCCGACCACCCACTCCGCGATGAACGTCTTCCGCTTCTTTGGCGATCTGGCCCATCTGGCCTCGATCTTCATCCTCCTCCATAAGATCCAGCTGTCCAAGTCGTGCCGCGGCATCTCGTTCAAGACACAGCTCCTCTACACAATCGTCTTTGCCTCCCGATACCTCGACATCTTCTTCGAGACGTCTCTATACCGCACCCTGATGAAGATCTTCTTCATCTCGTCGTCGTGCTACATCCTCTACCTCATGAAGATCAAGTTCCGGCCCACTCATGACCCTGCCATCGACACCATCCGCCTCGAGTACCTCATGGGCCCCGCTCTCGTACTGGCCCTCATCTTCAACTACAAGTTCACCTTCCTCGAAGTCATGTGGGCCTTCAGCATCTACCTCGAGGCTGTCGCCATCCTTCCCCAGCTCTTCATGCTCCAGAGGACTGGCGAGGCAGAGACCATCACCACGCACTACCTCTTTGCCCTCGGCGCCTACCGAGCTCTCTACATCCCCAACTGGATCTACCGGTAAGTCAACCTCGAGGGCAGCAGCAGCTGTAGATCAACTCTACCTCTCATCCGCTCTTGTTGGCAATGGTGAGCCTGACTTCCGCAATCTGAATTCTCTTCTGACACACAGGTACTTCACGGAGAACACGGTCGACCCGATCTCGGTGATCTCGGGCCTCGTCCAGACAGGTCTTTACCTCGACTTCTTCTATGGTATGTTGGGCGATGATGGCCGAAGGGACATGTGCCTCATCCCGAAGTCGGACGCACTAACTCTTCCTTGTACATGTTCCCTTTCGCAACCGCCTCCCCCCCACCATCATCAGTTTACTTCACCAAAGTGATGAAGGGCGAAAAGTTCGAGCTGCCAGCATGAGCAGAGCAGTTTCGGACATGCACAGATCAGGGGTAATCAGGCGGACGCGGCGGCAGATGCAGAGGTCGGACCGTCGAAGCCGCAATGTTGCAGAAGATGTGCTTGGTACCTTGCTGCTCATTCAAGCGCGTCTGGCTCGTCCGTGGCAAGCATGTTTCAACAACAATTACGGCCTCGCAGCTTCGAAAGGCTCTTTTGAGTTTCACAGACTGGGCTCGTGGACTCCAGCAGCAGCACTGGGTCGAAGCACCACTAGGCGACAGGTCGCGAAGAAATAGAGATCCAGTTGCAACTCGATCCCCCATGCGATCAAGCTCTTCTGTCGATGCTCGCGAGGTTGAAGTGGCGCAGCCCGCTGACCCTGACCATGCATCAATTGTAGATCTTCCCGCTTTGATCGCCCACCAGCCTCCAACTTAGGCCTTCGGCTTCTGCCTCACGCCCCTTTTCACCCTCCTCCAGTTCCGCCTCCCTGCACATCGCGTTGGCGGGATAGGCGGGCGGATCCACTCGGACCTGGGCCTTGAGTCCCGATGTGTCCGCCTCGTCCCCGGCTCCACCACCGGGGCCACCCACCGCCATGGCAGCACCGATGGCGACAACGGAGGTGGCGGAGCTTTGCTGCAACTCCCTTTCCATCTGCCAGACCCGCCGCTGGCAGTCCATCTGCCATTCCGTGTATTCGGCTCTGACCCCATCGTATGCTTGCTGAAGCGCTTGCTGCTGGATTGTCCACCGTTCCGTGCATTTCTTCTCCGCCAACCAAGCCGTCAATCCGATGAGGGCCAGGGCGAAGTAGAGGCCGAAAAGGTTCCCGAGCTCGGCCCGAATAGCCTGCCGTTCGTCGGGCTTGTCGTCGTTGACAGGCCGGAGGAGAAGGGAAGACGTCGATGCGTTTAGAGCCACTACGGCGGTCGAAGCCCTGCTGCGCCAGAGGAGGGTCACCACGCCAAACACGAGCAGAGCTGCTGCATGGAGGTACGCAGCGATGCGACGAAACGCGTATAGACGTGTCTCGATCGAGTTTGCCGCACCACCGCCACTACCCTCACGTCGTCCTCGTACGATTGCATCTACGCCTGTAGAAGTCGATGGGCTTGGAATGGCGTACGGACGTAGCCATCCCAGGACGAGGTTGTGGTGCCTGGATCGCGGCGGCAACGTGGCTAGAAGGACGTGTGGGATCCGTAGCGCACAGGTGAAGACGTGGCTCAGGAGGAGTAGGATGATCGAGAGCGAGTAGATCGACGGATACGTTGTGGGCAGAGACGTCGTAGCGAGTGGTATGCCGGCCACGGGCAGGCGCAGCGTGCCATCAGACGTCGTGTTGAGCACGAGCGAGATCGAAGAGAGTCGAGAGATGATCTGGCTGTAAGAGGGCGGCAGATGCGGTTCCGTCGCGAGAGCTTCGAGATCAGTGTAGGGCGTCGAGTAGAGCCTGGAGGAGAGGGGCGAAAGGAGGACAAGCGGTGTCGTCGTGTTCGCCATTGCTGCGGCTGGCGCAGCAGCCGCCGTGGAGTTCGATGAGCCAGCAGACGTCGAGGTCGGGCCGCCCACGGTCGACGTCGGGATTGTGGCAGCCGGGTCGCTATTCCCAGCTTGAGCCCCGACAGTGCAAGCGGCCAGCACGACAAGGTTGGTGGCGAGGTCGAGGCAGGGACGAGGCCGCATCGTCTGAGGTGTGTGCAACAAAGCTTCGGGGAATGTGCGATGGAACGAAGTATTGCACGGGCACAGCGACGGCATTTATGTAGAGGCTCGCATTCAGAGAGGGAGAGGGAGAGAGACGATGGAACCGGATGACATCTTTGCGGGCCCTTTGTGCTCGCCGTCGTGGTGGAAGGGGGGGGTGCAATCTTGTGCCAAGCAGCGACAAGTTCGGCGATGCGGGGCCCTTTGTATCTGGCACGTCGGGCCCATTCATGATTGATGAGGCGTCGGGCGAACGACAAAGGGACCGTATCTTGGCGTCTGACCATGACCGTCTGCTATGGACTGTTAGAAGACGGCGGCGAACCTGCTTATAAGCCAAGCGTAGGTCGGTTGGCTAGCTACCGGGCCGCACCAACGCCCCAACCGCTCCTCCTATGTCCTTAGGTCAGAGGAATCTGCGCTCGGGCAGAGACTGCACAAGACCAAGTACGGTGCAAGATGTCGACTATGCCACCACCTTCGTTCGCCTCAGTCTCCCCCGATCTGCCCACACCGCCGGCAGCCAGCTCATCGACCAACCGCCACAGCTTGGCCCACCTTCTGTTCAGCCTGCTGCAGCTCGGGAGCATCCTGGTGCTGGCACTTTCGCTACTCGCGCCAGTGCCCTTCGATTTGCACTGGAGTGTACTGAGGATCAACGTCATCTCTTCCCCTCGGCCCCTTGCCAACTCGTCCAGCGGCATCTTGATCCCGCCTGCTTCCGGGGTTGTGAGCGTACCTCTTCCCAACAGCGCAACCGCGCTCAGTAGCACTGCGACTCCCATCTCGACTTCGACTGCTGGACCGCCCAACGCGACCAAGGAGCTGGCGGTTCCGGCAAGGGAGCCGAATGCGAGCAGCGATCCTCCCGGGGCCTCTGAGACGGCCCCGACTACCAGCGACAAGCCGGCACGACGAAGGAAGAGGAGGTCAACCTCCCACCACTTGGCGGCTCCTCGCATGGCCTGAAGCAGCCTGAGCCAGCGCAGAGAGCGGATTCTCGTCGAACTGAGTCCGCCAGCGTCTCGATGGACGGTGTTCCGCTTTTTGGTCCGCCGGATCAACAGGGCCGATCCACATGGCGATAGGAAAGCTCAACCTGCATTCAAGTGTGGACCATCCAGCTCGGTCGAGGCGCAGACCACAGGGCAAGAAAGACAATTGTATGACATCGAACAAGCGCAGATCAAGGAACAGGCTCGAGGATGCGGGGGAAGGAATCAGGCAGAAAAGAGGAGGGTGTTGGAAGGGAAATGTACGGACCACCGACCCACTCGATCGCCTCTGGAGGTAGGGCGATTGAGCGCGGGTACTGAGATGTCCGTCCGCGGACCGTCTCCCTCTCTCGAGGGATCAGGTACGAGAGGGGGCAAAAAAATGTTCCTCCCTGGCGTCGCGGGTATCGGTCTTGACGTTGGAACCTTTGACGCTCACCTTTAGGCCATCGGAGCATCCCGCGCTCGCACCTCGACGCTGCAAGCAACGATACGAGGTGCGAGACGCGGGAAGAGGCAAAGGGAGCAACACGTATAGGCCGTCGTTTTTGCCGCACTTGGGGGTCGGGAAGAGGGGAGGCGGCGGGCGGAGGGGTTCTTATACCTTTCTGGTTTTCGCCGGCCGGGCCGCAAACCTGGCACTGCGCTGGCACCGCGCTGGCCCAGGCCGGGTCTGTGATTTTCTTCCGACTTTTTCTCGCCGACCTGCCGCCGCTTGCACGTGATTCGCCTGTCCAGCTTGGCTTTCCTGGCCAGCCGCAGCATGCCACTCCTCTTCGAGCATGTCTCTCTCAATTTGCCATATCGGCACAAAATCTTCATCCATCTTAGTTGTCGAGGGGACTGCTACAAAAGCCGACGGGCGCACTCATTCTCCGTCCAGCGGGTAGCACGGCTTCTGCTGGTCTACCTGGATGCCGCCACGCCTAGGGTGCTCGTTGTCCGGGTAGATGCTGTTCCAGCCGCCGTCGGCAACGGGCACGGCCACCCAAAGGCGGTACAGGTGCCTGCGCGGAGCGGGCGGGGGGTAGTCCTTGTAGGCGGTCCTGGCGTGCAGGACGTGAGTGTCGGCGACGAATTGGATATCGCCGACGTCGAGGATCATGTGAAGGCTGAGGAGCTGCGCCGTCTGCTCGAGGACCTCCATGGCTTCCTTTTGCTTGTCGCTCAGTGGCGGGATGAGACCGGCCTCGACGTGGCGGTCGATGGACTTGAGGTAGTAGGGGTCGTAGTTGAGCACCAGCCGGTTATCCGGCTCGCCCTTGCGGAGCGAAAAGATGGGCTTGGTGTACCACCCCTTTTGCCCCTCCGACACCTCGCCCTTGCGGTCAAAGTGCCAGATGTTGGAGGCCAGCGTCTCGGCGACGTCGGGCCGATTGGCCTGCAGATGGTTCCAGATGGCGTGCGACGAGGCAATGTCGCTCTCGCCCCCCTCGAGGGCCTTGTGCAGGCACAGCAGGCCGACGGCACCCCCGCTCGAGTCAGTGTGGAAAAACTGGCGGGCGTTGGTGCGGTAGATGCGGACCTTGTCGATCTGCGTGGGGTCGTCGCCGAGGTCCTTGACGTGGCCCAGGACATGACCGAGGCGGTTCTGGGAGACGATGTTGCCCAGGTAGCTGCCCAGGCCGAGATAGGCAATGGCGCTGAGACGGTTGCCCCAGCGCTCGGTCGGCAGGCCCTTGAAGAGGTAGAAGCCGTGGCCGTGGATCAGGCGCTCGCGCAGTGCGGTGAGCGTCTCGATGAGCGAGGCAGGCAGCGGAAAGGTGGAGCGCTCGATCTCTCCGAGCTCCCTGCCGCTCTGGAGCCAGAGCTGGGCTGCGGTTTCGAGCTGGGCGATTTCGGTGGGCGTGAAGGTGTGAACCCACTTGTGGCTGTTCTCTTGGCCCCGGTACGAGGCGGCGTCCCAGACGGTGGGGCCCGAGATGGACTTTGGCAGTTGTGAGTACGGTGTGATCAGGCTGGGATCGGCGTCGTGCTGGCCAGAGGTGAGGACGTTGAGGGTCGAGGCGAGGTTGCGCTGGGCGGCAATCTGGTCGGCGCTGAAGCCGTTGCCGTCGCCGGCGCCTTGGCCCTGGCCCTGGCCCTGCTTTGGCGCGCCCTGACCGGAAGGGGTGGAGAAATGGGAGCTGCTGGAGGGAAGCGTCGACAACATGGTGGACTCCTGTCGGATCGGATGGAGGGGTTGCGTGGTGGCAGTTGGAGGGCGGCCGAGGCGTCGAGACTATATACTACTTCTTGCACGACCGCTCCTGGGGAAGGGGGCGCTAGGCTGGGGGAAGGGGGGGGGGGGGGGGGGGGGCGTGGCGTCGTGTCGTTGACTACTACCCGTTTACCGTTTAGTAGGTTGGGTCCGACCTAGGTCGGGCCGGCCGTCGGTCGG